GTTGTTCGACTTTCATTCTGAGTATTCATCTACAAATGGGTACAAGACGACTCTATTGGCAAACGAAGTTCGGTTTCCGGCAAGAGGATGTGTCGGCATCAGAGGACGAGTTTCAAGTCAATTGCACACCAAACTGGGAGGCTGGCCACACAAAAAGAGAAGCATGTAGCATCTGGCGGCGGATGGACGAAAAACACCCTATCAAATTGGCCACGGTTCAAGTTGACCGGGCAGACAGACACGTGGGCACAAGAAAGAAGACAAGCAATGGCACGCACTGCGTGATCCCAGAACACTACCCCGCACGCCGATGAAACCCAAATCTCGACTCGCACGCGGAACAGTTGTTCCAGGCCGAATCATTAAAAGGAGCGTTGGTAGTAGCTCAGTAATGTAGCCAGAACGGCGACCAAGACAATCAAATCAGGCAGACGAAAGCAAGATGGAACAAACAATTTGACAACAACGAACGGGTGATCGAGCTGCTCAAACGAATTCGCGGCCAAACAAGTTTGCCATGGGCATGTCATGAAGTCTTGCACCATACACCCCCCAAAACGACTTGAGGGTAAGACAAATCCACTTTCTCAAGGCAAAAAGAGAGAGAGCAGGAGGGGGAGGGAGACGAGGACTTGAAAAATCAAAAGCAAAATCAATAGGCAAACGGATCGAAAAGGAAGAGAAAAAAAGAAAAAGCAAAAAGAAAAGAAAAAGAAAAAGAAAACGATGATGGGTAGAACGCAGTTCTAGTCGAGAAGAGTCATCACCATGGCAAGACGGTGGTTTACTCGCGAGGGTCGATGAGCTTGAGGACCTTGCCGATGGCCAAGGTTTTGCCTTCGTCACGAAGTGTGAAGCGGCCCATATGAGGATGATCCTTGAAAGTTTCGATGCACACGGGCTCATTGCACGTCAACCGCACAATCGCCACATCACCCTGCTTGATGAAGCGAGGGCGACCCTTCTCCTTGTCAGGCTTGCCCGTCTTCTTGCTGACATGGCAGATGAGGCCCTTCAGAATCACTTCCTCCGTGGCCGAGTGAATGTGCAGCACGGCATTGAAACCTATTCAAACGCCAACAAAATCGGTGAAAAAACCAAAACCGAAGCCAAGCAAATGACCCAAGCGCAGGCGCCGCAGCCAAAGCGTGGTCAACACAGACCTGGGCAAATGATGGACTTCCACTCAAGAACCACGAGTTGCGCATCAAAGGTTGTGCAAACGTGGCAAGGCTTGGAGCGGGCGCATAGCACGTAGCCAGGGTTGACAGCATCCTCGGAAATGCCCTTGAGTTTCAGCTTGACGTTATCGCCAGACTGCGCCGAGTCGGACTCCTCGTCATCGACCAAGATGCTATCAATCGAGACCTTGTTCTTGTTGGGGAATAGCGCGACAGTTTGGCCCTTGCGGACAAAACCAGACTGCACCTTGCCCATGACCATCGTACCCATGTCCTGCACACGTTTGAGAAAAAAACAAAAAACAAACAAACCAGTAGCATGAGCAAAGAGGGTTGCCAACATTGGGGCGTGGTCTGCCTGCGTTTACGTACGTTGTACTTGTCAGAGATGGGCATGCGGAACGGATGATCAAGCAAGCGAACGAGTTTGGGCAGCGAGTCAAGTAGGGGTATCAGCGCAGGGCCACTGCGTTGTCAACGCGCGAAGGACAACATAAAACATGGGCGTCGGGCAGCAGACACATGAGTTCAGAAGAATGAGCGAGCTGAATACAGGCAACAGATAAAGAGATGCGTGGAAAAGGGCAGTCCAAGAAATCAAGCAAGAGGTGATTAACGGGTGGGGGCTTCTGCTACATGGAGATGGGGCGATGACCCGGTGCTTAGCGTGGACTCAGTGAGAGTCGACCACGTAAGCGATGGGCTCAGGCTTAGTCGAGTTATCAACAGTACGTTCAGGAAATAGATCCGTTAAGCTTGGCATCATGGCCAACCGGGATGCACCGCGACGCATATCCATCGTCAGCCCCCACCCTCTTTTGTTTGGTGGATCATGTCTCGTGCACAACGGCGCCGGCGAGTAGAGAAGAACCAACGAAACAAAAGCACAAAAAAAAAAAAAAAAAAAAAAAAAAAAAAAAAAAAAAAAAAAAAAAAAGAATTGCCCGCGAAATGCGAAGGAGACGCATGTAAGATACTTACGTGTACCAGTCGCAAGTACCCTTGGGGGCGGGTTCGGTCAGGTTGACACCGACAAAGCCAGAGACAGGCAGGAAATAAACTTCTGCTCACATCAGTTTCAGCACGGCAAAATGAATGAATCCCTCGTAGGCAAAAAAAAAAAAAAAACAAAAAACAAAAAAACAAAAAACACAAACACGATATCATGAGGGTAGAACGAAATGTCGTACCGTCCTTCTTGAAACCACACTGCTTCAGGAAAGGGTTGAGTTTGTCCTTGCACTCGTTATAACGTTCAACATCCCATTCAACTGTCGGGTCGTCCATCTTGTTGATAACAACAATGAGGTAATGCACACCAGCAGTCTTGACCAGCATGGCATGCTCGCGCGTCTGGCCTCCACGCTCGAAACCGGTTTCAAACTCGCCCTTGCGCGCGCTAATCACCTACAAGAAGATGATCCGAACGGATAACCACGCAGCAATGAGCTCCTTGCATAATTCATACAACTCGAGAGCGAGGGAATTTTTTTTTAAAAAAAAAGAAAAAGAAAAAAGAAGAAGAAGAAGAGAAAAAAAAAAAAAAACGGACCAAAACAGCGACATCTGCCTGAGCTGCACCACTGATCATGTTGGGCACGAAGCTCTTGTGACCAGGTGCGTCAATGACAGTAAAGTGCTTGTTCTCCGTTGTAAAATGGCCTTGACCGCACTGTCAAGTAGAGGACAGGACAGAAAAGGTCATGGTAAGTGAGATGATGCCGCAATGTGTCGGATTTTGACACGAATCAAACAAAAGGACGGAAGACCACAGCATCACAAGAAAAAGAAGAAAGAAAATCAATAGAAAAAAGAACTGCTGAGTGAAGCGAACCTCAACAGTCTTGCCCTTGGCGCGCTCCTCTTCGTTTGTGTCCATGGCCCAGGAAAGATACCAGCTCTCGCGATTTTTCTCGCGGGATTCACGTTCGTACTTTTCGAGAGTACGCTTGTCAACGTTGCCCGTCAAAAACCTGAATAAAAATGGGGCCGACACGTGTGGTCAACTTGTACAATCGGGCAATGGGCACACGCTTCCAAGCTTCTTTCCAAGCCAAGGTTCTCCAGGCAGTGGTACGTACATGAGCTGACCACCAATGGTTGACTTGCCAGCATCGACGTGGCCAATGAAGACAATGTTGAGGTGCTCGCGTTTGTCCAGAATGTCGAGGGGAATCTCAGTTGTGTCATCATCATCATCGTCATCATCGTCTTCCTCAGTCGGCGCGGCTGCAGCTGCGCTTGCCTTGGTCTCTGTGTTCTTCTTGGATGTGTCCCCCTTGGTAGTGTCCTCCTTGGGTGCTTCTTCCGCCTTGGGGGTTTCTTCCGCCTTGGGGGCCTCTGCCTTTGCTGTTTCAGTTACTTCTTCTTTCGTGGCTACATTCAATAACATTCAGCTGTGAGGACCAAAACATTTGCAACGAGAAAATAACATTCACAGTTGATAGAATGAGGTTGTACCTTGAGCTTCCCAGTCCTCTGTTTCTTCAACTGGTTCAGGCTTGGCTGCTGGGGCCGGTGCAGGCACGGGGGCCTCGACAGCTGCCGGGGCTGGTGCTGGGGCCGCCGGCGTGAAGGCGGGCGCACTCCATTGTTGGCCAGGCACAAACGCCTATGAAGAAACAAAGGATGACGGAAGATTGATCAGCCATGAATGAAACACTTCAGCGTTGTCTTGCGTGGAGGTAAAATGGAAGGCGCAGCCTACCGGTGCGTTGAAGTTTGGCACAAACTCGGCGGCGCCAACGTTGAACCGAGGAGCCGAGCCCCCGCCCTGCTGGTTCACTTGCTGGTTCCAGTTCTGAAAGTCTCCCATCTTGACTGTGCTGTGTTCTGATAGCACGAGACGCGACATAAAGAGGTAACAAAAGAACAAGGGTAAGAGAGTGCCGGCGATCGAAACGCGGAAAAGAAGCAAGGAAGGCATGCACGTGCGCCAAGGGCACGGGTCAACGCCGTTTACAGATGCCGAGCATCAAGCGACCGAGAGGTGCGATATGGGGGAGGCGTCAAGCCAGTTCTCAAATCGCTCTCAGAAAGCTACAACGAGTGCCGCATGTGTGCGCACCTTATTTTTTGCCCTGCGCTCCGGCAAGAACAGGTCCACTGACAGCAGATCAAGCGTTCACGAACTTCCAAAAAGGGGATGAGAAGGGGTGAGAGAGGGGAGGAGGGGGATGATGAAGCCTTTCTTGAGGGTCAATCGGGGCAGTGGTAAATGCTATTGGCGGGCTCAAGCGTCTTGTTCGTTCACCTCTCTGTGACTGCAGTTATATAACTTGAAGCCACGTTGTTGTTGTGGAGGTACACACATCCAAAGGGTTAAGACAAAAGGAAAGAGACAAAGACCAGTGTGTGTGAGTGTGTGTGTTCACGTGGTTGGCTCCTGTCAAGTAAGAACCAGGTCTGACTGTTGGCGCAATATGAGGTAAGAACAGTAGTTCTAAACACATCATGGGAATCAAAGTCTGTGTAAAGAAGAAACGTTTGGGAGCTACTTTTTACCCATTGGTGATATGAAAATCAGCACAGTGGGCAACAAGTTTAATCTGACAAACATGTGGTAACAGCAAGTGGCATTCTCATCCGCCACCGCGATCGGTCGGCGCGCTGCTGCCGCTGCTGCCGCCGAGGGCGTGGATGTGGGATTCCCGTCGTTGTCTTGCCACGAAAGGCGGGTAGCGTGCCGAAAGCGATAATCAATTGAAAAATCCAGGCGAGATCAGCTGGGTGAGGCGCAAACCCCCGGTGTCGCGTTACATCTCGTTCCGCAACCGAGACAATGCTCCGCAAGCTTCGCTGCCTCAATGGCCGCAGTGTCATGGCCACACTGGTTCGTGTAGCAGTTCTTCTTCTTTTGGGCTACGGGCTGGTCTTGTTGCTCGGCCCAAGCACCGGACGTCATTATCACCCGGTTCTTGAGGCCCAGCGACGCGAGCAGCAGCAGCAGCAGCAGCAGCAGCAGCAGCAGCCAGAGCAACCGCTCTTGCCGCAGCAGACGGACCGCTCAGTCCTTTCACCTGATAAATCTGATGATCCCGACGCGCCACGCTTCCAGGGTGGACCGCCCAGCGCCGAGGCCATGGCTGGCGTTGAGGATGCCCGAAAGTGGAAGTACCCCATCCAGCTGGATCTGGACCTTCCAGATCACTTGCGCAATCAGCCCGTGTTCCAGGACGACAACGCCATGTTTCGTCAGTATGGTTTCAACCTTCGCAAGAGCAACGAACTGCCGTTGGCGAGAGAGATTCCCGATCGACGTAATCCGGCTTGTGCCAATGCCAAATACCCGGCCAACATGCCCCGCACCTCTGTCATTATCATTTTCTTTAACGAAGCCCTCAGCACTTTGCTGCGCAACGTGATGAGCGTCTTGAACAACAGCCCTGTGGATCTTCTGGGCGAGATTATCCTGGTTGATGACAATTCCACCCTCGAGGATCTCAAGTATTTGCCACAACATCTAGCCAAGCTACCCAAGAACGTTAGTTTGGTCGTTTTGCACGCAGGGCCTTTATTCCTTGGCTCGTCCCGCGAGTGGCACGACGTGCCCCAAAGACCAGCGGCATGCCATCTCAAATGCTGCTCCCTCCGTTGGCGACCCTTGCTTTGCTTAGATCAAGCTTGTGCGGCGGAAGGTGCACAACGGCATTGTCGGGGCGCGGGTCCGAGGTGCCCGTGAAGCCAGCTTTCCCATCATCGCCTTTATCGATTCGTACGCTCGCCAAGTGCATGGCTTCTTCCACGCCTCTTGTTCAGAACCATCATGCCTGTCGTCGTCCTCATATCATTATGCGTTTGACCGTTTTCTAGGCACGCCGAGGTCATGCCAGGCTGGTTGGAACCTCTCACTTGGCGCATTCACCAGAACCGCAAGACAGTTGTCATTCCCACAATCAGGCCCATCGAGCTACACTCGCTCGGTGTCAGCTCTCACACCTATTCCCCATCCCGTGGCAGCTTCAATTGGCGCATGTCCTTCACCCATGCGGGTATCAGTCCAGAGCGAGACATGCTGCCTTTTGGCCTCGACACGCCGCGAGGAATCACCGGTAAGGTACCAATGTCGCGTGTGACCAAGTCCTGCTGATCATGCCAAATGGCCGCCTCGATGGCCCTCAAGGCGTTCTTGAAGCCACGTGACTCACTTTTGCCACGCGCCCGGAAATTTGCGTGATCAGATGTGGTGCGCACACCAGTCATGCCCGGAGGCATCTTTGCCATGGATCGACTTTGGTTCCACGAACTGGGCGAATGTATGTCCTCGTCTTTGACTCCGCATTTGTGTCCTTTTGTAGTGTAAAAGGCTTGTGCGAGGGTTGTTGAACTTGTTTTGAATTAAAAGGACTGCTGCTGCTGGCTGGCTGGCTGGACGATAGACGATCCAGAGATTCTGTACTATGGCGGAGAGCACCTCGAGCTCTCCTTCCGCGTCTGGATGTGTGGCGGCAGCATGGAGTCGGTTCCTTGCTCGGGTGTGGGTCATATTTATCGGTGAGCGCGTGCGCTCTTGCTCCGAAGCGGCAAGGACCGTCATCATTTACTTCTTCTTTGGTGGTCAAACTTGAGTTCCTGCCCACCAACCTCATTATGTATATCCACACGTGCCGCTCACGGCCATGTGTGTTGGGCTGCAGCAATTTCGATCGCTTTGCAGTAGATCCGCTGCTGGAGAAGGGGCGCATTGGCCACATTTTGGACCGCAACGATCTGCGCGTCGCAGAGGCTTGGATGGACGAGTACAAGCAGATCGTGATGGACACCCGCGGCTTTGAGGGCGTGGATCCCGGAGACCTGTCCGATCGGAAAGCCATCCGTGATCGCCTTCAGTGCAAGAGCTTCAAGTGGTACCTGGACAACGTCCATCCCGACTTGTACGTTCCGGACCTTCACCCCAAGATGGCGGGTGTCATTGCCGATCCCCAGGTACGGCGTTGATGCACGCAGCATGCTGTCTTTCTACGACATGTCTTGAAACGGCTGGGCTTGATGCGGCATGATCATGTTTTGGTCGCACACCACACAGAAACGCCAATGTATCGACAACATGCAGCATGATCGCGGAGGCCCTGTCGGCGTATACGGGTATGACCTCGACTTGTTTCGACCAAGAGCAGAATCACGAATGGCTCACAAACAGGGGCCCTGTGATTTACTTTTTGCAGCTGCCATGGGCTCACAACTCAGAGGTGGCGCCTGATGGAGGATGGCGTTATCGCCAATGGCGTATCTTGTCTCAACTATGCGCTTCATCGCATGCAGCCCTGTTCGCACGGTCAAGAATGGGATTTCATCAAGGAAGCCAAGCAACTGCGTTCACGGCGTTGGGGCGGCTGTCTCACTCGCATCAAAGACCGTGCCATCTTGCAAACTTGCAATTCGGAGGACACTGTACGTCCATTCTACCGTCCCTTTCTGCAATCCCCTTCTCGCTCTCCCATCCGCCAGACTCCAGTGGCCATAAATCTCTGTGGGTAACGCCTCAATCTCACACGACTGCTCGGTCCTGTTGTCGTGGATCGTTCCCACAGCGTCAAAAGTGGTACATGAGCGAGCAGGATGGCAAGGTGGCTGTCGCATCGAGTCACGACAAGTGTTTGAGCCGCATTGACCACCGTGGCGAAGCCATGGGCGTTGGCTCATGTACTGCCGATGTGAGTGTCGCCGTTCAGCCGGGGCTGCACGGCTACCAGGCTGCCAACCGTGCCAAGCCCACTCACATGTTTTGCTTGATTGCACGAACAACTGCCATTTTGAGTAGGCGATTGTCTACGAGGCCGGCCAACTCCGGAGTGGCACAATGTGCGCACTTTCCATCGACAGCATCCATCAATCAGGCTGTGGTGACGCACCTGGCACCCAGCTTTGGGAGTTGACTGAAGAACGGATACACCCCCGCGGCCTTGGTACCGTGTGCCTGACGCGTGCGAGGGAAAAGGTGAACTTTCAGCTTTGTAGCTCCGAAAAAGAGCACGACCAAGACTGGATCATGTCTCGCTCCATGCACTGAAATTTCACTCGGTACACTCTACCTTGAGAAAATGCAATTTAAACCATGCCTGCTTGGCTATGCCTTCATGATTCGGGATTCGGGATGTTGTACGATTAGACAGAGAAGATGCATTCGAAATCCACCAATCGAACACAGATAGTTGGCCAGACACTTGGTGGTTGGCAGCAGGTCGAACAAATCGATTGTGGCTCACAGAACCAGGTCAAAAACGCTTTGAGAACGGCGACCGCACAGCGGCAGAAGGTCTGGGACAGATGATTTGAATCAGGGTATCAGGGCACGGTACGAGCAGGCAACCCCGCCCCCTGTGTGTAACAACGCGGAGGGCTTTGTGGGTAAAGTATTGCGATTGTCATTGTTATGTGCGTCTGTCTTCTCGTGAGTTGTACGAAGCCACAATTCGAGTTTCACGGCACTTGCGGAGACGATAGTCATGCATGCCGAGCTGGAACTGGCGCTCAGGCCGCAAGTAGATGTCCAGTCCAGCGCCAAGACCGATGATGTAACCATTGTCGAAGCGCACGCAACGGTCGTGAAAATCCTCGTACTCGACCACCAGCCTGACACCGTACTCTTGCAGATTACTCTCAAGGCCCGCGAAAACCTCTGCTTGGTTGACCCTGGTGCGCGGCAGAGTCAATCGAGAGCAGATCAGTCTGGACGGAGCTGTAATTCACATCCCTATCAAATGCCACCACAAACGCCTTCTTGCCCTCATTGAAAGCAGAGGTAACGCACCCATCTTGTTGGTGCTTGGTTCGCACAACTGCCATTTTAAAGTTGTCTCGCCCGATACCGGCCAGGGCCGCCTCGAAGAAGTGAACCAAGTTGATAATCTGATGAGGTCGGTACAGGTATGGGTCCTCGACCGTGACCACTTGAGCGCCTGTGAAATACTTGCCAAACAATGTCTGGGCGGAGAGCGGAATACGCATACACGAGTTACGGATGCGAAGTCTTTGCGTACGCGTCGAGTGGCATCAAGCAGGAGGGATGTCGGCGTCTGCTGTGACCCGATCCTGCTACGCCCGCACCTATGCTGCTGTGCAAATCCACCAGTTGCTAGCGACATACTTGATAATCGTAGCCTACATCATTTTGCTTGATGTGCAGGACCTCCGCGCTGTGAGCCTTGGCAGCTTGATCAGCGCACAGGCGTTCCTTGCGCGCAGCCTCCTTCACGATTTCAGCCCGGGACATGTAGTCGCGAATGCGTTGTTGCAGATTGCCTCGCATATCCACGGGGAGGGTAGACTGGGGAGCGATGCATGGGACGAGCAGCTCGAGCGCGACGCGGTAGCTGTGGCAAGCGAGCAGAGAAGTTGGCTCATGAACAACAGGAAAAGCTTCCTTTGGCCCTGCCTGCCGGCCGCGTGCCTCTGAACTGAGTTCTCACTTGTTCAACGCTAGGTCGTAGCGGGCCTCCTTATCAAACTTGACCGCCTGTTGGACATACTCAATGCCCCGCTTCATCATGTCTTGGGACATGGTGCTCGTCAACACAATCGCACACAATTTCAATTCGAAAACCGAAAAAAAAAAATCAAAAAAAAAATCTGCAGGTTCATTTTTTTTTTTTTTTTTTTTTTTTTGGAACAACAACATACAACAACACATCGACTTCTTTTGGGAGTTGGGTTACAAACATCTCATAAAACGTGAAGACTCGGATGTGAGTACCGTAAGAAGAAGCTGAAAGAAAGTCATGCCAACCGAAGAAGAGTGCGAGTCCATGACAGGACGCCACGGGCATTGCATTGATGGCAGTGTGATGTCGGGCAAGCACAGCTTGAATCAAACATGCACACCTGATCATGCGTTATTGCACTACGCCTTTGACGTATCTCAACGAACCCAGACGAAGGAAAAGTGAACGCCAATGAACTCGGTCGCGCCACCCATGTCACGCGGCGCAAAGTCTCTGATGGGAAGATCTATTAGAAGCAACGTGGGGCACCAAACATGCCGAGTACGAGGAGGGTGAGGGGCCGGTTGTATTTGTGCTTGTGTCTGGTCCAAGAGTGGAATGCAGATTCGAACCTCCAGGCGTCCCAGTAAACTCAACCACAGTGCTGCGGGTGGTGGCATCGTTGGCTTTGCAATTGTCCACTGGCACGTTGAGCCCGTCCGATTCATAGGTCCAGAGAACGTCGTTATAGCCCTTGTATCGGAAGGCATACGAGTAGAGGTTGCTTGAATCATAGTAGTAGACCAGAGCGTCTTGACACGCCACAGTCAAAACCTGAAAAGCCTCAGAAGAACTAGCGAGAAGCAAGTCCAGCTGGTGATCGGCCATATCATAGGTAATTTCATAGCCCCCAGTGTGCACTGCAAGTACAACCGGAAGAAGAGAAATGGATGTGAGTCCTGGCAAAGGCCGAATTGACCAGAAGATGGTGTCATTAACGTACAAGAGAAAAACCGATAGCCGTCCGTGCCCGAAGGATTCCAAGCCTTAAATGGAACCTGCTCAAGCGGTGCAATGCCTGTCCAGCCGCCGCCCGTCTACGAGACAGCGAGTCAGAACCAGTGTGAGTGCGGCAGGAATTTACATCACGTTGTTGTATTCAGTAGTAATGTTGTGTTTCAAGACAAAGAAAACTCGCAGCAGCAAGACCAGGAAAATTAATGCAGCAACGGCTGGTTTGAGAAATTGGTACGGCGCCGCTTGTTCAGCAAGGGGTTGTGCATGCAAAGTGCAAGAGCGTAATTCATAAGAGGCGTACCATGTTGCAGAACACTCGGACCGAGTCGTTCCTCAATCCACCATTCGGATCAATGTAGTAGTACGTGTCATTGGACCCGTAGCCATGCATGAAAATGTCAAGGCATGATTTGCCCGGTCGCATACGCGTGCCATACGCCACGACAGGGCCTTGAAAGGCCTCGGAGAGGCGCACTTCACTGAGAGAAAAGCCAAAGCTTTCGTTGGCCTGCGTCCGCCAAAGCATGCCACGCGGCGCAGGCAGACCGGTGAGAGGCGAGAGGATGCACGGGCTGGTGCGACTTGAAGCCAGCACGGGGGCGCACATTGCCAATGTCAGAAAGCCACATGTCCACAATGGGGAGGGCCGTGGCGGGACCCTCCATATCATAGATCGAGAGGCCAAGCTCATCAACATGGTTTTGAGAGCAATTATCAAACACAATGTTGGGCCGGAATACGCGGCCCTGAAAGCCCAGGTCGTCAGCAGTAGGAAAGGTCCAGACCTCGCCACTGCAAGATATCAGAGGGTGCAGGCCAATGTCAGCAACGTGATCTCAGCAGGAGACAACCGCGTGACTTCGAGTGAGTCAACTTTCAAAACCGAGACGGGGCCTTGTCAAAACCTCGCGCAACGTACGAAAGGCCCACCAAGACCACGGGATACTCGTAGTACCAGTCGACATCATCCCAGAGGCTTGAAATAACACCGCGGCAATCGAGCTGGATCGACTGGCGTCCCGAGCTTGAACGAGCCTAGTCGACAAGGAACAACCAGACCAGTGCACCAGCATGATGTCAAGATGCGAGCAAGTGGTGCAGCACGACATCAAGGGTTGGACCGGGGTGAGCAAAGACTCACCAAAAGAGCACGCAGCTGATCATCAGGGATGTCCCCATACTGGAAGACGGTGTCATTTATCGAACGAACACTCTCCCAGCGATCGGCAGACGCATCTGCGCTAAAGTGTCCACCCATTGGAAGGGCTGGCGGGGCGGGTAGCACCGTGTACACTGTATTATCCACCTGATTCAAGGGGGAAAGGAGAAGGGTTAGATGCACCAAGGAAAACCCACGGCCATCAAAAGCCGAGCAGGACATGATGACACATGGGCACCCAAAGGTCTGTTTCTGCGGATGGGCCCCCTTGGCAAAATCTCTGAGCGAGCGTCAAAGGCCTCACCCGCTCGCATTTGAGCTGCACTGCATCATGCGTGCTCTGGCCATTGGGATCTATTTGTGGGTAACCAATGACATGAATACAAATTCAAAGCAGATGTTGTGCACGCTGCGCTGGATCACCACAGCGCGAATGGGGCTTCTTCCGTCGATCGTACCCAACCAATAGGTGCCATTAGTCAGGCCGAGGTTGACGTTGAAGATGGCTTGACAAGAAGCGGCAGCAGCCCCTCTACTCGATCCATCGCGAACAAGGATGGTCGAGAGGTTGTGCGCCACTTCATCCACGCGCGCAGACAATGCTGGCAAAGTCGTCTCAGTAACCTAGAGCCAGAAGGCGACATGAGTGTCTGCATTTTCAAAGGGGATTTTATTATGTCACTGAGCAAGGAGTGAAGGCGGTGAGGACAGGGGCGGGCCACATACCACGGTCAAGTCGGCCTCAAGCTGATCTGTAACCTCTTGGTTTGAGCTCTGCAAAGCGGTCAAGTTGGCGTGGGCTTCCTCGCGAAGCTGGTTTCGGGCATGCATCTCGGTCTCGGCAAGTGCAGAGAAGTTGGCCTGAGTTTCGGTACGAAGAACACTGCGTGCGGTCGCGGCAGCTTCAGCAAGGGCGGAGATGTTGCTTTGTGTTTGGGCGCGAAGCTCGTTGAGCTGAGATAGCACTAGTTGCGAGTGTGTGATGGCCTCATCAATTTCCTTGGACACCAAGCAAGAGCAGGAATGGATGCAGATGCAGGTGAGTAGGGGTAAGTGAATGGCGCTTTGACAACAGTGCAGGCGGGCTGAATCGAGGATGTTACCTGCAGCAGGTTGGTGGAGATGGTGTCAGCGGTGACGTTGAGCGAGTTGGTGAAGAGCTCATCGAGTTCGCGAATGGTGGCTTGAAGAGAAATGTTCAGCTGTTGATTGGTGTCGGCAATTGTTCCAGCCAGCTATGCCAGGAAGTGTGTGTGTGTGTGTGCGGCCAAAGTCAAGGGGTGAGTCGATGAGTGAGGGAGTGAGGGGCGGTGGAGCGGGGTGACCAAGCCGGAATGATCAAGCACAGGCCACCAGGATACGGGCTCGTACGGAGGAGATATTGGCTTGAAGGGCATTGCGCATCTGCACGACACTGGTGCGGTAATTGCCATCCAAAACTACAAACTCGACATCCTTCAAGGAGAAGGGCGAGCGGTGAGGGGGCGAGACAGTGTGGGTCCTGCTCACGCATGTGTGCATTGCGAGGTCCTACCGTCGCCTCCATCACGATCGTGCCCTCTGTGACCTCCATGCTAGGCTCGGCGCCCAGCCCACTCCATACCGTTGTGAGCAACAACAGAAGAACAGCACCTCGCCTCAGCCAAGGCAAGGCCATGTTGCTGTGATCAGTCGGCATTGCCGAGAGCATCAAGCATCAGGGATCAACCGCGCGCGCGCGCAATAAAAAGAAGAAGGACCACGACAACCACCACGACACCACCACCACAAAAAAAAAATGCGCACTGGGGGATGGCACGGAAAAAGCTCTGGTTGTGGTGTGTGTGTGTGACGACGGGCTGACTTGAGGGATGAATGGCGACACACACATCTTCAACTGCACATGTCAGATAAAACACACACACACAAACAAGTTGTTGAGATGTGTGATGTGATGATGTGTGCAATTGCTGATGAGGGAATTCAAATTCAAACACTGTTTATGGTCATCAGCGAATCCAGACAGAGGTAAAGTTGAGGCCGATGTGCTCATTCGGTCCCGACAAGTCGGAGGGGGCAAAGTCGACGATAGGCAGTCCTACGCAAGACAGGATGTGCGTGAGCGATTGTTGTTGTGGCGTGCACGTGCAGCCATTCAGCAGGCGATGAGAACGTACGGTCAGCTTGACCCGTGAGGGAGATCACTGAGGCTCGGCGCACAGAGTCGTTGGCCTTGCAACCATCATGTAACACCTGGAGTGTACATGCAGTTGGCGCCGGCCGCGTGTGTGGTGTGAGGAATCGCTGTCGATGAAACGCATGGCACTCGCGCAAGAACAGTCCGTACCGTGTAGTTGGCATTTTGATGCAGCCACTGAAAGCCGTTGTAACCCTCAAAGATAAAAGCAAAGTTGAGTGACCCATCAGATTCACGCTCATAGACAATGGCATCAATGCAGTCTACCGAAACCATCTGGGTTGCCTCGGAAGAAAGAGCCAAAAGCGCTGACAGCTGGTTGCTTCTCATGCTGTATGGAATCGTAAAGCCATCGTCCAGGGCTACCACGGGTACAACATTCAGGGGTGAGCGCCGCAACAATCCATATGCTCACAGCTTTGGTATACCATGTGTTGATAGTCAATCTAAACGCGCCGTTCATCCCCGAACACTCACTCGAAAAGAAGCGATGTCCATCGCCGCCCCCTTCTGAATTCCAAGCCCGGAACGGCACCTGCGTATCAGCCCATGCACGCGATCTTTGTCAAAGGTGTAACAAAACTGTAAAAACACAGCCGGTTTTGTTGACGATATCAGATCGCAGCTAAAAACGCACTTGTTCGGTGACGGAGACACCCGTCCAGCCTCCGCCCGACTACCAACACACGAACATGAGTTGGAAAAAAAATTCAAAGTCTCAAAGTCTTCTCGCTTTGTTCTGATCTTGAACAGGTAAGCGCTTTGTGAGCAACGCCAAGCAGGATGGCCGGTGGCCGGATAGGCCAATGGCATACCATATTGCAAAAGGCCATCACGTAGTCGCGCGGGTCGCCGCCATTGGGATCAATGGCGTAAAGCGTGTCATTGAAGGCTTGGCCGTGCATGAAAATGTCTAGACAGGAGCGGCCTGGCCGCAGGCGCGAGCCATAATGGGCCTCTGGGCCAAAAAAATTCTCGGTGAAGCGCACTTCGCCAATGCGAAAACCGACATACTCGTTGGCCTAGTGATGTACCGGGAAGCCACAGGTGAGAGCGGCCTCGTGGGAAGGCGTGCAGAGAGTTATGGTTGACGCTAAGCTTCAAACGCACATCTCCTTGATCGTGGATCCAGAGATCGACAATGGGAAGGGCCGTTGCAGGCCCCTCGAGATCGTAGACGGATAGACCCAGGACATCATTGCCATTCTGGGAGCAGTTATCCATGACAATGTTGGGCCGAAAAATGCGGCTGTCAAAGCCTTCTTGGTCGCCAGTGGGTAGCGTCCAGACATCCCCACTAAGAGCACGTCCAAGATCGGATCAGATGGCAAAGTGGGAAGCCGAAGCCAGCAACAATAGCAGAGACAGCTGGTGGCGTTGGTCAGAAGCATGGTATGCAAGCTGATGTCAGGGTTTGCCAACGCTTACTTGAGAGCAACCATGACGATGGGGTTTTCATAGTAATAGGTCCGTTCGTCCCACAGACTTGTCACAATGCCCATGCAATCCACCTGCACACGCTGGTGGGCACGAGTGGAGTGACGCTGCCAGACAAAACATCGACATGCATGCACACGTGATGAGAATGCGGCGCGGTCGGGATAGGTGCAATTGTGCCGTTGACTCAAGAATACGTACTGCCAGGGCCTGAATCTGGTGCATGGGAATGCCACCATAATCAAAGGCATCCGCGCCAAGAGCCGACTGCAAACTGGCATACGAATCGCCACGAGGTGTGCCAAAGTGTTGTCCAAGAGGAAGGATCTCCATGGCTGGTACCACGGTGTAAACGACGTTGCCTGCCTGTTCCCAAGCGCGACAGCGACGGAGGCGGGGGGACGGCGGGAATAAATTTTGGCGTCAATGAGGAAGGTGCAGGCTTCTTCAGGCCGGGTGCGGTGACATACCCGCTCGCAAGTCAGCTGCACGGCATCACGTGTGCTGCCGCCATTGGGATCTTTGTTGGTCATTCAGCATCAAGGGTTGTCAAACAACGGGTGAATCCGACAAGCTGGGCTCGAGCGTACGTGTCCGCGCTAGCAGAGAAGAAGGAGGACTTACCAAGCCAGAAAGTGCCGTTTGAAAAGCTGGGGTCTACTTCGTAGATGCCCTGGCAAGAGCGAGCAGCGGCATCCCGCGAAGCTCCATTCAGCGACGCGGCCGAGGGACTATCCAGCTCCAGGGCAGCCACGCGAAGGCTCAAAGGGGTCACGGCGTCATTGACAATCTTGAAAGAGGCGGGCATGAGCGGCCGCGACCGGTTATCGTGGTGATCAATAGGAAATAGGCGCAGATGTGGCCGTAACGCACCTCGCTCAGACTATCATCGAGTTGCTCCAGGCGACTATTGACGGTCGTGAAGTTTGCCCCGGCAGCCCGTCCCAGTGCGTCAAGTGCTTGCAACAAAGCCTGGTATTCGGTCTGTGTGGCACCGAGCTCCTATTGATTCAGCCATCGGGTCAATCCAACCCATCAGATATCCACAGCGTGAGATTTTTTTTTCTTGTTGCTTCGTTTCCCTCAAATGGCGTGCGTATGTGGCCAGATGTGTGCCCATGCGTCTGCCTAGTTTCCAAGGTACCTCGTGGAGTTGGTGGACGACAGCTTGCAGTGAGGCATTCATGTCTTGATTGATATCGCCGAGTTTCGTCGCCAGCTAGCGAGGTGACGGGCGTCACACAGTATCAGCCAATCGGCAAAAGGCGTCAAAGTTCTGGGCGAAGTCTGTTGTCTTTTGGGCTTCCTTTGCAAAACTTACCGCCGTCAAGTTGTCTTGCAGAGTGTCGTGCAGCTCTCGGATGCTAGTGGTAAGCGTTCCCGAGTCCAGTTCAAAGCGTACGTCCTAGCCCCCCGCCCCACCAGACACCATGAGATGTTTGTTTTCGAGTGGGCGGGATTGTTTTTTTTCTCACATCGATGTACGCAGGCCTTTTGTCCTCAAGCGGTAGACGCACCTCTGCAACCAGCATAATCACATCGCGGTCCACTGTCATGGTCGGAGGCTCCTCCTCCAAGGCAGTGGCCACAAGGCCCAGGTTGACCAATGCCACTGCCAGTGCCACCACCACCATCATCACGGTCGGATACTTGGTTGGCGTCATCTTGAGTGGTGTGTGCGAAAGTGTGCGTGTGTGTGTGTGTGTGTGTGTGATGTTGTGATGATGTGTTTCTTTCGTTCGTGTTCTGTCTCGTGATGTCAGATAAAAAAGTTCCCGCGCAAAAAAATGTCAGTTTGTCGACAACAGTTTCGCAGTGAAAACGTGTTGAGACACGTTTGCGGGCGCCGTAACGGATAGTTTTTGAGGGTTGACTGGTTTCTATTGGCGGCGGCGACCGATGGCAGTGGCGGCGCATGCAGAGCGTGCAATTCTGTATGATTGCACGCATTGGTGAATCAGAGGTTTGGGTATTCTCCACGTCTACCCGCTGTGTCTCGTGTGCCCCGGGACCAGCTCAATGGCCAAAGACGCGTTTGTTCAAGTTCTGGTGGGGAGCGGCGTTGTGTGTGAGCCGCACCGGCCCTTCTCGTTAAAGACCTCGTTCTTACAAGCTCGACAAGAGCTGGAGAGCAGTGCAAGCCAAGAGTCCGAAACGATCGTTGACGACCTCGCTGGTAATCTGCCTGCGTTTCGCCCTGAGTGCCCAAGCCCGGCTCCTCTGATATTGTTGGCGTGACTCTCTCTCTTGCTCACCTGGGTAGCCTGGCTGGAGGAGGCGTTTGCTGACCAGCGCCGCATGCAGCGCTTGCTCCAGCCGCTGGATAGCAATCGGTACCTTGTCGCTGTGCTCCCTTGCCCTTTTCTCGTGGACCCCCCTCTTTGGCCTTTTCGCCGTCCTACTCTTTTCTTTTCTTGCCTTCTTTTTTTTCAAGTCGTTCATTGGGTGCCTGTTCTCACGTTTTCCCTCGGCGTGGCTGTCCTGCAGATCACACACGCTTTTGCGCCTGTGCTTGAATGCACGTCCTCTGCAACTCACTGTGCGCGGCAAGATTCTAGAAAAGGTGGCCGATGTTATGTTAACCGATGATGATTCGTAAGTCTTTGCTGTGTGATGTTGATGGGGCCTTGGAACTTGCGGCTGCTCTCACGCTCTTTGACCCAGTCTCCAATATTCCCAGGGCCCTGTTCAAGGAGACCTGCGTGCCCACGCCATACCCAAGCGTTTGCTGGATCAGCTTTGCTGGCTAGATACGGTGGCTGAACCCGAGGTATGACGTTGGTTGGAAAGTGCGCGCGCATGCCAGATGACTGGGTGGCCGCTGGAGGCGTGAATCAAAGCCGTGGTTTGCACACGGTAGAGACTGGTGCTTGGCTCAACGGTTGGAATTGGCTTTGGCAGGAGCTGCTTACATCCCTCTTTGAAGATGTTTTGCCGGTGGCCCCGACTCCCTTGCAAAAACACGTGCGTCGGCAGCACATCGCTGCACAAACACACCGTCCTCGTTCTCCATCCACCCGAACACTCAGCATGCTGCACCCTGACAGATTTTGCAGCTGTTACCCGAAATCATTGACGACAGCGTCGCCGATGAAGCCTTCAAGTGCAGCACCAAGGTTAGAGCATCGTCATTGTCAGGCAGCCTTATGCTTGCCGTGTCTCATCTCGATGCCTTCTCCATTCGTGCGGGGTGTGGGGCGCTTCTGGCAGCTGGTTGAAGGCAATCCGCACCTTTTGAGCGCCGCACTGGACCTCTATTCCAGCCTCAAGTATGCTTGTGGTTCAGACGAGGCAACCCGCTTCATGGCATTTCCTTGGACTTGCCTTCTCCGTGCCGGTCGAGTAGCTCTCATAACATGTTTCCTCAGGTGTTCGCGGCACGTGTTGGATACTTTTTACGCCAAGATTCTCGAGGAATTGCCCAGCCTGCCCGTGGCTGTTATGCCGGCCCTTGTTGCCTTCTTGCTCAGCCATGGTGGGTCAAATTGGCCCTTTGAGTGCTTTTCATGCTGCCGCACGACTGTTTCCTGCCGGGCCGTTGTTGCTCTTCACGCTCAAACGAACCAATTGCCATGCATTAGCCGACAAGGACCCATCAGAGGTGGTGGCGGCCTTGCGTGAGCATGTGCACTTTGAGACACTGGGCGGTCGAGAGAATGCCCAGGAGGCGTTGGTCGTGTCCACGCTCTCTAACGAACTCAACATCAATCAGCCGTGCGTCGTGGTTGCCCAGTCGTGTTGTGTGGCTGTCCCGGTGCCAATCAAACGTACCATGGTCCATTGCGACGGACAATGCTCTCCTCGTCTCACCCACACTGCCGTCGTGCCATTTTACTTTCTCGTGCTTGCGGGCAGGGTGGCCGCAGCATGGATCAAGCAAGTCCGCGATACCAAGAGCTCAACTGACATCAAGGTGGCGTGCCATTTGCGAGACAGCTTCCGGATGGGCACCCACAAGAGGGGATCAAGCGGTTTTTGTTAATGAGCCCACTCCTGCCATGCCTTTTGCTGCCAAGGTGGTGGACGTAGTCGTTCTCTTCATCCTCCTGCAAAACCGTACACACCGCAAGCTGGCAGAGAAAGCCGTTGCTCGCTGCCTCAAAAATGGTATCTTGACTACAAAAGTGAGTAAATGGCCACGACCAGTTTGTTTGTAGCTGCCACAGGTGGCACTGTGCTGAATCGACCACTTGTGTTCTCGTGGAGAAAATCATGGGCTTGTTCTCATGGATGCATTGATGTATGACTTGCTTCCTCCATCAGCGCTTGACGGATGTTCTGACGGTCCACGCGGTGGTTTTGGAGACCTTTTTCCCGACACTGCTGGCGCTAGCCGAGTGGACCTTGCGGGCCAAGGCGCGCCCGTTGTGCGAGGTGCGCAAATCTAGGCTCGAGGGCCCTTTGCACTGTGGTTTGTCCCCCTGGTGCATCTCAACGTGATCATAACCGTGATCGCTCGCAATAGGCTGGTCAGCAGCTCTATGCTTGCATGTTTAGCCTCTTTGACGCCTTTTGTCAACAAGAGGTACGCGTTGCGGGGGGTTCCCGCTGTTCGTATTTTTGTTCGAGCAGCAAGAGCCGTCTGGACCCTGCCCTTGCTGCCGTTCGTTCGATCGAGGTGAGCCACAGTACATCTTATGAGTCTTGCGCCCTGTAGATTGTTGGTTGCTTGATTGCACACGTGTGCAACGGCGACAATTCCGGTGAAACCGAAGCGGCTCTTGCTGTGCTCGACGCATGTGCCCGAGATGCTCCTGAACGGTTGGGCCGCTTCACAGTACTATTGCGGGGCATCTTTGAAGCCATTCAAACTCTTTCGCTAAGTGATGTACGCAAGTACTTTACTATCCTTACTACCATCACTGTGCAGCAGGAGGTCGGTTCTCGATACCGCCCTATCCCGGTTCAAGATCACCAAGGGGGAGGGAGGGTGTTGTTTTGACTTTTCCCCAACTGACATGATAACTCTCTTTTGATGTTTGCTTGTGTCTGTCTGCTGCAATCTGGCTGTTCACCTGTCAATACTGCATGCGCAGGACTCGGATGCCATTGTCAATGACGAAACCCATATACTTTTGCGCAAGCTCGTACGTGCAAAACCCGGCTGTATGGTCACACACACTTGTCGCAGGTCCAGCCTTTTGATATTTTTTTTTTTTTTGGATGCTATGCGTGGTGACCGTTTTTAGCTGTCCCATCCAGATACCCACTTGCGCACGCTTGGCGTGGTTGCTACGGTTTCTGTCGTGCAGCGGGCATCAGCACTGGCCTTTGGCGGCACAGAAGACGACGCAGAGGAGCTGCCAGATGGTATCACACGCTTGTTTTGTTCTGTCATGCTTCCTTCATCCCATCAATCTTTTGAATTATGAGCCAACTCGAGCCGAGTCTGTCTGCTGTTTCTTCACGTCACACATCTTGTGACTCGGCTTGTCCATGTCGACTCAGAGCGCCTCATGAAGAATCTGCTCCAGCTCTTGAACCTGGTCCCGCAAAAGTATGAGTCGTGCCTGACCTCAGCCTCCGAACTCAAACCCAGGCCCCATGACCACAGCCTCTGGCCATGGACTCATGACATTGTGCTGCCATCGCCCGTCGCACGCCTGGTGGTTCGCAGCATTCGTCAGGACCCGGCCACGCTGAGTCTGTTCTACGATGAGCTGGTAGCTGCAGTGTTGCTGCAGGCGTTTCCTCGTCCGATGCTAGAGCGCATTAGCATGACCTTTACGGACGGCTTTGTGAGTCAGTTTCTGGTGGAAAAGTCGGTCAAATTGACTTCACCCATCGCAGGCGAGGACAATCTGGAGCTATCGCCGCAATTCGGCCTCTCTGAGGAGGACGAGATTGCGGCCTCATTTCTGGAAGTGCTGCTTCAGCGCCAACGAGCCGATGTTTTGATGCCACTCTTTTCCCAGTTCAAGTTGATGCAGAGCATTCACATGATTCTCCAGGGCAACCTGGACCAGATCGATTCCATCAACACCTGCCCCATCTGGATGTACAACGTGCATGACGTGGACTTTGAGCGAATGAGCAACGAGTACAAGGACTTTTATTGTCATGGAATTTTGGCCTGCGTCAACTGGTTTCGGGAAGTGAGTGTGATCCTCGCTTGCCTTGTACTGCACCTTTGTCATGTCGTGCATGGCTGACGTTTTATTCGTCCTTCATTCAATTGCGACCGACCTACCTCGCAGCTACTCAATGCCTTTGCAGCATTTGACACGGAGCATGCGGTTCAGCGCATGCGTCAGATGATCCAGTTGGAAGACCTTCTGGAGCGTTGCCTGACCATTCACAGCGACTTTGTTCCCGTAGCGGCCCATGCAGAATTCCAGGCCGAGCTTGAGGGCAAACGGATTGTTCCTAATGCCCGCCGAGGCGGGGGTGGTGGTGGTGGTGGGGCTCTACCTCGCCGATCATCGTCGGCTCCAACCGCAACCGATGCCGAGCATGGCGAGGCCAGCCTTGACCCTGGTGAGCCGGGCACGGATATTGACGGCGCGCTCAATCTACTCCCAACGGATATGGCAACTGGCCTACCGTGGGAGTTTAAGCGCTTTTTCATGCGTGAGCTGGACCTCCGCGCCTTTACGGTACGCTCGGTGGGTACTAATTGTGTGATTTTTTTCTACTTTATTCATCTCTCGTCTGAACCGTTCACCGCATAGTTGCTTCGTGCGGGCAGCCGCGATTTGCTGGCGGAAGAGACGCCAGGAGTAATGCTGCAACCGGCTGAGGTTCTTTATCTGGCGGTCGAGCTGGAGATCAAGCTCCGACGGGCTTTGCGCGCACGGCCACTCGCCTTTGCCTCGAATCAGAGCCTGGCAGGTTACACCTTTGTACTGCAGCAGCCCGCCGACGTCATTGCAGGCTTTGCCGTGGGATTCACGCCCACCCTGTGCAACTTGGTCGAGGAAGCCGTCAGCCAGCTTGGTCAGCGGCAGCGGGCCCAGCTGACGGGTAGTCTTGGGGCCGAGTCTCTTCCCGAGGGTGAGGATCCCGCAACACCCCACGGCGATCCAACACATGAAACTACGGCGCTGCAGCACAACCAGTGTATTGTGCACGTGATCAAGATCTTTCAGCACGTGTTGCAGTGGGCGTCGGCTGGGGCTCACAAAGTGCACGCCCAGGACTTTCAACTTCATCTGGCCGTGCGTGTGAATCAGAAGGAGGAGATGACCGAGGCTGAAGCTGCTTGCGGCGCCATGGACTACTTGCTAGGCCTATGCGAGACAGTTGTGTACGACGACGCCTTTGCCGGTCTTTTGGAAGTCTTGCAAGCCATGCATGCCATCAGTGCCGAGCATGATGAGGAGAATATCTGGGCCCGTCGCATTGCACAACAAGGCTTACGGGGGCTGCAGCGTTGCTGGACGAAGGACCCCAAGCGACCAGTGCGACCAGCACACTTGGCAACCATGCTGCGCACGCTGCTTGCCTTGACGGATGACGCATTGGAGACTGTTGATGACCTCGTCTGCAATACCTTGCTGCCTCTGATCACTGACTCGGTGCGTGACCTGTGCCGTTGTCCCACAACTCTTTGTCTTGACGCAATGAGAGCAAACCAAGTCGTGGTTTTCTTCTCACTCCACAGCTGACTTGCGCTTTCGACGTTTTCCTCAACTTGTTCTCACAAATACTGCATTATTGTCACTGGCAGATGGATTCGAGCGCAACCGAGCCTAGTGCCAAGCGAAAGAAAGGGCTGATGGTGTCAGAGGAGTACCCAACCATGTGCAAAACAACCTTTTCCACTTACCTGCGTGAATGCATGACGGTCTTGGTCGACGTGGTTGCCAAGTCCGACATCCTTCACTCTACCGGTGCGTATGGATCCGGATCTTTGCTTCGACCCTCAACATGGGTTGCCAAGCAAGCGTGCTGTTTTTGCTCTATCGCTCTCTGCCCCGAGTCGATCACCTCCCTCCCATCGGTATATCCATTGCTTTCCGTGTAAACCAGGGCAACCTGTTAGCGCGGCCTTGAGTAAGATGGACCATAACACCCTCGAGGCTGTTCGGCATCAACTGGATCGCTTGACGACTGCCAACCAAGTTTGTGCTTGCCAGCCACAGCAGACCATTTCCTGTTCTTTTGCTTCAATTTGTGGTCATCACTCACGGCATATGGTGGTCTGTAGACGCTAAGCTCTTGCATCCGCTGCATAGAGAGTGCAGCTGGACGAAATCGTTCTGTGCTCCAAGTTCTCTACAAGTCATCGCGGCAGTACCTTGAGCTGTTTGTCAAGCATTGGTTTGTTTCTGCTTCGTGTTTTGCTTCGGTTGTCCTATGTATGCGTGACGCCTTGGTGGGTGGTGCAAAGGATGGGACAAGAGCGCGAGCGCACAGGTGTTGTGTGTTTGCTTTTTCCTCGTGTCACGTGCACCTTGTATCCTGGATGGGATGTCCCGAGCAGCATGCCGATGGTACGCGCCAGCCTTCGTCGCCTTCCGGGCGAATGTGTGGCCGTTCTCAAGAATATTCAAAAGAGGTGATGCCGCCAATCTTGTGGACGCGCGAACAGACCAATTTTTACATGTGTGTCGCCTTCCATGAACGCCGAGCCGACCCTTGCTGATAGCTCTGGTTTTTGCTTTTCCAAATAGCACGCGTATCTTGCAGCGCCTCTGCGGGCACAGCAAGGTGGAGCAGGACGTTGCGTTGACGGCACACGTACCTCCGCTACGTCGAGTGATGGATAAGCTTGTGTTTCAGACCAAGGTGTGCACATTTGTGTGTGCCCAACTGGCCGGGCAATTGTGGTCTCTCGCACACCTCATTGATCTGCTGCATGTGAGAAAGGCCATGATCGAGGAGCTTGATCAAGGGACTGGAGATTCCATCACGATTGGGACCCTCAAGCATCGGACTTTGGATGGTGAGAAAGACAGCAGTGTGGTTTGGAGCATTGATGATGCTCTCTGGCTTCTTCGCTTCAGACTCACGGCCTTCTGGCTTGGAATGCCCCTTGTCAGGTGATGTTGTGGCCTCGCAGATGCCCGTGCGCCAGATGAGTCAGGATGATGCGGAGGACGATGACGAAGAAGAGGAAGATGAAGATGACGAGGAGGATGGCGAGGGCAAGGCACATGATGATGATGATGATGATGGGCATGGTCGTCGACCAGGCAAGGCACGCATGAGCAACGTCAGCGCAAGCCGTGGAAAGCGTCAAGGTGGACGAGCCAGAGGGTCCGGCCAGGCGGGGAAAATCAAGGAGAGACAGAAAGCTGCCAGAGGCCGATCTCTGGTGCAGGACATGGCTGACGGTTCTGATGGATCCGAGGATGAGGAAGATGAGATGGATGAGATGGATGAGAACCCCAACAACGCGATGGCTGAAGTCGGCAGCGACAATAGTGATGCCGAAGTCATGGATCAGAGTGATGAGGAGGATACCGTCGAGGGCGGAGAGAATAGCGAGGTAGGTTGTTTGCATGTGTGCTGTTTTGGACATTCAAAGCTAAACTGATATCTGTGGCATGGTAGGCTTTGGCGGGGCCGAGCTCCGATGAGGAGCAGGAAGAAGAAGAAGAAGATGATGATGATGATGATGATGAGGATGAGGATGATGAGGATGATGAGGACGAAGGAGAGGGCGAAGATGAGGACGAGACACTGGAGGTGCCGGACACCAATGCTTAATGCGAACGTGCCAATCGAGCTCTGTCAGAGGCGACTTGGATTTATCATCAATTAGTGTGGGTTGGCCTTGCCAGGGTCTGAGGATTGTGGTGTGTTGGACTTTGAAAGACAAAGCCAGGTCATCTGGAATGTATATTATGCTCTCACGAATTCTTTACATCCGGATGCATGCAAAGAAAGTAATCTGCGGGGTAGGTGGCTTTTGCCCGCGATTGGGTTTGAAGCAGGCTTGGCGTTTGTGGGTGTTGATGCCCACATAGTGAAAATACAAGGGTATATAGCTGGGGTAAAGCTGGTTAGTGTGGCCATGATTTAATCCAGGTAGCCAAATTGGTAGGCCTCTGCCATGAGCTTCTCTCGAACATCGGGGTGCGCAATTTCAATCAGCGCCTAATGGGTGAGGGGAATAAAGTGAGGGCAGATGGTAGCTCCTGGTGTTCTCCGAGGGCGGGCGATGGCAAGGCAACAGGCAAGATGCAGCTGAAAGCGTGAAAACGGGAAGCCGGCGAGGCAGATACATACCACAACACGCTCCTGGACTGACAGGCCCTTGAGGGGCGCGACACCATACTCAGTAATGACCGTGTCAACGTCATTACGGGAGATGGAGATTTTGGCACCAGCCTGAAGCTGGGACACAATCTTGCTTTGCCCGTTCTTACTGGTGGAACGCACGGCAATGATGCTGCGGCCGCCGGGGGATTTTTGAGCGGCCACGTGCGTATCAGCCGCACCACCTACGCCAGAGAGCTGGCGATGGCCCACTGACTCGGAGACGATCTGGCCGGTGAGGTCCAGCTCGACGCATGTGTTGATGGAATGCATCATGTGCTGACGCGAAAACTCCTCCATCGAGTTGACGATACGACCGGGCACCAAGAAAACGCCGGGATTGTCATTCATAAAGTCGTACAAGTCCTGAGTACCGAGGGCAAACGAACCAACCATGCGCTCGGGGTAGCGCGATTTGTACTAACATGACGATGCGACATGGGAGAGAATGCAGAGGTGAGGTGAGGTGAGGCGAGGCCGCGGCGGCCGAAGGCAAACAGTCAAGAGGGGCGCACGTACCTTGCCGGTCACGACACCGCTTTGGAACAGCTTCATGAGGCAATCATTAATCATCTCGGTATGGACGCCTAGGTCCCGCTTCTCCAACAAGGCGTCGCCGAGAGCGTTGGGGATGCCACCGATACCAAACTGAATTGTGGCCTCGTCGGGAATGAGACTGGAGACAAGACCAAAGATGAAGCCAACGACGACGAGGCAACGTTTTGTGAGTCAGCGTGCGTGTGAAGAGCCCTCGGGCAGGAGGCAGGGTCGTGGCAGGCAGGGACGTACTCGGCGACATAGCGGGCAATGATCATGTCAATGTCATCGTATTCCGCCTTGGGCAGCTTTTGAAGCTCAGCAGTGCAGCCATCAATGAGGATATCAGCAGATTCGATGGGAATGACAGGGGAGCCATGAACATAGGGGATGTTGGGGTTGACTTCCAGGATGACGACATCGGCCTTGCGCATAATGTCGGTCTCGTAGACGCAGCCCGGACCCAAGGAGACGTAACCGTTCTCCTGGGGTGGAGTGCAGCTACCCCAAAAGACGTTGATGGGGCCGGCCCGCAGGATGTTCTCACTCCAGGTGGAGAGGTGATGCGGCATGTAGCTGACGCGTCTGCCTTGAAGGTGGCGGATGGCGTGGTTAAGAAACATGGTGGTGAAGTGAATGCGCTCACCAAGGTTTTTGTCTGCAAAGATGGGGACAGGCTCGTTTGGATTGGCGCAGTACACCTTGAGGTCTGTCAGGGTTGAATCCATTTCCAGCCAGCGATGGATGTTATGGTAGAAATAGTAAGGCTCGGAGACAGCCATGGCAGTGACGATGCGAGAGTCGGGGCGGAGGACGGCGGAAGCCACTTCGTCAATTTTGTCCACGGATACCACGCGGGGCATCCCACGACGGGCCGTGGTCATGTATCGCGCGCTAGATGCGCGAGCTGCCAGGGAGGCAGCTGCTCGGCGAGGCCACATGGTGGGCAGTAAAAACAGCTGCTGCGACCGGGTCCGACAGTATGCGACGAAGCCATCATGCGTGAGTGCGGCTTTGACACACGTGTGTGTGTGTGTGTGTGTGTGTGTGTGGCGCTTGAAGTGTTTCAAGGGCCACTGGCAGGCTTGTGAGAGCAGGTGCGCGTGTGGTCAGTATGGCAGCTCAACGCCCACATGGATCTTGGCAGTGCGTCAGAACATGTCGAAAATCAGTGAGGGAAGCGGGGGGCGATGGAGTCTCACTGGAAACGGCAGTCGGGGCTAGCTGGACAGACAAGCCCACCTGGTGGACTGAATTTTGGAACAACCAACTCAAGGATGAAATGGAGGAAGAAACTGCCTGTTGAGGTCGGCGGTTGACCTCGAGCGCGCATGTTGTGCGTCTCGTGTCTGTGTGTGTGTGACGGGTGCGTGCCAGCTGTCGAGTGTGTGTATGTGTGCGGGCGCGTGTGGCAAGCAAGGAGAAGGCGCTAACGTCATCACACTCCCCACCCAGTGCGTGCTTGTGTGTGTGTGTGTGTGTGTGTGCGTGTGGAAGGAGGGCAGAGGAGGTGTAATGGCTATATTGCCAGTGGGTTGAGGTGCGGCAGCGGCCGGGATTCAAAGCTCACCTAGGTCTGAGAGGATGTGTTGTTGTCCAGCAAGCGTCTGACAGCATCAGGCAGCGTCAAAAAAAAAAAAAAAAAAAGAGGCGCGTGCGTGAGCATGTGATCACAGGGAAACGGCAGCCAAAGCGCGGGCCACAGGCTGGCAACGGCAGGGCGTATCGCAGCACATTTGGGATCAGACGCATCGCCATTCACCCGGACAGCATATCCATCCCTCATCCATCACCTGCCCCACTGCCAAAGGGTCCTCATACCTGGCCGCTGCCGTAGTGACGCCGGGAAGCGGGTGGTACACACGCGACACCACACACTACGAGAAAATAAAATTCAGAGAGAGAGAGAGAGAGAGAGAGAGAGAGCGTGCGTGTGTGTGTGTGTGTGTGCGCGCGCGGTTGGCAGGCAAAGCTGACGCTATCTCGTCTCAATGTGTGAGGACGCGTGCGCAACAGCCACTGCAACTGCGGGGCACTTTCCAGTGGCCCCCGAGACGGTGTGGCGCTTAGGACCGCCTTTCACAGGCAACGAACGTCCAGCCCCAGCGACCCAGCTGCCCTTTTGAACTCGCTTGACTCTTGCCCCAGGGCCAGTGCAGCCGTCTTCCGGCTGCCGTTTGACGGACAGAGGACGTGGCTTGATGCAAGTTTCAGTGACGGGATCGGGTCCTCAATGCAAGCCGGGCGGAGCGACATAAACTCAACAATATGCGTTGATAACTCCAATCAAGCGCACCTCAATTCACCGTTACATCAGCTTAAATATCTGCATTAACTGCCCTCTCCCAGACGATAGCTCCGTGTCCGGGTAGAAATCAAAGTGTAAAAAAAGCCATACTTGACATAGGGCTGTATTACGTAATCGGTTCTCAAAGTCACGCAACCGGAGGAAAGTCGCGAAAGCAGTGACATTTACCATGTCGATGATGCAATGTGGACAACAGATGTTGTTCGCCGTTGTCGGCAGCAAGCTGGACTTGGGATCCAGAAGAAAACAACTCACACACACAAGCGCTGGAGTGACAGGCGGGCACGGCCGCCTAACAAAAGTCTAACAAACAACAAAACAACACTATGTTGATTGTGTACACATCTACAAACAAGTCGAACAGCTCCCAAGGAATGTCTCGACTCGGGTCTAAACTGTTCGATTCGGCTCTTCCGAAGCATTGGATGAAATAAGCACTTGCGTGCCCAAGGAAACTCTTTCAAACCACTGTCACCGTTGGTCAGAGTAGGTCGAAGAAGCATGCTGAAGCTGAGCGAAGAAAAGGAACGCCGACAGCGCTTGCATCTCCGCCGTTCCGCTGGTGGACGACGGCCACATGCCGGTCGGCAATGGTCTCGGGTAGTAAAACGTTGGGAGCGAGGTCATAGAGTGGTGAGAGGAAGGCGTGGTATCCGTGCTCATGGTGACAGCCGGGGGGAGGGGCACGGGCTCCAGCTGGCCTTGGGCAGGCTCCGCGTCGCTTCCTCGGCGAAGAAGGCTGCTAAAGTACACGGCCTCACTGGGCAAGGACGGGGTCTGACGCATTGTTGGATTGGTCCTAGCCGAACGCGGCGGATGACTCCAGGAGGAAGCAGAAGGAATGGGGGCCATGCTTGCACTCAAGCTTGAGTCATGCATGCGTCCACTCTGGGGCAAACTGGGTGAGGCCGAGGGTTGCCGCTGAGTCTTGTCCACGGGCACGCAATTGTCATTCACCAGCGCCTGAATATCAATATCTTCCGTGACAATACCCTCATGGCCTGATTGGCGCTGGTGTCGACGCAAGGAGTAGATCTACAAGAGGAGGAAAACGGAAATTGGTGAGTGCACTTTCCCAGACTGGAGATCAAGGATGTTGAATGTGTAGAGGCAGCCGAGCAGTGCCCAAACCAGTGCCTCTTAAACGTTCATGCACGCCAAAGGCACGGTGTCGTTCGCGCTCACCTGACGATATTGATGGCCACACTTTTGGCACTTGTGGGGCTTCAGGTCCAAATGAGACAAGATGTGTGATTGCTGTCAAGAGAGGGGCGCAAACGGGAGGACAGAGACTTTTGATGAGCGTGCCCGCATCAAGATGGGGCAGCAAGGGATCCCAAGTGCCAGCTGGCTTGACCAAAGGGCGAAGCAATAAACAAGTTGCAATCCACAAATGCTTGTCGCCAGATCCCATCTCATCTCGCTTTACAGCCTCTGGTGAGACGCCATGCGCCTGTCCCTTGCACGCCCCCGTACACGTGTGTGTGTGTGTGTGTGTGTGTGTGTGTGTGTGTGTGTGTGTGTGTGTGGGATGACGGGTAGATGCAAACGCGCACGTGTTTGTGCATATTGTGGGGGGGGGGGAGGGCTCATGGACAAGCAAAATGCTCGAGGACGTTCTTACCAGGTGGTCCGTGCGGTAGAGCAGCTTGTTGCAGATGCGACATTGATAGCCTGAGGTGGCGGTGCCTTCATCACTTCGGTGCTTGCGGCTGTGGCGGTGAAGATGCTCTCGTTTGCTAAACGTGGCATCGCACTCGGGGCACGCAATGCGAGCAACTTTGGGATGGAGTTCTTCATCGACGCTCGATGTGTCATCGAAGTCTTGGCGTGCAAGCTGTGAGGCCTCTTCATCAGTGGGCAGGGTTGAAGAGGGCGCCGGAGACGAGGCTGCGATTGACCGGCGCTTGCCGCGCCCCACATGTTGGCTCTTTTGACTAGGCGAACCCATTTGGTCCAGCATGATTTGTTCTCGAGTGACAAAGGCAGTGATCGCCGCGGACCGCGGCTGGCGGTTGTTCAGATCTCGGCGACGGGAGTTGGGGTGTGGCTGAAACCAATCACGTTGAGGGAAAGGGCGGCAAGGCAAGGGCTGGAGCTGTGGGCAGATTGGAAGTCACCAACGAAAATAGCACTCCGTCCAGAGTTCTTGAGAACAGCAGCACCAGCTACTTGAGGCGAGCAGGACGTATACCAGGGGTGACCGACTGGTCGCACAAGCAGCCACGCAGTGGTTGGGCGTGCAACAAGGCTGCTTGTTCTTTCATGTACGTGTGGACATGTGTGGCAGTGCTTTGAAGAAGAGAGACAGAGACAGAGAGAGCAGAGAGACAGCGACAAAGGCAGAGACAGAGACAGAGACAGAGACAGAGACAGAGACAGAGACAGAGACAGAGACAGTGTGCTGCGGCACCTCGCGCAAAAATTCGGACTCGCAGCCAGTCCGAAAAGGGAACCAGCTCTTTCCTCCTACTTTTTGCAACGCTTTGTATGTGGTGGTTGCAAAAGGCGATGTATGGAAGCAGGTGGAGGCGAGCCAGTGAGTCTGATCGTTGCGTATCTGTTTGGCTGTTCGGCTCGAAGCGAGATCTGGTCCAGGGCATATGTAGACGGCAGATGAACAGCCAAGATTTTGCGAGCGATCAAGCGAAGAGGTTGAAAAATGCAAAAATCTCCAAATCGCCCTTGACCACTGACTTGCTGCAGCAGGCAGCCTCGGCTCAGATCAGATCAGATCAGTCAGTCAGTCGCCTTTTGCCTCATGGGGAATGGCTCGCTGAGGCATTGTGTCGTTTGGTGGGACATTCAGTGGAAGGGTATGGTGATGAGTATGGTGGAAGTTGAAGGAGTGGACGTTGACCTTGTGGTTTGTTGTGGGCCAAACGAAATTTACGCACACCACCACTTTGTGATTGCTGTCCGGTTTGGTGCAAGCGCATCATCATCATCAGCTGTGCATATGCACTGTATGCCTCGCGTATCATGGCTCTGGCTGTTCTGTTCTGTCCGCCTTGCACAGTCATGTGACATCAACACAGAGACCGAAAAAAATAAAATAAAGGAACAACGGGCATCGGAAAATTGAAGACACTTCCTGAGGTTGTGGGATGTCTGGGTTGTTGAGGGTATCGAATACGGCGGTTGAGTGTAGGCATCATGAAGCGTGGTATGGAGCCATGGATCGGTTGCCCTGGACCCACTTTCCACTGTTGCTGACCACGAAGAAATTTTTTTGTCGACGATGGCGGCGTGACAGATTCGACCACCATGGCAGGGCGATGAGGTGTGGTGACTGTAAACAGGTCATGATGTGAGCGGGCGACCGAACGAACATCCCTCCTACTAACTAGTCTCAAACAGAATCACAAGGTTATGCCCAAGTCAAAGCAAATCGTGACAAATGGTAACAAAGTCGTGGCATGATATCAAAAAGTCATGAGCAACTGCAAAACAATCACAACTGTTCCTTTCGAAATCGTAAGCAACACTCAATTTTTTTCGGTGATGAAATCGCGAGGATCATTCAATTTGAGCTGCGCAAAGCAGCTGATGCTGCTCGGCGAGCTCGAGCCTGAGCTTTGTCACGTTGTAGTAGCAACCGCTTATTTTCACATGTAGATTTAAAGTCATTCACGTTAGCATCGTCTTCTTGGCTGGCGGCAACGGCTCGAGCAGTCTGGCGGCGAGTTCGGGAGTTGTCGACAGCCATGTCCATGATTGGCGCGAGCTCGAAGGATTCACGCCTGTGTCTCAAGATTCCGCCAGTTGCAGCCCTGATCTGGTCATAGTCTTGTTTGTCACGAATGCGTAGCTGGTCGCGGCGAGCTCGAGCCTCATCTTCATTTACGGCGCCATCCTGCCAGGCTTTCATGTACCTGTGTGTGTCACGGATTGCTCCTTTCAACATATCTTTTCTCAGGTAGGATCCAAAAACAACGTTGAGAATCTTCTCGAGCCTCTCTGAGAGGCGCGTGTAGCCAAAGCTTGATGAACGCGCGCGAATGCCTTCTGCAGCATATTTGACGGAACCAAAAACGGTCTCAATGGGAGCGAAGTCGGGCTGGTATTTTGGCGTTGGGACAACAAGAACCGGACCACCGTACAGCTCACGATCCAACTCATAGTAAATGAGCGGTGAGTAGCGCTCATCAGTTTCTGGAATTGTGCTTGAGGCGCGCACAAACACCTTTTTCGTATGTTCAACACCATGAGAGCCGGACATGAGACTGAGAGCTTTATAATGATGTGGCACATTGTCCCAGGTCACGACCAGAAGACCTGAGCCATACTTTTTTCGCCAGGCAGAGATTGTGCCCTCCAAATAGCGCTGTGAACTCTCGCCTGTACTATTGCCAATGTTGGTACGCAAGAAAACGATCTCTCCGGAGTAGGCCAATGCTGCAAAGAAAGAGATCGACGAACGAGGCGCTGGTGCCACACTCCTTGCTTGTCCTTGAACGACCCAGCCTTTGTGTCGCGTTGCTTGGGTAGTCATCCAGCTTTCGTCCGCAGAGAGAAGAGCATGCTTGTTCGACGAAAAGAGGAGGTGCTCCTCGTCCAGGGCTTCCAGGAATGTAATGTAATTGAGGCAAGCCTCCTGGGTCTGTGGGCCGAAAGAATCATGTCGACGAGGACGTAGACTAACGTACTCGCTGTCAATTCCAGAATCCCGGTTTTGCTTCTTCAGATGATTGCAAATGGTGGCAAGGGAAACATGCCAAGGCTCGATCGAATCGCTGAGCTCGAGGGGCTTGTAACGCTTTGCGTAAAGATACTCACGAGCGTCCGCTGTCGAACCTCGCTTGCCGTATCGCATGACATACTCAGCCAAAATCTCTTCATCCTGAGCATCCAAAACAGAAGGGCGGCCAGATCGTGGTTGTTGAGGTTTGAGATGTGGTTCTTCTGAAGACAGCTCGCCTGCGGCGCGCATATTCAGGCGCTTCATATATTCGCGGCGCCATCTTGAGATCGTTGAGACTGATATCTGTTTTCCAATTCTCCGCTCGAGCACAGCGGCAATCTTGCTATCAGAAAACGATTCCTGATGCTCATCGACCTCATCCAGTGCTACCAAGAAAGCCCGGCGGTCGCTGTCCGAATAGCGGCCAACGCGCCTTCCCACTCGGTTTTTTCCACAGTCGTTTGGGCCCCGGGTGCGTGCAGCTTCCGAGGCAGCTTGGGGGGGCGATACTGACTCCGAATCACTGGCAGGGGCGTTATCAGCAAAGCCCCATGGTGCACCACTGCCAGGGACATCATCACCCAACGATTCTGGCAAGCTCAGCAGGTGATCAGGTGGAGCATGCTGAACTGGCGTCTTGAACTGCCGCCGTGCACGTCGCCTTGACATCTCAACTTTCAACGGAAAAACATTGAGTGTTGCTTACGATTTCGAAAGGAACAGTTGTGATTGTTTTGCAGTTGCTCATGACTTTTTGATATCATGCCACGACTTTGTTACCATTTGTCACGATTTGCTTTGACTTGGGCATAACCTTGTGATTCTGTTTGAGACTAGTTAGTAGGAGGGATGCAGTGTGCTGGCCTAGCGCCACAGCAAGGCGCATGCCATACAAATGACCAGACTCCGCGTTGGGGTTTGACATCCATGTCGGACTCGGAAGTTACTTTTGCAGGTTGCGAAAACGTTGGGCTGAGGTCGCGCACGACCCAAGCGGCTGGTAGGCAAGAGCATACAAAGGACTCGACGCACCACACACCACACTGCACACCACACCATCAGAGCGCAGGGCACCATCTCGCTTGACCTCTCACCCGCCGCAGCCGGCGACGGCACGGCCAACTGCGATGCTTTCTTCAAGGCGTCGATGTGAGCACCACGTGAAAAAGCGTGCTGGTTTGGGATAGTGGGTCGGTTATGTCCTTATTCATGACATTCATGTTGCAGGAACCGCTAACTCCACCGTCGTGTGCTAACATCGTGCAATAAGTCACAACGCAGAAGATCATGCATCTTCTCATGAGCGCACAGCATAAGCTGATGGAGCGCTGCTAACCCGGTGTTTGGATTGCGGCTGACATGATTTGTCAAAGCTCAGCAGCTACCTGAAGAGCGCAGGCTTCACTTGGCACCTCCAAGCGCCACAATCAATCAAACGCATGTTCAAAAGGGCAGACCACACAGAGCAACAACAGCATGAAATGTGTTTTTTTTTTTTTACATGTTTATCCGGATGTATTCCGAGCTCGTGGGTCATTCTCCCCAGTACGCCTCTCAAAGCCCATGGCAAAGCATGGTATGCATGGGGCAGGCAGGTACTCGAGTACATCCCATCCCTCTTCACACCCTCTCCCCGCCCTGGCGGCGGTACATCCAAGACTGTTCCCCACAAGCTCACTCCGATCATTCCTCTCAAGATCAAGAAAGTGCCAATTTTCAATTAAAAAAAAAAAATGAAATAAAAATGAAACAAAGACAGATCATGTCTTTGCTAGCGTCCACTGACGGTCGTGCCGGGTCGACGCATCATCATGCCTGCTGGCGCAGCCAGCACCATCGACTCCCCAGGCGTGGCCGCTCGGTTCAGGAGCCGCCCCTCATCAAACGCCGTCACGCTATCCGTTTGCGTTGCCACCGGCACAAGACGACCCGACAGCGCACGCGCCACTGCAGTGCAGAACGGAATGGTGGTGCTCGTATCCTCCTCGTCCATCTGAAACGGCGCCGTGGGCATGGATGATGAAACGGCAGGCGCGAGGAACCCTTGATAAATGAGTCTGCGTCCACCAAAACAGCCCCCCAGCACAAAGCGCATGAGAAAAGACACTCACACGAGGCATACGCCCACAAACAGGTGCTGAGCGTCCTCCCCACCCCCCGCCTCTTTTTTTCGGTCCACCCCTGACTGCATCAGGCTGCACACAGGCAGAAAAGAGCTGGTGAGCAAGCAACCTACAAGCCATCCAGGAGCAGTTGAAAGTGGTGGACACCGCGACGCGGCGTCTTGCGATAGTTCCATAGACGGACACCACCCAAGCACTGCGCAGCCGGGAGCAAGATGTCAACAGCATTGCCACCCCGAGGCAAGAACGGTGTCAACCACATGTGACGATCGTCTGCCGTTTCATTCTGTCCGTCCACCAGTTTGTCCGGCGTCCGCACGTCCCCAGAGACAGCCGGAAGCACGTTGATACTAGGAAGTCGGGCACCAATGTTCAAGGGTGAGTCCAGACTGGCCTTTTGCAGGCACGGGGGTCAACCCGGTGCATGCGCTTTCTCCGAGACACGGGTGTACCTGTGTGGACTGGCGACCAGCATCTCGGGCGAGATGTGAATGGGCTGGCCGGCCGTGTCCAAGAGCGCCAGACCATTCAACCCCACGTAATGTGGGTCTCCGCATGTCGACAAAATGCACAATCTCAACCATGATCCCGCTGGCAGCCAGCTGGGTGCATAACACAGTCGTGCCGCCGTGACCTCGTAGAATCTAAACGTACAGAAGGAAGCAAAACATCCCAGCCCACAGATTTATCAATGAGGATTCCCACATCACATTCATTCCCATGCAGAACACAACAAACCAAAAACGACAGACAACAGGATACACAGGCAGTCGCGTACTCCTCTTGGTCGCCTTGCGCCTGAATTGCTGCCCGTGACGCTGCTTGACGATCAACTCCGTCAAGAAGCAATTCTTGGCCGAAATCAAAATGAGCGTGACCCGGGGCCGGGCGTAGGGCAAAGCCCGAGCTTGGAGACACCAGCTCGCCGTCCGCGTAAACCCGCAACCTTCGCACACCTCGGCCCACATCGTCCACACTCTTGTTGTAGTTCCACACGCGAATCGATGCCACAACTGTGGGACCTGGCAACTGTACCTTGAGCCAGTGTTCTGCACCCACCGTGAACGGAATGAGCCACATGTGCTCGTCGTCCGTCGTGCGCGTGACCCCATCCACCAGCTTGTCCAGGGTGCGTAGATCACCGTCAACGTCTGGCAAGGCATTCAAGTCCCTCGGCTCTGCCCACAAACTCGATGCCTGCAGCGCAATCAAGCGTCCTTCTGCATCACACCCAGCATAACCGGCACGAAGCATGTGAGCTGCCGGTGCAACAGCGGAGACAGGGTCCCAAGCAAAAGTATTCAGCTATCCGGCAAGCAATGCCTTTGTTCCGCAAGCCAATGTCTGCCTCGTACAGGCGGAGAACACACACACACACACACACACACACACACACACACACACACACACACACACACACACACACACACACACACACACACACACACACACACACACACACACACACACACACACACACACACACACAACGACAAGAATGCTGCTCCAAGCATCCGTCTTGACGAACCTGTATCGCGCAGCTCTAGCCCAGTGAGGCCAGCGTAAAACGGATCACCATGCGTGGCCAGAATCTCCATGGCCAACTCTTTGCAAACTGGTCGTTGATCACAAAGAACACCATAGTCTGCCGATCGCTGCAACTCCTGCTCCACCTGGCCAGCCGAGAACAAGGAATCGGCACCATGACCTCCAGTGGTCGGCGACGCGCAAAACTCGTCCGTGGCCTCCGAAACCTCGACCTCGCTATGGTCGCTGCCACCACCAGTCTGTGGGCGTGCTTCTATCAGCGCCGGCCGTGATGCTTCTGCCTGGGCTTCAGACGCCAGGGCGGTTGCAATCTCCATAAATACGTGGTCCTGACGCGCCATGGTGTGCAGGCATTGCTCATCCGTGGTGAACAGGATAAGGTCGCCAAACCCGTCGGGGTCGTTCAAGCCCATATGCCCCGATGCCTGGCGAATCTCGCCCGTAAAAATGCATTTTTTATCCAATCGCATGGAAACTTGACGTGCTCCGCGATGTGAATGAATTCGACTTTGGTTGTAATTCCACAGCCGCAGCGCGCCAATCGTAATTGGCTGGGCCCACGTCAAGCGGACCACGGGTGGCGAGTCGATGGTAGCCATGAATGGCGCAAGCCACATATGCAACTCGTCGCATGTGCGGTTGACTCCGTCGATCAGGTTGGCAGCCACCCGTGGATCAGCCTCATGCCCCGGTATGTGCCGAAGACTCTCGGGCACCGCGTGCACGGAAGCTTGGCGTGTGATACACTGGCCACTGGAATCAAACACATCAATGCCCGTCAAGCCTACATAGTGCGGGTCACCCCAAGTCGAGTGCAGGGTAAGCTCAAGCTCACGGCCACTTGGAAGAGACACTTGAACGCCTTCCCTGCCCGTGGCATCGTCAGCAACGTGATACTGTTCGCCGTCGTCCATTGGCTTCGGCGTGAGGGTAGCCCTCATATCCAGTACACCCTCCCCCGTGAGCGTTGATGCACCAGAAGGCAGCACTTGGTCGGCATAGTCTTGGTCCTTTGCCTGTGCCGCTGGTCGCGACGGTGGTACGCGCCGCTGATCCTTCTCGATACGCCCGGCATGATGCTGGCGGAACAAGTCCAGGGAATTCATAGACGAGCGTAGAAACGCGTCTCCTTCATCGATCAACTGATGGAGGTGGGAGGCAGCCTTGTTGGATGCTCGGGTATCCAGTTCCAAACCAAAAGCAGGAGCCTGTCCAGCTGCCGCCCTTGAGTGATCCCCCATGCCATTCTTGCTAGCTACATTCCCTGCCGAGCGTCCAGCATGGTTTGCCGAAGCAACGCGCGCGTGTTGTAGCATGTCCGTCTCTGCTTGCGATGCCAAGTCACGAAGGACGCGCGCGGAGTCGGGTCGTGAAGCGGCGTTGCTGCGCCGGCCGCTGGTGGGTCGAGCCCGACTATGCTCAAATTCCCGAGCTGAAGATGCTCGTGGACGGCTGGGCTGCGGTGGTTGCCAGTCACCATCCGCAATCATCGATGCTCGGTGTGTCGTGCCAGCTGACGCAGCTCGCTCCATCCATAGCGCCGGTGTGGCTCGGCGGTTCGAAGCGGAGTTGGTGTCACGGCTCGTACCAGCACCAGCAGAGCACGAGCCACGGTCTGACATCCTTGGTGAGGCGTCGATGACTGTTGTGGCTGTCGTCGCAAACGCTTGCTGGGCTGTACCTTGCCGTCGCTGCGAGGATGGGCGCGCTAACATGGCGGGCAGCTTTGTCGTCTGTGAGCTGGTACTTTGGACGGTCTCCGAATCCTCCTTCTGAGGTGCCTCGGCAGCTTGCATCGCTGGGATGTCAAGCGCAAAATCGCGAGCCTTGCTGCCGGGGGCCCGGGGTACGATGCCATCAAATAGAGGTTTATCGTCCAAAAAAAAGGCAATCGACTTGACACCCGATCCTTCACAATTATACTCGTTGTAGTTCCACACCCGCACCATATCCAGCATGACATGTCGCGGAAACCAGATCTCAAGGCTCAGGCTCGTCTCATCTTCTCCTGCCTCGACTGGCCAGTGGGGTGTTCGAATCGGTAAGATGTTTTCAACACCGTAGCGCGCGCATGACAACCAAAGCATCAACTCTAAAACGTACAGATAATCATATCGCGCCGATTGGTGGTACGTCCCGGTCCAGTGAGCAAACGACGTGCTTCCTCCTCAGTCGCAGGACGGGCATTAACGCACAAGCGCAGGCTGTCTGGCCCCAGTGTCTCGCCAAAGTGATCTATCAGCTCCACCTGGGGTGCAGCAGGTCAGTGGTGGCGCGCCAAATTCAAACTTTTAGATTTCGGCCCTCAAAGCGTACATGCAAAGACGAAGCGACGTCCATATCGCGAGCCATGACGATGCTCTAGCTGCTGAGCGAATACGCACCTTGGTGAGGCCAGCCTTGAAAGCTTCGCCCGGCATGGTAAAGTCGGACCAGATGCTGCGTATAGCAATACGCAAGATACGCACAGCAGCGCGGTTCCGCCACCAAGCCCGAGCCTGCGGCTGAGTGTTTTGTGTTTTACTCGAATGAGCCGTCTTCGAGGCGTTTGCCAATGTGGTCACTCCCGAACCCGTGCTCTGGCTTTGGTCCGTGGGCGCAAGCAATGAGGGGTTGGTAGAACGAGCTGCCAAAGCATTGGCTGCACTAGTTGCAACCACTTTGGTCTCTGTTAGAGTGGTGGCGGTGCAGGCCTTGACGTCCATGCCGTCAACTGATGTTGAGGCTGATCGCGGTGGTGGCGCAAGCACTTTGGGAGCAGGGTGGTTTTGGGATGCTGAGACGTGGTTTGATCGCTCAGTGGTCTGTGGTACTGGATGCATGCTCGTGGAAGTGGATGCTTTGGGGCGATCAGCTTTGGCTACTTTCCGCGCTTCTTGGCCCCGATGATCTGGTTCTGGAGATAGACTGTCAGACGACTGTCGTCGCCGCATGGTCGTTGAGGCTTCCGGAAGCGCGACGGAGCTCGGAAGCGAGCTCTTCTCGAGTACGACGGTATCCTCGCGTGTCAACAAACCCAAAAAGGGGACATCCCCTTCGTCCGCCGCATTGGTAGGTCGCGTGGGTAAGGACGCGGCGGGCTCGGCCGATGCGAGTCCAACAGCTGGCCCTGGACCGCCTTCACCTATGCTCTGTCGGTGCCCTTCCTTGCCTTGAGCCTTATCTTGCAGACGCTCTTGAAGACGCTCCTGGGCTCGCCGAGCAAGCTGGGCATGCTTGCGACGCTGAGCAGCTGTAGGTTCAGTCGCCGTGACATCCAAGTTGGCATCAAACGCCACGCCACCTTGAGCTTGCTGCACGACACCTACGCCGGGTACGCTGTTCCCCTGCTTGTGAGCTTTGCCGGCCACCGGGTATGATTGTGCTGTCACATGAGTTGGTGAAGGAACAGCTGCATCCAAATCGACAAAAAACGCGGCGCCGTTGCCTGCTTGCTGCTCCTGAGCGGGTGCCTTGCGCGAAGTCAAACGGCGCCGAGGTGAAAGGTGCTCAAGAGAGCGCAAGAGCTCCATTTGCTGGCCCTGTTCCATCTGCGAAACCTGCGTAGTGTGCAGAGGACACGTGTGTGAGTTCATGACATGGCCCATGGCAGCGTGGGCTGCCGTGTTTGCGATGACATGAACCCTGTCCTCGGTGCATGAGCGGCCGTCGAGGCATGGCACACACGGACCTCTGCCGCAAAGGCATCAAAGCGTGACCCGCTGGTAGCTTTGGGCACCGGTTGGTCTCGAATAGGACGCTCAATGTCAATGACAATGCTCGCATCGTCCTCTGGGTCGACAACCATGTCCTCAACCACTTCAGCGCTGTCAGGGTCGTCCTCATCCCAGGACTCTTCGGCCACCTCATCCTCGTCTTCTGCCAAGGCCTGCTCGGCTTTTAGCTCCTTCCGCGCACGCTGCAAGCATGGGCGAGAGGAACGCGTTGGTCGCTTGAATACATGCCAAGCGCAGGCGCAGTCACAAGTCAAGCGTACGGTAGTGGACCAGCAACGAACCTGGAGTGCATCACGCAGCTCTGCAGAACGTTCGAGGCTATCACGTAGCTCACCCCACTCGCTAAGGCGAACCATCAGCTACCATGCCACAACCGTTGTCACGAGGGGTGTATCTCGTGAGAGCAACATTGTCGCACAATGTGACATGGGTATGTGTGGGGTGCTTCGCGCAGAGCAGAAAAACCGAGTACCGCATGGTGACGCTGCTCGTTGGCATGAGCATTGCCTTCGTCGCTGAGGCTGTCCTGTAGAGGCTCTCCAAATTCATCGCCACTGGCCTCAAAGTCGTCTTCATAGTCTCCGGTCAGTTTGCTATTGCAGCCAGGCCCCTCGGTGATGGTGAACCAAGGCACAATCATGCACACAGGTTCCGCGAGGATATTATGAAAAAAAGTCAAACATTCTGGCTGGGGAGGATGATGGGTCAATTTTACCTTGGTGCGTGAAGCGCTACAGCACGCCCCTCATTGGTGCGGATCCGTACGTGCGCTTGTGGCTGCCACTGTCGCCGAGACTGTGGGGTGGTAGGCTGTGAATGCGCCTGGGGCGTCTCTGCTCGTGAGCTTCCCCCAGGCGTAGGGCGCCGGGACGGCGTGCGCTGGCGACTGGTTGTGCGTGGACTGATCATGAAGTCAAGTAGGGTGTCGTGAGCAAAGCCGGCGCTCTCGACTGAGAGCAAAAAAGGAAAAAAAAAAAAAAAAAAAAAAAAAAGACGAAGAGAGGGCCAATGAACGAAAAGGAGAAACACGTGGGTGCAATAGGAACGTACGGTTTTTGTCGAGCGTTGGCGCCGTTGAGGTACAACGAAAATCCTTGCTCGCGCCGCTCCGCCTCAATCTGTACAGTACATAGGAATCAGGCGTGAGTCTTGGGTGTGGTATCATCGCCCTATCACAATAACCTTGAGAGGGGGCTGGTCCACAGTTTAGTAAGAAACATCATGCAGAATTAACAAACTTTGGCTTGGTCCTTTCCTTTCATACGCTTCAAGATCCTAACGGCAGAAACCATAATTCGATATCGGCCGACACCGGCCGACGCTTGCAGTGAGCTCGACCAGTTCCAAGTGGAGGGGCACGACCTTGACGCACCTGTTACGCTCCTGAAGCAAATCGAGGTACTCTTGGTATTGCGGATCTACCGTTTCCGCAGGTCTGGCCGCCTAACAAGGAACAAGCCAAGGAGGCTTGCACTTAGTTCAAGCGACCCATATCCATGATTGCTGTTGGGAGAAAAAGGTCATCAGTCAGATGATAAGCCGCGACATCCCACCTCGCCTTGCATGTCCTTGATCGGTGGCGGGCGGCCAGCCCCCGCTGAGCCGCCGCGACTCCAAGTCTTGCGGTTGGCCATTGTCGGCGGCCCAAGTGGGGTAGGTTTTAAACTGGCCGTTGGCCCCGGTCTGGCGACATGGTTCTGCCGGCTAACCTCGCCCGGATCGGACGTGCACCAGCTAGAGTCAATTGGCTCTGCAACTCCTGAAGCACCGATGCAGCAACACTAGCACAATCTAACAACAAAGCACGGAACGACACATACAGGCCCACCGCATCGGGTCAGCCAGCATCGTATGGCCATCGAACAAGAAAAGACATCAAGACCAGTACACGTCGCCCGCGCGCGCCTTTCCCACATCCCCCGGCCAGAATTGACCCCCACCTCTCCCAGCCTTATATTGTGGTCTCTAATGTAGCACCAATTCCTTCCTAAGTAAATCAACCCACATACCTCGGCTGCCGTTGCTGCCGTTGCTGTCGCCTGCTCTCAATCTTCCAGACAGCGCAGTGACCAAGAAATCCAGAGAGAGAGAGAGAGAGAGAGAGAGAGAGAGAGAGAGAGAGAGAGAGAGAGAGAGAGAGAGAGAGAGAGATAAAAAATAAAAAACTGCGGACCGGTCGCCAAGCTGTAGAAGAAAGTCTGTCAAATGTTATACTTTCTCTCACGTCGGTACCGTCGCTGACTCAAAAAAAAAAAAAAAAAGTTTTTCGATGTCGTTGTCGTGTTGTTGTCGTGAAATGGCAGCGGGGGGTGGTGGTGGAGTGTGGTTCGAGTCATGGCACCCATGCTTGCATTGATGGAGTTTGAGGAGAGGGCGGGGAGGAGGTCAGCTGGTTGTTTGTACAAGGGATTGAGTTGAATCTCATGAAGACCTGCATGCAATTGTGCGCACTAGGTTCTGTCAGCGCGGCTCGGAGCTCGTGTCTTGACACGCCCCCTGCCCCACGTGTGCACACTATCACGTCGCAAAGGCAGGTGGACTTGAAAAGTAATCCGGTTGCCATCACGGTATAGCCCTGAGCAATAGGAGGAGGAGAACATTTAGCAAGTTGTCTGAACCGAGCCTGCCTCCGCTTTCTGAACGTGGCGGGGGACATGGGCGCAGTCCCGAGCCAGGGCTGCGCCCCCACCTGAGCCTTTGCGAGTGGTCGTCACGGCAGAGTCGGTCCCTTTGTTTCCGGCGCCATGTTTCCTGCAGGCACTTGGCTGCGTAGCGAGTTTGCTTTTGAAGCCGAGAATCCGGATGAGCTGACTTTCACTCCAGGTGACCGGATCCTCGTACTGCCCAACCAGGTGCGTGGCCCCAATTTGGCAAAATTCGCAAAACCATTGCCCCAAGCTTCTCCGCGCTCCCGTTTTGCCTCGATTTTTCTCAAGTATGTCTGTGTACTATCACCAATGCAGGCTCCGGTGGAGGATCAAGATCTTTGGCTGACGGTATGCTAGCTAGACATGCTCACTCTTCTGTCACACACACACACACACACACACACACACACACACACACACACACACACACACACACACTCACACAAATAAAAAGGCAACCGCAGCAACTTCCCTGCTCCTCGCCCGTTTTCAGCTCAAAGTTACCCGTTGCTCTGATGCGCTGCTGGCAGGGTCGCAATGAGCGAACTGGGCGTGCTGGTCTTTTTCCAGCCGAGGGATACTGCGTTGAGGCTGAAGCCCCATCTGATGCGGGTATGTGATATTCCGTCGTCCCCAACCCTGCTCGGGGAAACCATGGCCCAAGCGTGCAGCTCACTGTGATCAACTTGACTTCACGCGTCTATCCGCCCACCAAAGAGAACAACGCCACCGTCATGACCACTGGCACTGAGACGACTGCGTTAGAATCGCAGATGCCCGAGCTCATACCTGTGCCACCCACAGACTTTGCCCTCGCTACCCATGCGCCTGACAATAGCTCAAGTCACGCCCAAGTCACATCCACGTCTCAAAGAGACCCGCCCGACTTGCCCAGCGTGCCAGCTAGCTCACAGATTGAGATTGGTGCGCAAGACCCATCACCTGCCGCCACATCCAGCGCACAGACACCCCCCTGTTCCACCGGAGTGCATGTAGCGTCACCAGAAGCCTCGTCAGCCTCCTTAAAGCCGCCCCTGATTGAGGAGAGACCGGACCAACCCAGCGATATCGCCCATGTTCAAGAATCTGCAGGCGCAGTGAGGCCACTGCCCACTCACGACGATTCTCCACCCTCCGTCATTGAGCAGTCGGCAACCCAATCGCGCATTCAAAAGCAGACAGCGACGTCAGACCCTGTACCCTTGACGAGTGCATCGCCTGAGACTCGGCCTTTGAATGGCTCTTCTGGCCCCGCTCCAGCTACGAGCGTGGAACTTTCTGGGGATCATCCAGTGCCTTCTAAAGATGATGTCGTAGTTCTGCGAACCCGCCGCGGACGTCAGGCTCTGGCCCTAGGTGATGCTACTTTATCCGCCAGCTCGACAGACCGCGCCTCGATCCTCTCGTCGTTTTACTTTCCGCCGCCGCCCGAGTTTGACGAAAGCTCGTCAGAGGTGGCGCCATCATCCAAACCGCTGCAGCATAGTGACTCGCTCCCCACATCTGCCAAACACGACCTCTCCTTTGGTGATTCGGTGGAGAGTGAAGCCAGCTCCATGGGCCCTTTCAGCCCTACTCTGAGGGACCTCAAAACCCTGCCACCCCCCAACATGACGTCAACGCCTTTGCGCCCTGAAGGAGGGGAGGCAGTGGGTTCATCTGCGGACCGAGATGCGCTGCAACAACGACGACACAATCGCCCTGTTATTGTTTATGACCTTCCGGTGGCCGCCATACCTGAGCGGCGGTCTTTGTGGGGCCGAGTACGCAGTGCCTTTGGATCCAAGCGAACGAGACCTGAAACCCCCACGTCCCCAAGCAATACCGCCCCCCGCCACAGGCCGGGCCGACCCGCAGACGTCGCCGAGGTGGCAGATGCTCTGACGTCTTTGGCCCACTCGCTGGATGAAGGTAGAGCGCCAGAAAACGTTACAGCGAGGACACCAACTCCAGTGGACTCGCTTCATCCCATGCGCACAAGGTACTTGAGTCTTCGCTTCCGCCTCTACACATGTCCACCAAACCACCGCTCTTGCTCTGAAGACTCAAATGCATTTGCATTCGTGTCGCTGAGATGTCTCGCTAGAATGTGTTTTTTCTTTCTTGTTCATTTGGGGGACTTGCTGGTTGCTGTTGTTGTTGTTGTTGAAGTTGTTGGTGATAATGGTGAAGTAGTGCTGGTGTACACCTTATTTCTGCGGGCTCCTGTATGGTTCGGTAGGACGCAGAGCGCTACATCAGCTCAAACCAAGCTCAATTTGTCGGCACGACGCGTCATAGTATGTCTTTATCACACAGAATAGAGAGAGCGCGCGCGCGCCACGGTGGGAGAGAAGAGGAATGGAGGGAGGGGATGAAAGGAGATAAAGATAAAATCTAGCTTGTGCCGGCTAGGTAACGTGTTTCTCATGCTTCCCCTCACCTCCACTCAATGCGCTGCGTAGATTCACCGCACGGCCATTGGCTTCGGTTTCGCCATTAACGGTGAATCTCCCGTTTTCATTACCACCGTGGTTCCTGGAGGACCTAGCGACAAGGGCCTTGCTGGACTGCTGCCTCGGGACATCATTCTCAAGGTCAATGGGACCCCTTGTCCTCGTGGGCCACGTACACATGTGGTTGCACTTGTCAAGGTAAGGCCTCCCCAAACACGAACAAGTTGTCTTTGAAGCAGGCTTTTGGCCTGACACTGCCCCGGCCCCTCCCCCTTGGTTTTTTTTTTTTTTTTTTTTTTTTTTTTTTTTTTTTTTTTTTTTTTTTTTATAATGCCATGGTGTAGAACACACCTCCGGGTCAGCCATTGGAACTTGTTGTGTGTCGTACGCCCGAGCAAAAGCGCAAGCGATTTGGAGGCGCCTCTACGTTGGACACAAATCACGCCGAGTCCCACCTTGCAACTTTTCACCGAACACTTTGGGAACCTCCTAATGACTCATCGCAAGGCCTCTCGGAAACGGTGGTTGTACCACCCTCGCCCAGCACCATTGCCAGTCCGTCTGTCGAGCTCACGACGAGGCCTACCAATGCGGTGCCCGTCTCCCCACCCGCGCTACCCAACCATGCCACTTCGACCTCCCAGCCAGCCGCCCCAAGAGCCGCCGCGCTGCCCGCCTCGAGCCCAAGCATTGACACAAGTCAGGCGTCGACCACTGTTGAAGTGCGGCGCCTGCGCGACATTGGTGAATCAGACTACAGCGGCTGGCTCAAAAAGAAAACGGGGGCCGTGGTGGGCGCTGGTGATTGGAAGCGCCGCTACTTCGTTCTCTTTGGCTCTCGCATGGCCTATTTCAAAAAGGCCACGCCGAATGCCAAGCCATGTGGTGTCTTGGAGTTGCAGCAGTGCCGAATACAACGCACACGTGAAACCGACATGGACAACACCTTTCGCGTCATTTGCAAAGAGTTTAAAAACTTGCTTCTCGCCGCTCCGACACAGGTTTGTTGCTTTGGCACAGGCTCTGTTGCGCTGCAGTTGCTGTTTCAGGGCCAGATCAATCAATACACAGGCGCTTTGCGACTGTGAAAGCGGCTTGATTCTGCTTGAGATACAGATGGCATCTGACATGACGCAAAATGCCCTGTGCTGCCGCGTCTGCTCGCGCCACCTTTAGCAATTGGTTAGAGCGAATCGAGCGTGGCCAAGAAGCTGGTCGCAAGGAGCGGTCTGCTTCTGCACAGCCATCTACGCCACATGCAGATCCTCAGTTGTCCCCGCTTGGGACAGCGCAACCATCCCAACTAGAGACACGTGGACCAACTCGGCCACCTGTAGGCCACGCAATGCTCCAGACCCCAGAGAGCGTTCAATTGGAGCTCAAGGACCTTGATGCTGAATGCTCGGCGGAACCACCGAGTCGCATGCTGTCGAGTGCAGGCCGTCCAGCCTCCATGACAGCTGATGACGAATTTGCACAAGTTCTTGCTGGTTTGCAGCTCCTTGGTCGTGACGCTCAAGCCAATACGAAAAGTTCTGTGGTTGCGCCACAAGGCTCTGCACGCACGGCCTGGGCTGACCCTGAAGCAGACGTGCCCCGCTCGGCCCGCCCCAGCATAATGCTCTTGGGTGGTGGAGACGCCTTGGAAGAAGGTACAAGTGATGATCCAGCAGCCGTGTTGTCCCCTCAATACGCACCTCGAAAGGCTTCGACGGACTCCGCCCTCGTCTTCTCGGAGCATGCTGAGGCGGAGACAGATATTTGAGTGCGATCTGTATATCACCAACACGTGAGCCACAGCAGGAGCAGATGGTTCGGTATCAGGCTGAGCTTATGGTGAGCTATGGCGATGCGCTTTTGAATGAGAAACCATCGACCTTGGCAGAAAAGAGTGTTGATAAGCGTGGTCCCTATGTTGCCAAGGCATCTCAACCACAATCCTTCTCTTCTATTTTGATGAATTGGCGGTTGTTGATTTTCACATGTGAAGAAATTCTCTTCTGCTCCGAGCCCGAGGTCGTGGCTTTTTGTATTTAATGCCCGCTTCTCAGAACGTGATGGGCATCCTGCCAGAGTGGCTTGAAAGGATCAGTATAACATCAAATAGCGTCAGATGGAAACAGAATTGATGTTGTGGTTTTTAGAAAACGTCGTCATCAACAAAAGTGGGGGAGTTGATTTCTTTCAACAATGTTATATCCTTTGTGTGCCTCATTGCGGGCAAATCTTTCATGGGCTTTGTGGGAGAGTCGCTCAGGAAGTGCTGGCTGCTGTCGAAGGCTCCACGTTGTTGGATGCCTCCTCACCGCCGAGATCCAGCGACCCGGATATCTAAGAATAGCATGGCATAGCAAAGTTGGACGGCGACGCCCATTTCATCCTCCTGCATGACCAAGAGATGCGCCTACCTTGGCAATACGCTTGCGCATGGTTTGCATTCGCGCCAGACTAAGCACGCCCATTGCTGAAAGCTCAGCCTTACTGAGTGGAGCTGCACGAGGAGCGGGGCTAGCTGTGACAGCTTGAGGAGAGACAGCTCGAGGCGGCGGGGAGCGTGACACGGGAGAGTCAGTTGCTTGCAGGAGCAATCCCTCAGCATGTGCCGGCACGATCAGATTGCGAATCATGTGCGGTCGAATGGCCGCCTCGCGAAAGTCTTCCGAGTCGGCGTCGTCAATGGCCGACGGTGACATTGGACGGCTGGCTCCGTTGTAGCCATCGAATCTGTACATCCAATGCTTGGTATTGCTTTCATATTGACAAACGCATCGTGGTTCGGTCTGCAATCGGTCCAAAGCACCACCCACCGCTGCCAAGCAGGAGAGTACGGCGGATAGCCAAGCCCATGGGATTAGGGCGAGCAAGTCTGGCGGCCACAAGTAATGAGCGAGTTGGTTCTACAACTCACCTATGGGGGTCACGTCTGCGGTTGCGCGCACGTATCTGGAAGTCTTGGCCTACCAGATCGAACCATTGGCAAAACGCGATGGAGAGAGGGGGCGAGGGGGCAGGTCGAATGAGAGGATTTAGCAGACGCGGCATAACATGTGTTTAAGGGACGTACATAGCGGCAAATGTCTTGCTTGAGGGCGCGCTGGGATGGGCATCTGGCAAGGGTGTCCATGATCACGTAGGTCAAGGTGACACAGCTAGGTCGGTCATCCTCGAGGATTGCATGTGGGCGGGCCTTGGACATGCGAGCCGTTTTTTCGGCCGTGAACCCCTTCAGCTTTGGGACGCGCACGGTGTAGGGAATGCCACCGCATTTGAGTTTGTAGGTATAATCGAGGTGGGGCTTGGAAAAGCGCTCCTTTTCTTGGCGACGCATCTCCTCGAGTTCCTCCTCATCTGCTTCATCCAAGGTGAGATGTTTCATTTTGGCTCGAGCAGCCTCTTCACGGCGCATGGAAAGCTGAGCCCGACGCATTTCGTCATAAGCCTGCATGCACTCGGACCAATGCTGGGTGGTTCCGCCCCGGGTGTTCAAGCAAGAGCCAGAGCAAGCAAGTGAAACACAGCCAGGGCAAGCTACGAGGTGCAAGTGGTCCGTCATACACGATCCAGGTGCCAAGAAGAGCCGCTTACTTTGGCCTCGTGGACTGTCTGTAGAAAATGAGTTGACAGGATGGCCAAGAGACCTTGCGCAGATGCAATGGGCTTGGACGACCAGGTCCAGCACTCATCGACCTGAAAAACGAATATCGAGAGGTGCGTGTGTGAGTGTTGTGTGTGTGAGTGTTGTGTGTGTGTGTGTGTGTGTGTGCGCGCGCGCGTGTGTGTGTGTGAGGAGGAGAGCAATCCAAGCACCACCAGCTGGCCAGTGAGGACTGATCACCGGCGAATTTGAGGTGGGGAGTCGATGAATTAGCAAAAAAATAGGCAAGCAAGCATACCTTGAGATACACAAGAGGTTGAAAGCCCTTGATGTTGGGAACACCTGTAGTGCCTGGCATGCCGGCCAAATAGCAGAGCCCATCCTCGAGAACCGTTGTCCAATCCATAAGTGCCTATGCAGGCCGCCGTGCCATGACGACAGGGCGTGCAATATTATTGCGAGTAAACAGGCGAGGCCAACGCAGACAACCACAAACCATCCTCCTCTTTCACTCCCAATCATTCCCCCTTCCCTCCTTCTCAGACACGAGGCACTCTGGCACAGACACAAATGCAGATATACCCAAGCTAATACGCAAAGACGAACAAGCAAGAGTGGGCGCACGTACCGCTCGCCAACTGCAAGTCCAAGACCGAGGGGCCAGCTGCCAATCACACAAGAATTGCCGCACTCGGCCGTGTGCCAGGCTACGGTTGGCTTGCAGGCCAATGATGCGGTAAAGAAAGCCGAAGAAGGAACCTGCATCCTCATCGCAAAGCATGCTGGGCAAGTGAATCCCGTCGGTAAATCAATACAGCACAGAGCCCGTCAGTGTGAGAAGAAATTTGCTGGTGGGAGCGAGCTCAAATCTAACACTCGACCACGCGATGTCGGGTTCGACATACCCGAGGTCATCGGTGCGATGGCGAACTGCGTCGGGCAGCAGCTCATCATCTGCGAAAAAAAAAAAAAAAGGCTGGACAGATGAGCGTACGCATGGTGGTCCAGCAATGACGGATGACAACCGGTGGCAAAAAAAAAAAGTGAACAAACCCTCTGTGTACATCAAGACCCGTTCTGCAACGTCCGACATGCCCATATTCGATGCTGGCGATGCGCTACGATTGCTGTGCTTTCTGGCGTGGCGCCGCAACATGCGCAGCACACCTAAAGGTGGCGTGAGAAGGGAGAGTGTGGGTTGAAAGTGGAATAGTTGGAGGTGGTGAGAAAGGTGGCAAGCTTGAGGGATACTGGACAAGTGACATGGTAGCGAAGAAGCAGGACGTGCAGCGCCGAATGGACGTACTGTGCTTTTGACGCTTGCCCTTGGCGGGGCGGCGCACAGCTGCACCGCCCGTCGCAAGTCTACCGTCGCAAGCAGTGGAGGAAACAAAAGCAAAGCGGATGGAAGAAGGTTGAATCACAGGCGATACCATTAGTCAAGACATCCATGCTGGCCCTGCCCTCTCTGCTCTGCGACATTGGCTGGCCGGGTGCGGTGACGCAAGGCCCACTGGCCGTGTCTTGGACGTACGCAGCCGCGACGGTGGGGTACAGCTCCAGGTCAGGGTGACGATGCAAGAGAATCTTGCGAGTGGCGTTTCGCATGGGAAATCCTTGGCCCTCATTTGGCCGTGTCTGTCCATGAAGGGCATCCATTTGTTTGCGAAGCCATCGCTCGGCTTTACGCCGCCGGGCGCTGCGGTCCGCCTGCCACAGCGTGAGAAAGATGATCAAGAACAGGGCTGTGGGCACGACCACCAAGAGCCAGTAAGCGAGCAATGCCACGCACACACCATAGCCTCTGACGGAGCGTCAAACACCTGAGTCGCAACGCTGCGCAAACGTCTCTTCGTATCCTGGGGGACACTGGAACAAAAGTCGATCCGGGCCGCGACCGCCGAGTGCTCGACTCGTGCGTTCTCGTCAAAATGAGATCACACCCAACTCAACGTTGTGCTTTGCTTTGCCTTAACACCTTTTTTTCTACGTAAACCTTGATTATTTCTGCATCTTCTTTATGATATTATCATCTTTTACCTATTGGCCATGAAAGAATTTCGTATTCTTCTTCCATTTCTTCTTCAGATATTTTTTCTGTGTCTTGTTGTTGCACCGAACAACATCAGTAAGGAAGCGCCTGTTTGACGAGCGATGCCTTTCGTGGAGCTGATGCCCGAGGGAAGCAATAATTGTTTGTGCTTCGCGCGGATGACAGATATGAACTCAAGCAAGACTATAAGAACAGACGCTTGAATAATGACAATGTTGCGACGTAAACTACATTCAAAAACAGCATCCTGAAGCTGCACCCTCGAGCTTAGACCAAGCCTGGCACCTCATGCCTTCCAGCAGGTGACTGTGCTCGCTGCAGACCAACGCAATTGGCTATCGTGAGGCTACAAGGCTCAAGCAAGCTGGTTTGCACCAATTCACCGGCGACCCATTTTCGGATGCCCGTACACGACCCGGCTGCGAGCTTCATACCTGTCTCCGGCCCCGCCGCGCGGACGCTGGTGATGCCCACCCCGGTCCGGCTTCAGTTGCAAGCACCAGGTCGGCATTGATGAGGGGTTGCGTTTCGCGAGGGTCAATTCGTCCCATTCGACGCCGTTGCTTGCGTTTCGACCATTCCTTAAACGTCGGAACATGCTTGACCTATCACATGGCAATTGGTGAGTAGGCAGGGTTAACGACGCAGAAGACGGTCACTTGAGGAGACAGCACCGCCCAAGTCTCCTCGGTCACTTGGTCCAGTGACCAGTGTCGTCAGCTGAAGCACAAATCCTCACCCGTCGTGCCGTGCATAATACTTGGACCCCGATGCAAATGATGACCAGCACCGCCCAAGCCACAAGCATGATAATATCTATCAGCACCCCAAACATGTCCAAAATGTGTGAGTGCATCAGCGGCACAGGCCGGTATTGTGCCGCACGGCAACGCACTGAGCTCAAGATTGGCGCAGCCGTTAAAGTCCTCGGCAAAGTAGGACCCTGCATAGCCGGCTGCATAGCTCTGGTCCACGGCTCGCTGTACCACGTTAGTATAGACTTCCGCAAAGGAAGACCCCGAAAAGTAATCCGCACCTACAGTCAACGGTCACCAAACCACGTCAGTGCAGCATGCAGGGCAGTCCAAAAAAAGGGCGGATGGAGCAGATCAAGCGACAAACCCGAAAACACCATAAAGCCCCCCACGACGCTGCTGCTGATGATCACGAGCTGCGCCAATCAGAGGATTGCAAGGGGTGGTAGCGATCACCCGCCATACGGTGACGTGTGAGTTGATGCTGCTCGCACATCCTTGTGTCAACCACTGGGCAGCACATACCGCGGTTGGTCGTATCAACATGAGCGTGGGAAAAACAAGCGTCAGGCAAACAAAGCACATGGCATAGTTGAAGTTGTTGGTAAAGATTTTAGCCTCTCCTGCATGTTCATACGTGTTTCGAGATGCATGAGCGCCCGGCACAACAAACGCCTTTGTGGCCCACTGACCGCCTCTTACCCATGGGCGTGGCAAAAACCCAACAGGTCAGGACAAACCCCATGACCTAAGAAGAAAAGAGCGCTCTAGTCAGCCTCACAAACAAAGGCGTGGCACTTTCTTTGTTTGACACGGAACTAAGAGAGCCCCGCAATGGAAACCCTGCGCCTGGACAACTTAGCCACTAGAAAAATTTCCAGTGCGTTGTGCCTACCGAGCCAATATATACATGCTGTAGGCCGGGAGACACCTCGTAGCGCCACCAAAGCCAAGCCACCAAAGCGCCAGGTAGGACAGCTAACAGAGTCAAGAGGGAGCGGACTGGGGTTCCTCGCAAACAAGATGAGATCAGCTGCATGGCCCGCCAGGGTCGTTGCATCTACTTTCAAGGGGGACGCTCGAACGCATACCTTCGTAGTCCAGGCCTGTGGCGAAATTTGTAAGCAGAATGAAGGTCATGAAAACAAAGCCCAGCGCTGTCATGATCATGGCCGCTGCAGACATCCCAGGAATCCATGAGCCCAGCAGAGCATATGCCATGGATGATCTCCACAAGAGACGAAGACGGAGACGAAGACAGAGAGACAGACAGATAGACAGACAGAGAAACAGACAGAGAGACAGAGAGACGGTAAGTGTCGGCTAGCAGTGCCTCGCTCTACATACTCCATGGGTAGCACCGAAGACCGAAGAGTGCCATGACCAAGCCGATGATGGCTGCCACGATGGATTCGCCCATGATAATGTCATCGCCTATGAATGCCGTGGAAACAATCGCCTCTCCATCGTCAACCAATGCTTCGCACCCAAGCTCGCTCCCTTGTGGCTGGTTCACCTGACAACACTCCGTTACTAGCACTCCAGCATATATGACTCACGTAAATGCTCACAACTTGGAAGGCCCTCTTCACCCGTGAAGCTAAAGACGGCCGTGAGAGAACGAGAGAGGCGTGAGGCATTGGGGCTGCTCAGTGATGCACGCGCACAAATCCATCATTCGGTACCCAAGGATTCACCTGCAGGAGTAGGTGTGAGAGGGTGCATAGACGCTTTGATATTGCAGCAGGTCTGCACTGGGGTCACGTGCCAGTGCTGCAAGATCTGTGACGACGATACTGTAGACAACACCCTGCCAAATTTTCAGACGTGCACACGCGCACACATCACTGAGCGTGCGTTGCAGAAGAGGATGTGGCACAACTTTGATGCCACCAAAGCCGGCCAAGCTGGCTACGAACCTGGCCCACAACTACATCCACGTCAAGCTCTTTATTAGCCGCTGGCAGAATGGGTTGTGCGTTGATTTTGGTGCCGTAGCGCTGAACATTAGCCACGGTTTGAAGCTGCCCAAGGCGGTGAAGCAGGGCATTTGGATCAAAACTCTTTTGAAAGTCGGAACCGCAGGAGCCCAGAAAGGTCTGGTAGACGTCGTATTGCAATGTGGCTTGGTTAAGCGAACCAGAATAGTAAGGAATGGCATCACAAGCACAATGATGCTCGGCCGCAGACCAGACGTAGGGCACACCGAAATCAGCCTGTTGAAAGGTAATCTGCACACGATAAAGATGCGATGAACCCAACGTTAGAGAATTGATAAGCAAAAGGAATGGGGATTAGAGAAGGCAAGATGCCAGCCGAAAAACCAGATGGGGACGAGTGGAGAGGCACCTGCCCGCCAATGACAGGCATCGAGGCAAGTCGTTGAAACGAGCTTGGGTTATAGCCGTAGCGGGGCAGGTGCGACATGCTCCGACATGCGGTAACGCAAGACGCGTGCTGCCACTGCAGTATGTCGAGTACCTTGTTGGTATCGGCATTGTGAGTGCCGATCTGAGCCATGGGATCATTGGGGGTGGGACCTTCCATGGCACAGCCTCCTGGAATAGGGAAGGACACGCCGTACGAGTTGACGGCCACCCCCACCGACACGGAGTGTGAGGCAGCGTGCTGGATCTGAGCGTCGCTGCTGTTAATTAGGAGTTCGACACTGAAGAAAACGGTGGCATTTGGGGACGGGGACCAGCGGCTCGCCTCGGTGTAGCATTCGTCGTCGCTGTCGTTGCTGTACTGCCCATAGCGACCGAGGACGGCCGCGGACGAGCCAGTCCGGGATTGACACTGCAGTTGCAGTTGGTCAGCAAAGGTGCACAAAAGGCTCTGCAGACTGGCACTTGTGTTGACGCGAAGCTGGTATGCTTGCGTGTGCGCTGAAAAGCGAAACCATCGGTCACCCGAGGTGCAATCCAAGGTTGAGCAGGCTTGGCCCGGGTTTGGAGTGGTGTATGCAAAGTATTGCGGGGAATCGGAGGTCACATCAAGGATGGTCCAGGACCCTTTCTTCAGCGTGGTGAGAGCGCATGCTCCATCGTGAAGCAAAAAAAGCACGGCTAGTTGCAAGAGTAGCAGCCTCGGCCAGCGCTGCGGTTGGCGCTGAGTTTGCCCGCGACCCATGAGGCCTTCAACGATCCCGATCATCATGATCTGGGCCACGCCAAGTGACTAGGGCAATCCACGACGCTGTTCACCTTCAGGCCAGAACGCCGCACTAGCACCACAACCTCTTACACCACCCCCGCCCTTGCCGCCACAACACCTCACACCCATTCAGCTCTCATCCCATCTCATCCGAGCCGAGTCTACTGCCGAGTTGAGACCGTCTCACACAGCGATATCGCCTTGTCAAGCAAACTACACACGCAAACCCCTTGATAGATGGACTGGCTTTTTCAGCTCTCTCTTCTCTCTCTTTTCTCTCATATGGTAGTTGTGCTTTTCCTTTGTATCGCTCTTTACAAACCGACCAAACCAATTCAATCTCTCTCTCAAACTCTCTCTCAAAACTCCAAACTCTTCTCTTCTCTCTTCTCTCTTCTCTCTTCTCTCTTCTCTCTTCTCTTCGCTCTCTCTTCTCTCTTCTCTCTGCTCTTCTCTCTGCTCTCTCTTCTCTCTTCTCTCTTCTCTCTTCTCTCTGCTCTCTGCTCTCTGCTCTCTGCTCTCTCTTCTCTCTTCTCTCTTCTCCCAACGTCATATCATTTCACACGACGGACTGCTCACGGCGGCTTAAACGCCACCTCGACCAGCATAGATTACGGCATCTCAAACGCGTCGCAAACTCTCAGCACCTATTCTTCATACCGTGGCAATACCACTTTGACTTCTCGCCTCCACCATGGCATGACTTGATCTTATTGTGCAAACACCCCGTCACACCCCTACTTCCATACCACCATGACCGAGAAGGAGGGAGACCCGACGACGGCTGTCTACGCTTTGCGTTTCAATTACCATGTATTATCGAGATTCACTCAAGAAGCAACTAACATGTAAACTGACCATGCTCTAGGCTGCAACCAGGGCATGGCCATCAGACTCCATGTGAACAGACACTGAAGCGCTGCGCGTTTGCGTGGAAGAGTTGCAGTTGGAGTCATGCGCTGCCGACGAGGCTCCTGAACTAGGATCGTTCATTTCAGAGGCGACGCCAGAGTCCATGACGTTGATGGTAGACTTGGATCGAGGATGCTCGCGACGCTTGCTCTTGCCACCGGATGACTGGCCACGGTGTGGCGATGCAGGCCTCGAGGGTGACGAACTCCGACCATGAGCAGGAACCTCACTCCTTTCACCGTCATCCCTTTGACTAGTGTCCGTGCCAGTCTGTGCCAATTTGGTGCGCAGCTGGCTTAAGACCGGATGGGCAGTCATTGGCGGCATCATCGCCGATGGAGCCGAAGAGCTGCTGAGCACCATGCCCGGGTAGTTGCCGCCAAAATAAGACATGGGGATGAATCCAGGTACGGGGGCACCTGAGGCATAGTTGCCTCGCGCTTGATGTTGGAGCATGTAGGCTTGCTGTTGTTGCTGTTGCTGTTGCTGCTGCTGCATTTGCATCTGCATTTGCATCTGGATTTGCTGTTGCTGCATCTGTTGCTGCATCTGTTGCTGCATCTGTTGCTGCATCTGGTGTGATTGTAGATGTTGCTGTTGTTGAAAAGATTGCTGCCGCTGGTGTTCCTGCTGCCGCTGCGAAGAGTGATGTTGTTGTGCTTGCGGCTGCATTGAGAGGCCAACCGCCGTCATCATGCCGGGCGTCCCTTGCATCGCTAGATTCTGTGGATAGGCACTCATGTTCGTGGGCATGGTGCCATAAGCACCCATGCCATTCTGTGGCAGGAATGCTGCTTGCATTGGAGTGCTTTGCGTCGGCGCCATGCTGGCACTGGCAATGGCTGGATTGTACATCATGTTTGGGACCATGTAAGATGCATAGGCTGCAGGATCAGCGTTGACAAATCCGGGCATGCCCATCATTTGCGGTGACATGACGCCGGGCATCATACCAGTCGCACCAGGCATGCCCGTGACACTGGCAGGCATGCCATTGACGCCCAAACCAGCCTCGGGCATTGCACCAAGACCAACAGGGAGGGGCCGGTTGCTGTAGCGAGTGCCCATGCCATCCGACGCCAAGCCGCTGGGTACGGCAGCAGACATGTTGTGGCTGTGTTTGGCAGTCGAGTTGCCTGCATCCTCATTATCGGTGGCCGCCACGTCATCGTCGTCATCGCCGTCATCAATGTCTTCTGTCGCGGTGGGATCTGTACCAGCTGAGTTGTCGCCCAGAATGAGGCCTGTGGCCGTCTACTCGGAGAGCAAGAGAGGGTGGACAAGAGAGTGAGAGGATTAGACATGCAGAAACACAGACAGAGACAGGGAGGCCCATGAGGAGAAGCCGGGATGGCGGTGACGGGAAGGAAACGGTCTTGCCTCGGCATCAAGCTTGGGGTGGGTTTTGCGCAAGCGCTTGTAGCGTTTCACTGCAAGAGCAGCCGCTCGAGGTAGAGAGGAATCGTCCATACGCCAAGTACGATGGGCCTCGGGCTGATAGAAAGCTAGTGAATGGCATTGACAGGGCAAAGGAAGACCCGGTAGGAGAAGGGTCAGTCGGATCATGAGGTGGAACCAAGGGCCACCGCGCCACGCCATCATGCGATCGTACCATGATGGCCACTCAAACAATGCCGAACGCCATTGCGCCAGTTTTTTCGCCGAACACAAGGCAAGACGTCACTGTGCGACTCCATAAAGGCATAGATCTGGTCGGTGGTGATGCCAACTGACTTGGCGCGGTCGATAGATGCCATCGCCAGGGCGATGCAGACGGCGTACGACGGCATGGCGGCGGTCGAGTGCGGTGCTGAAGGAGCACCTTCACGCGGATGGGTTCGTTAGTCGAAAAGGAGGAGTTGGGTTGAGCCACCCCGAACTGGCCCTTTGCACCCAACGGAAAAGAAAGACCTGAAAGGGAAGGCACTCGAATGCGGGTCTGTCTCAAACGAGGCGATGCCAGTCGGCGAATGGCAGCGGCAGGTGTGGGGTGCAAGAAGATGGCGATGGCGAAAGCAAAGAGGAAACTTTCATGGGACTCGCAACCGAAATGAGCAGGGGCCGGAGAGCGTTCCAAAAGCTTGCTGGCGAGGAATGTGTGTGTGTGTGTGTGTGTGTGTGTGTGTGTGTGTGTGTGTGTGTGTGTGTGTGTGTGTGTGTGTGTGTGTGTGTGTGTGTGTGTGTGTGTGTGTGTGTGTGTGTGTGTGTGTGTGTGACTGGCGGGATGGACGGATATGGCGGCGCAAATGGTGTTGGGGCACGCACTGTAACACACGGGACAATGGGGTTTGAAAATGTGGAAAACACCACCACCATCACGACCAGCAGCAACAAGAGGCCTTTTGACGCAAACTGATGATGATGATGGGGGGTGCAAAGAGCACCATCAGTTGATGGGGTATGGGTCGCGCGACGGGTGTGGGTGGGCAAGAGCAATGTGTGTTTGCGTTTGTGTTGTGTGGGAGGCCTGGTGTGGGGTGTGGGGTGTGGTACTCTGCGGTTTTTCGAATGATCAATGACACGTCAAAAGCATGCTCCGTCCCAACGCAGGGCTTTCGTAAATTGTTCATGAACGTTTCGTAAAAAGTGGCTGAGATTGAGTAAGGATGATTCAAGCTCTCACGGCATAGACGCAGAATGAACACTACACCAAACGCTGTGACGTTGCTGCATCCTTCCTGGCGTTATTGCATCCCGAGTGGTTGTCACTCATCGCTTGTCCTGACGCTCGTCCGACTCTGGAGTTTGTGCTCCGAAGCAATGCTTTGTTTGCGCATTGATGAATCTAAGGCATCAGCGCAGGTGTAAGGGGATGGGGTGCACACAGTCCCTCCCTTCTCTGTCTTCACTTGCTCGGCTCAACCTACTTGTTTTCGTGGCGGACGCTGTGAGCATCCGTGCGACAGAGTGTTGTGCAGTAGTCAAACGTATCCATCGTGGGCAGCATCCGCTTCGCGCCAGGCATAGGGTTCGTCAGTGAGCTCGACGCCCCAAGCAAGCGCAATGCCCAGTCAGCTGCCAACCTGAAAGGGGGTCGCCAAACGTGCCAGTGCGGCTTGGCGTGGGCCCTTGCTGACTGGGTTCAAGCAACAGGACACACAATCGTGGTAGCTACTACAACAGGCTCGGGCGTTGCAAGCTTGACAAGTATACTTTGCACACGACCAATGGTAACAAAAAATAAAAAAAATGAAAACAAGCATGAAGACCCCATGGGGCCAGAACCGTTATGGTGTGCCATGACCAAGCCCCTCACCTGAAGCTGATCATTGGTTTGAGGGCAACAGCCTTGGACATTGAGCACAGCCATCGAGCACGAAAACCCATGCTCGTCAGTCGTGGCCTCGGCGTCTAAGGTTCAGCATCAATGTGCTCACTCAGTTCAGGCACGTAAGACAGGCACCATTGCGTGGCATATTATTTTTTTTTTTTTTGCATACTGCTGACCTTCCAGCGTGTGACGACATCCTGCGCCTCCTGGGTGGCGTGGCAGCGTCAGGTTGGCGAGTCGCTGCTCTTCTCCCGCTGCCAAAAAAAAAGTGAGACACAGCACGGCGCAAGCCAAAAAAGTGAGACACGGCAACAGTGCAAGCCAAAACGGTTGGCCTGCAACCTCTCTCGACTATTCAACGACAACAACAGAATGGCATTCTCGCCTGTCTCGCCCTGTCTTCACACAAGGCCATGGCTAGCACAGATCAACAAGAGGAAAGGGCGAGTCCCTAAGCCGCTGCCACTCGCGTACACACAGATCGCAAAGTGGGCGATGCGATAACGAGAGGGGAGATCGGAAGCTCCACGGCTTTTAAAGAAAAGATTCCGATTAAATGTGCGCGAGGCGCACGAGGTTTACAGCAGACTCACGCATGCGATGCCCCAAAGAATGACCTGGTCCATTGCTCAGGTAGATCCAGCCCAGGCAAAAGCCCATCAAAAGAGCCGCAAGCGCCACCATGAGCCTCATGGGCAGGGACCACGGGCCGCGACCACGACAACCATGTAAAATCATCATCTACCCTTGTGTGTGTCCCTCCCTCCCTCCCTCCCTCTCACTGGCTCGCTCGCCCACGAGCCCGGCCCGTGACGGCTGTGGCCGCAGCCGCCACCGTCCTATGGACCTCTTCTCCCCACCCCCTCCACCTCACAGCAGCGGAAAGCCACCACCGTCCCCCTCCCCATGAAGAGACGCGATGCCACCCAAACCACTCGACCAAAACACGCCAACGGTCGTTTGTCAGACAAAATACTGCGAGAGAGAGAGAGAGAACACACACACACACACACACACACACACTCGCTCGAGCGCAGAGATGAACGGACAACAACTGTTGTTGTTGTTGTCTCTCTCTTCTTTTCTCTCTTCGCACGCTTCGCTTCACTGACCAACAAATTGTTGACGGATCGCAGTGTGTTGTGTTGTGACAGCTCGCGCACTTTTTTTTCCTTTTTTTTTCGGTGCTCAGATCAGGTGCGTGGCCGTGACCGTGGCGGCTGGTGACAAGGGGTTGTCCCTGGGGGATTCGATCAGGGACTGGGAGGCTCGTCAACCCTAGGATCGGCGAAAGAAAGGGGGAAAGAAAGGGGGACTCTTGTGGTCTGGTTTGGCAAGGGTGATGCGCTCACGACTCGCGGTGGTCCATGCACGACTCGCAGGTCGCTCCAGCTATCAGACGCCCCGGCCTCCTGTACCACTCACACCCGCCAGTATGTCGCTCTTTGGAGACGATGACGATGACGGTGGCGGTGCGTAATGATGTCGAACCAGGGCCAAGAGAACCGCTTCGCTTCGCTCACTGGCCGATCTTTGACATGACACTGACCACCAATCGTCATACCTCTTTCTCACTGTTGCTCCAGATATCTTCAACATTCGCAAACAAGACAAGGCAGATGACCAGTACGTTGTGTCGCTGTACCGCGCCCCCAACCCCAACCCCAATCTTGCTTCCCATGCAAACCGTGTAAGAATCTGTGCTATGCGCTGATCCAGCTACTTTGGTACGTGCTTCTGCGCCCACGCGACGCTAGGCCACGCAAGAAAGTCAACCTCTTTGATGCTCTCGACGACGATGACGATGACTTTGACTTTGGCAAGTCAAAGTCAAAAGCCAAAGCCCAAGACAACACTCAGGACGAGCCTGTGAGCCACACCAAGACCAGCACTGGCCCCGCCGGCTCCTCCAAGGCGGAACAGGTGTTTGCTGTACGTCGAGAAATCCCGCTTGGACTGGCGCTAGACCACCAATGCTCGCACCGTCCCTTGACGCTGTTCCTTCTCACCCCCGTCTTGTATTCTGGTGCCTCCCTCAGGATGACGATGAGAGCGATGCCATCTTTGGTGGCTCGAAGAAATCGCCAGACAGTACGATCGATCGGTCCTTTCGGCCCGCCCTCCCTTGGTTTGGTGCTCTTCGTGCCAGCCACGCCCGTGCTCACCTGATTTGCTTTGGGGGAAATCAAATATCGGCAGAAACGACCAAGGCCAGCTCCAAATCTGCCACCAAGGCAGCAGCACAGCGCAGCAAGGCTGCTGCCAATAAGGCCGACACGACATCCCGCAAGGAAGCTACTGATCCGACCAAAAAGGGCAAACTTGATCCTGCCAACCCCGACCTCACGGTTGAGGACATTGACGCCGTACGTCGAGCTCGCTGCCAGTTACAACAAGCGCGCTGACGCATTGCTCACGCAAACAGACTCCCGTGCACTGGACGACCTAACAACGCTGCACCCTTGTATGCTTTAATGTCTTGTCGGTTGCGCTTGACGACATTGATACCATCGCCGCCCACCCCCATCACACAGATGCTTGCTGATACGTCCATCATGCTCACCTATGAAGAGCGTTCGTCCTTGCGCGCTCGTCGTCGCAAGCTGCGTTCTCAACAAACGGTAAACCCCCTCTCTCTCTTTAACATGCACTGACCGTGCTCAAGTTTGGCCCGTCCTTTGCTCTCACTCCGGGACTCATGGTGTTCTGACGCTGCAATGGGACAGGAGCAGTCTCTGGCCGATGTTGACAAGGCTCTTGCGGAGGAGCGTGCTACGCGGGAGCGGCTGGAGCGCCGCCGCCAGGAGCGACAACAAAAGCTGGTGCGTCTCATTGCAACGGGCTCCTATGAGAGCTGATGGAACCTGCACTTGCGCGTACGTTTATGCAAATGCGTCTGTGCCTGTGTTTGTGTCTGTGTGAACCCTTGTCAGGAGTCAGCTCGCCGCGATGCCTCTCCCGCTGAATCCAAGCCCAAGGTTGAATCCAAGCCCAAGGGTGAATCCAAGCCCAAGGCTGATTCCAAGCCCAAGGCTGAATCCAAGCCCAAGGCTGAAGCCCAGCCCAAGGTTGATTCTAAGCCCAAGGTTGATTCCAAGCCCGAAGCCAAGCCCAAGGTCGAAGCCAAGCCTGTGGTGGACGAGGCAGAAACTCAGGCCGCGATTGCTGCTGCTGAGAAGAGAGCAGAAAAAGGCATTGCTGCTGCGGAAGAGGCAGCAGAGCGCGCTCGTCAAGAATGTGCTGCTGCACAAGCCAAGCTTGACAAGGAGCGCACTGCTCATCGTGAAACCAAACAACAGCTTCAAGGCGCTGAACAGGTCGGCTTAGCGTTATGATCCTTGAACTCACTACAACTACGGCACCCAAGCCTGGCTCTAGCCACAGCTACAAGCCATCGTCTCGCATAAACCCCCAGGCACCGAAGAGATGGTCTCACCAAAGCCTTTCATTTCAATGTAGTTGGCCGAAGACCTGCAGTCCAAGCTCAAGAAGCTGCGCGATGAGAATTCCGACCTCAAGGACACGATCAAAGAGCTGGAAGCACGTTCCGGGGCCACTCAAGCTATCGAGTCTAGTGAAATTCAGTTGGTCACTCGCCTCAAAAGTTTCTTCGGGCCTCTTGCTGCTCTCGTGTCGCCAATAGTAGCCGCACGTGCCCATGCGCTGTGCTGATGAACATTGCAACATCGTAGATCTCTCAAAGACGATATCAAGCGGTTGCGTGGAGAACGGCGCGAGGCTGAAGAGCGAGCCGATAAGGTTTGGTCCATGGCCTCAAAATTTTGCCTCAAGACCAAACATTCCTCTTTTTGACATTTACCTGCTTGTTGCGTATGTACGTGACGTAGGCGGAACGCCAAGCCAAGTCTTTGTCTGACAAGGCTACTGGACTCGAGAGCAAAGTCAGTGAGCTCCAGACGGAAGTGGACGAGCTTGAAGAGGATCTGACCTTTATGACCAAGAAGGCCAAGCAAGCTGAGGCGGATGCAGCGGCCGCCTCTGCGGCTCCGTCTTCAACCTCAACCCCGAGTGCTTTGACAGAAGAAGTCAACCCCGAACGGGCCCCGAAACCTGCAACAGAGGTACTGATGCTTACTCAATGGTCACGGCTGTGTTTTGTCTTGCTTGGTTCGGTTTTTGCTTCTTTTGGTTTTTTTGCCTTTCTATCAAGGCGAGACAAGTGTGCAGACGCTTGTTCTTTTAGCTCACGAGAAAATCTGCCAAACATTGTAGAAGCCCAAGCCCACTTCGGCCAAGCCCACCTCGGCCAAGCCCACCTCGGCCAAGCCCACCTCGGCCAAGCCTGCGGTTCCAGGTGTGTTTTTCTTCCGAGCATGGTTTTGCGCTTCAAAAGGACGGATGCAACGAGCCGTCCCAACAACCCTGGCACAGAGCCGCGGCCCTCTTTTTACTCCTTTTGACTTCATCTGTGTGTGTCACGCTCGTAGCCAAAGCCGCTGCACCAGTGGATGAGGGCAAGTTTGATAAGCCGGCCCTTCGCAAGGTTGATCGGGTACGAACAAGCTGACGCGAGACGCAACGATTTTTTTTTTACCCAAACGTCTTGATGTTTGTCTCGCAACGGGCCACTCTCCGTTGGTATCCATCCTTACTTGGCATGCTTTTGAATGGCTAGCCATCCATGCGTCACATGCCAGGGCGCAAAACCGGTGAGTCGCCCGTGGCAAGCCCAGAAACCAACCGTCGCGTTCGACGAGGTGTGGACTATGAGACTCAAAACGTCAAGCCCAGCGACATGGCTCGACGTCAGACGGTTACAGAGCGACCTGTAAGCTTCCGAGTTTGGCGAGCCATGTGCTTTCTCAAGCCTTCAAATTAGAGCTCGATAACATCGATGCCTCGTTGCCTTGCGTCATTTGCACCTCGTAGACGGCGCCCCCGGCAGCTGATGAGCGACGTCAAACCATCACGGAACGACCGGTACGACGGCAGCGAGCGCGAACCTGACTGGGATCTTTTTGCCGGCCTCGGGACTCATTGCAGCTTTTGGCGTGAATAGACGACGGATGACGCTGACAAGCCGAAGAAAAAAGGCTGGACGCCACCCGTGAATCCAAAGTGCAAGGTGAGGAGGAAAGGGAGCTTTTGCCGCTCCAGCGAAGAAGTCTTCTGTTGCCTCTTTGGGGTCTTTGCGCCTCATGTGAGATGCCCATTCACGTGCACAGGCCTGCGATAAGAGTGTGTATGTGGTTGAGAAGCTTGAGGCTGACGGTGACATTTATCACAAGGTCTGCCAGCCGTATCGAGTACCAATTACTAACCGCGGTTGACCTGCACCTGACCTGCACCTGACGCGGCCTCACGACCAACCATTGCTCCCGCGTTTTACCAGCTCTGCTTTAAATGCACTGAGTGTAAGGCAACGCTGCGCCTCGGTAGCTACGCTAGCTACCAGGGCAAGCTGTTTTGCAAGCCCCATTTCAAGCAGTTAGTGCTTCATGGTTGCGAGGATCCGGGCTTTTGTGGCTAACTTTTCGTTTTCTCTCGACACAACAGCTCATGGTGGCGCATTGCCCCCTGTTGCTCCTTCTAGGTTGTTCCGCTTGAAGGGCAACTACGACGAAGGTTTTGGTGGCTCCCAGCACAAGTATAAGTGGGTTAACAAAGACCATGACGATGGTCAAAGTGACGCCTAAACAAAAGCACAACTGTGCAAAAGTCTTTTGCCGTGACAGAGCGACAGGGCAGTGTCTTGGGTCTTGGGATTTCATGAGGACGGGAGATACTGCTTTAGTGTCACATGCGTTGATTGTACCGTGTGGTGTGGCTAATCCTGGTGGTCGCCGGGACGCCTCTGATGAAATGTGAATAAAACTCATTTTCCCCAGTCTTGACCGCCAGCGGCACAACCCACTTTCTCCTTTTTAAAGGGGGCACGAGAGCACAAACAACAAACAACAACAACACTACCACACACACGCACGCACACAAGAGAAGGAAGGAAAAAAAAAGAACAAAAGAGCGTTGTTGCACATTTGATGTCTGACAGTTTTTTCTTTCTCTCCAGCACCAACACGATGGCCGTGCTGATGGAAACCAGCTTGGGCGATCTGGAAATTGACCTCTATGTCGACGATTGTCCCATGGGTGTGTGGCTATAGATCCCATTGCCTGGCTCCGCCTTCTGGCTTTGCATTCGACCAGCAGAGACACTGCATATTCCCTTCGCCCGCGCCTGGCTCTGGTGTTCTCTGCTCCCGCGACCTGGCCCTTAGCTGATCGAATGTCTTGCACGCGGTTCATCATAGAGAGCGAGAACTTTTTAAAGCTGTGCAAGTGCAAGTACTACAACTACTCGCTGTTTCACCGCGTCGTCGTATGTGCCCAGGCACCCCCCTTTCCCCCCCGCGCGCGCGCGTCTTGACTGCCGCGGCTCTCCGCTTGTCGCGTGCCCCCTCGGTGTTGATGCTCATGCCAGTGTGCTACTGCAACCTGTTTTATACCAGTCACACTTTGTCGCTCAAACAGGCGACCCCACAGGCTCGGGCCAGGGCGGCTCCTCTGTCTGGGGCCTCATTGATGGCGAGAGCAAGCGCTTCTTTCCCAAAAATGATCAAAACCGGTGTGTGTTCCTGCTCTCAAGCGAAGCAGAATGATAGAGCATACCATACTCGGGGGCGCGTGCCTGTCGTGTAGCTTCAGACCGGTATTCTGCTGTTGCTCATATGAAATGGAACGCGTGCTTACACTGTTCAGATTCAAACACACACGTCGCGGCCAGCTGAGCTTTGTCAATGATGGAAACAACCGTCATGGGAGCCAATTTTTTATCACGCTTTCCGACCGGCTCGACTCTCTCGATGGTCATCACTCTGTCTTTGGCGAGGTACACAGGCTCGCCTGCGACCCAACCTTGCTGCTTCCACTCCGCCCCGCGCACAGCCTTACGTCCTCCCATTGCCTGACATCATCGTCGACACAGGTGGCCGAGGAGTCTTTTGCGGTCTTGGAAAAGATCAACCGCGCCGTGGTTGACGACAAGAACCAGCCCTATCAAGATATTCGCATCCGCCACACGATTGTTCTGGACGACCCCTTCCCTGATCCAGCGGGCTTGCCTGTGCCAGACAAGTCACCGCTCCCCACGAAGGAACAGATTGAGGTTTGCTGGCCTTGCCCAAGCGCTGCTCGTTCACTTGTCCAACGCAAGCTTGACGCCGTACCCTTTCCCCACCCTTTAGGCTGGGCGCATCGGCGAAGATGAAAAGATTAACGAGTTTGAAGGCATGACCGAGGAGGAAGTGGAGGAGATCATGCGCAAGCGTGAAGCTGCAGGTCGCGCACAGATTTTGGAAATGGTACGTTTTGGCCCCAGCTTCGAAGGCCACCCGTTTTCTGTGCTTCAACAAGAAACCACCTCCCAGTGGTGATGATGAGTTATCAAGTCATTCATCGCTGGTGCGCTCCAACTTTCTCCTTATGATTAGATTGGTGATCTGCCCGATGCTGATGTCAAGCCGCCTGAAAACATTCTTTTCGTGTGCAAGCTCAACGCGGTCACAACAGACGAGGATTTACGCTTGATCTTTGCTCGTTTTGGCAAAATCCTCAGCGTATGATGCTGCAACGAGTTATTTCCCATCAGTCGTCCCACTCTGCCTGCGGATTCCTTCACCCCCCCCCGCTCATTTTTGGGTTTTGGCTGGGTAGTGCGAAATCATCCGTGACTGGAAATCTGGCGACAGCTTGCAGTACGCCTTTATCGAGTTTGAGAACGCCGAAGTATGTGTTGCCGCTACCATCCGGACAACAGCCTGACCTTGCCATCAGCCTTGGCATGCATTGATACTGTGTTGGCTCACTGATTAATCTGGTCACGCCTCTGTTTGCCCTGCTTATTTCGGCTGATCGGTTGAATAGGATGCCGAAGAGGCTTACTTCAAGATGGACAACGTTTTGATTGATGACCGGCGTATTCACGTGGACTTTTCACAGTCGGTGGCCAAGTCCAGCAATTATCTGTTGCCTCGTGGCTGGAAGCTTGGTGGCTCCAAGGTGCGCAGCATACAAAACGCCTTTATACGTCAGCTTGCAACACTCGGTTAACCTGTGGTATGACAATCGCGTGCTCTGGCTGCCCTGGCTGAATGCAGCTCAAAGTGAAGCAACAAGGTGCTGTTGGTGGTCGCAAGTACGAAGACTACAACCTGGTTTTTGAAGACGATGGCCGCAAGAATGTATGTTGAGCGTACCATGTGACCATGGACATGCCCCTGGATGTTGCCTACTCTATCATCTGACCCATCCTTGTGGTTATCAACCATGACGGCAGGATCGCAATGGCCGAGGTGACCGACGCGACCATCGCGACCATCGCGACCGAGACCATCGCAGCGGTCATCGCGATCGCCGCGTTGTGGACCATGATCGCCGCGACCATGACCGTCGCCATGATGACCGCCGCGAACCTCGGCGTCACGACGACCGTCGCCGCGATGACCGCCGTCATGACCGTGATTACCGCGACGATGGTCGCCGCACACAGCATCAGCGCGATGACCGCCGTGAGCCCCGCCGCCACGATGATCGCCGCCACGATAATCGCCGAAGATGATAAAAGTTAGGCAAGATGCTTTAAACAAGAGTGAATAATGGCTCAGGGAATTGATTCACTGGCTGTCTAGTCTCTCGACGTGACTATGAAGGGAAAGCAAACACCTCTCTTCGTTCTGCTCTCCCATGCCTCGCTCGCTCTCTCCTTCTCTCCCCCTTCCCTTTCTCACTCTGTCTTGATTAGCGCCATCGACCAGAAGAACGGTTGAGTGACCGTCTGAAGGAACAAGAGTTTTTTATTCAAAAAAAGGATAAAAGGATTGAGCGCTAGGCTTTTCACATGTCAATTTGCCACACAGAGGGGACCGAGGCACGGCCGCGCGGGTCCCACGAGACACGGCACCAAACAGGAAAAAAAAAAAACTTGACTGCGCCACTTTCACACCGATTCCATTCCAGGCTCACTTCGTCGACTTCTTCTGCTGCGCCTTGTTCTGCGCCTCGATCAGGTGTGCAATGGCTGCCAAAGATGCAGCATGGGTGAGAATGGGCTGTTTGTGACATGTATGGTGCTCGAAAATTGGCCAACTGCCAACAATCATGTTACGCAGAATGAAAGAATAATAGGCAGCAGCAACTCACCGCCAAACTCAATCTTCTCCACCACAGTCTTGGACACAACCACATCGTCCTGTGACGGGGAGTTGACGGCAAGATAAGTTGAAAAAGGCACACTGACGCCAGGTTTGACAAAATCTCACTCAAACGAGTGGTTCAAGCTGCTAGCGCACTTGCGCTGGGCCGTCAGAGACCACAATCAAATTAATCAAACTCACCTTGCGAGAGACCATGTAATTGTCGCCCTCCTTGGTCCACTCGTGGCTCTTAGCAAACTCCTCGAGCGCCGCGGCATCCTTGATGTTGGTCATTTCCCGAACCACGTCCACCGAGACGTGTTGGTAGGTCGACTGAATAATGTATGCCGCGTACTCGCGGATGGTTTCAACAAAACCCACAACAGTGACCTCACGCAGCTCCTCGTCGCCCTCCTCGGTCACGGTCAGGAGTTTGCTCTTGAGCAGATCCTTGTGGTCCGACAGGTATTTCTACAACCAAAAAGTGTTGGAGCAATGATGATAAGACACAAGAATGCTGACACGCAAGGCTCAATGGCTTGCGCGTGCCAAAAGACCCCGAGGCAAAAGTCTACATGATCCCAAAAACAAAAAGTGGTCGTGTGATGGCCGGCCGTCCGCAACGTACCCAGAACTCGGCAAAGCGGCATGACTCCAGCAGTTGGTGCAAGTACATCAGCTGCTGAATGGGGCGCTGTTGCTGGGACTCAACCGTCAAGAGCGACGCGCACTAAAAATATGAGGCACGTCGGGAAGTCAGCGAGGCACATAAAACAGCGGGTCAGCCGAGTGCACACACAACGAACGGCGATGACATGGTGCCAGGACCAGCGAAGAATGCAACGACGTACCAGGAAAAAGTCGTTGTCAGGCATGCCAGTCAGCGCCTTGAGCAGCACAGTGCAAGCGGTTGGCAGGTTGAAGTACGTCGGGTTGAATTGATACCTGTCGCGGTATGACGCGAGGCAAACAATGGATCAGTGTCTCGAGCAAATAGGTTTTCCTTCCGCCTTCAGAGCTCGAGAATAAAAGTTCATGCCAAGAGCTGTGGCAAAGAGAAGCACAGCCTGCACCCAAGTCCATGACCCGAGGAAGAACACGTACAGTTTGAGGATGGCCAGGCACACATCAAGATCGTAGTAATTCTCCTCGAGCTAATGAATGACATGATCATAGACCAAACGGGGAGAAGCCGGTCAGAAGGGGGTCAGCTCGTTTGCTTCAGGCGGTAGTCCAAGGTCGCAATCCCTACAACTGCCGGGCTGCCTGGAGCAAGCGGAGCTAACCGTCTTCTCGAAGTACTCGGCAAAAAAACCGAGGTTGCTGGGGTTGTAGCGTTCGATGGTACCAATGATACCACCGAAACGCTCTTCGAGCTCACGCAATTCTTCCGACATGGTGCAAGGTTTTGGAGAAGGCTAGCTAGCACGCACGCTGATCCTGACGCACCGCAGACACAAGCACCCAAGTGAGAGCGAGGCGACGCTCGACGTGCCAGGTGTGCGATCTCCTTGCTTCCGCTCGCACAAAGCCCCTTTTGAGTTGGCAAAAACAGAACACACACGAAAGCCATGGCGTGCGACAAAAACCGATCAAGAAGGCCAAAGTCAAAAAGAACCCGGCAAGCCAACAACGAAAAGAATGGTCACAGCTGCATTTGACGCTGCCCTTTTGCCGATCAGTTCCCCTGGCGCTTCCCTTTGTGCCGTTCGAGTCTCTTGTGTGGGACCGCGTTCACTCACTCACGTGTGCTCTCTCTACTGGTAATGGACGACACAAGGTAAGTGCCCCTTTGGAACACCAAAACCGCTGGTCGCAACAGGTGTTCTAAACATGTGATGTCAACTCATGTTCTTCGAGGTATAAATCTGGTTCTGGAATATTGAATTTTCCGACCAGTTACCCTCGGATTTGTATATCGATGGCGGCGGCCGAGGCGATGGCGGCGGTCAAGGCGCCGGTGGCGGTGGTAGCCCGTGTCGGACGCGCTGGATCGGCGCATGCGCTTGGGCGCGGCGTCTTGTTGTGTCTGTTGATGGCCATTTTCCTGACAGCGACGGCCCGCGCCGAGAACTACGGCGTTGACAAGGTGCCCACCAGTTACCGCTTTGAAGACCCGCGAGCCGACCACACGGCCGCAGGCATCGCCTTTGACGAAGCCAAGCGCCGCAATCTCGCCGTGCAGGCCTTTGAGGCAGCCGTTCGCTTCAACCCAACCAGTGCTACCTATAATAATCTGGTACTCTCGCATCGAACCGGGGCCATGCCCCATGCTCACTGGGATCTCGGTTATTGTCCGCACTACGGGAGCTCAGGGGTGATTGCATCGGGGTCCCCGGCCAGCTCTGGCTGAGGCCAGGCGATGCGACCCTTCTCACCTGCACACCGACCGATCTTGCTTCCGCTTCTGATTAGGGTGTGGTACTCATGCGCGAGCATCAGTATGAACGCTCCCGGGAGGCTCTCCTGCAGGTCAGGGCGCCCATCTCGGCTTCATACACACTCACTCGCTCACTCACTCACACACTCACTCACACACTCACTCACACACTCACTCACATAATACGCCCCGACTGGTGGCACGCCACCTCAATGGCTTGGCTTGGCTTGGCTTGACCTGCAAACTCATGTTGTTGTTTGCTGGTGCAACACCTCAGGCCCTCAAAATTGAACCCAACAACAAGCACGCCATGGACAACATGAAAGACCTGAACAAGCTCGCCGGTGACTATCTCGGCTCGGCGCTACCCCCCAGCCCTCCAAGCCCTCTGCGCCCTCCGCCGGCCCCCAGCAACGAGTATGAGGAGCTGGACGATCTGGCTGGCACGGGTCTTGGCCATGCACAACAAACGATTCTTACCTACGAAGATGATGAGGTCGGCTCTGAAAATTTCTTCTCTCGCGCTTTCCACCAGCGTCGCTCACGTACTTTCCGCGATTTTCTGACCAAACACGTGCCCCATTGATGCAGGCTTTGGACTTGGACGATTATGAACCAGATGATTACGCTGAGGGCGAAGCCACCGCAGCGCCCACGGGCAGCCGCCCACCATCAACCGCGCACCCGTCTCCAACACCCTCGGCCGCAGTACACAAACCTGCCGCGCCGGCCCCGCGGCCTTCAGCCCCAGCTTCAACTGGCTCCGGCACACTCAAGCCGCCTCAAAACCCGGGCACGCTCCACCTGCCACCTTCCAATAACAGTGTGTTCCCTGAGATCCAGCCTTCTGTCCCCTGTTCTGCGCACCTGAGATCCAGCCTTCTGCGCAGCTCTCGCCAGCTGACCATGGTCCTTCCACGTCACCGCTCGCAGTGACGGGGCCCCGCTGGCACTTCAAGCGCCCTCTGCGGGCCGGTGGCTCCCTGAAAACAGTGCCTCTCGACCAAGTCAGCATTGCCATTGCCCTAGCATGCTGATTTTCGCCTTGCCTCATATTCTGGCCCCGCATCAACATCACTATGCCACCCCATCGCTCCTCCCTGCGCACAGGCCTGGCGCTTGGCTGAAGAAGCAGACGCTCCCTCAGTGCCCATCCGAAGTCAGAACATGGTGTTTGATAATGCGCCTCCAAAAACTGTTGCCGTCAAGGGTCGACAAGACCTCTTGCGTTTTATTCGCAACGAATTCAGGTGGGTTTAGACCTGGCCTGTGCAGGCAACCTCGCTAACTGCACACACCCACGTCCTCGCCGCATTCCCTCCTGAGCTAGCTCTCACGCGTTTGACTGTGTGTGCTCTGTGACATGCAACCTTCAGGGAGCGCTATTTTGAACAGTTTCCCGTCTACATTCAAGCTCAGGGTGCATATCTTGACTTTCTCAACTATTCTGCTGCGCTGTCTGGGTAGGTCAACCATCGCCTGACCCTGTTGTGTGGCCCTACCCGGCTGGATCTCAACGGACAATACATGCCCGTTTCTAGCCAAACATTCAACTATGCCGGTGACAAGGAGAAGAGTGACCCTCGTAATGTCAAGTTTATCAAACGCACCTTTGATCAAAAGCAAGAATCAGGGCGCAAAACTGAGAAGGACTTGGCGCGGGCCCTACGTGAAGGTTTTACTCTCCAATTCTACAGCGTCAACTACTGGGACCCCAACATTGCCAGTCTTGCCCTCGAGTTGAGCGAACACGGCATCCTCTTACCAGGTGCGTGCACTCAATAACGTCATACTGTGCTGTACTGCGCAAGGTGCCGTGAAACTCTTGCAAGGACGTCAATCTCTGCCAACCTGCTGCTGACCTGCATGTGCCACTCACTCGTCCTGTGCTGCCTTATGCCCAACAGTCAATGCCAACTTGTACATCACACCGGGTGGTACCAGCGTTTCGCTCGTTCCCCATACTGACTACCAGTGCTCCCTCATGGTGCAGCTTGCTGGCGTCAAACGCTGGCGCCTCTGGAAGATGCCTGGTCAGTTGATAAAACAAGGCCACTCACTTTTGCCAGCCATATGGGCTCGCAATTCCATGTCACGCTTCTTTCACATGCTAACTTTTTGTCCTGTCGCACGTCAGAAATCATGCTGCCCGTTAGTGCAAATATGATTCGTGGTCGTGATACCGATGATCTGGTTGCGTATGTTCTCGCTTTCATTTGCTTGATGAAGACTCGCTGCCTCGCCTTGTGCCCATCCACCCCCCTGTGAGAGTCGCTGACTGGAGACGATGAATGTTGACTAGCTCGGAGGAACTTGGAGAGCCTTACATGGACGTGTTGTTGCAGCCGGGTGACATTCTCTACGTCCCTCGGTGTGCACCCTCTGCTTTCACGCGTGCGGCTTATCACCTTGTTTGTTGACAGCCTCATTGCTCTGCCACTTGGCCCCGCCCCCCTTCTTAGAGGCGTCTTGCATGCAACCTCCACCCCCGAGGGTGATCATCCATCCATGCACCTTACCGTTGGCATGGAGGCCATGTGGGACCTGGGTGCGCGACAAGCCCTCTTGCTGTCGTGACCCTACTCTACGCTTGTCCTCTCCGTGTCTCTGGCGGTTGCCCTAAGGACGCCATGCTGACTCATTTGGCAATGCTGCTCTGAGATCGCAGGCATTGGACAGGTCTGGCATCATTTTCTGGGAGCGGGTGCCGTGGCACACCACCAACATATTGTTGAAGGTCTCTACACGGCTCTTCGCCGCAAAACGCACGAAGATGCCCGCTATCGCGCAACGATGCCCGCCTCTTTCTACAATCGCAGTGGCGACCCCAAACGTGCGTCGGTGCATCGAATTCGCTTCAATATGGGATCCCTCACGCCTGACTTCCGCGCGTCACTCACTACATTTTTGCATCGGGTCCGCAGAGAGTGCTGAGTGGCGGGAAATGGGGCGCCAGATGCTCCACGATATGGTGGATGAACTGGTTGATCACACCTTGACATTTGGTGCGTCAACCACCCTCGTCCTCAAACCGTCATTCGCACGAGGAAAAATTACCAATTGGCACGCACGTCCTGACTAAATACTGTGTTGTTGGGTCGCTTTCCTCGATAGAGCGTATCCAAAAGCTGATGCTTGGACAGGTTCGCAAGTCCCGTGATCGACTCGTTCGTGAATTCAAGGCGCAGCGCGACTTGACATTTCAACGTGACTCGATTGATGCCACCGCGCATGAGAATGCCAACCGAGAATGGTATTTGCAATGGCAGCGCAAACACGCCGCCGGTCGCCATGATGAGCTATGAATACCAACAATTTACGCATCTGCAAAGGCTTGTGTGTTAATCCATTAAGATTATATCACCCAGACCAAGGTTCCTCTCTGATGAAATGCCCACACGAAGCGAGTCAGCGGGACACGCTTCTTATTGTAGCTCCTCATCAACAGTGGGGCCGCCCTGGGCTTGTGCGGTCACACCGGCCAGGCGCTCGGCCCGAAGCTGAGACACGATGATGGCCACCTCCTCCGAAGGGCGGACAACAAAGCCCTTGCGTGCTGGAATGGCCTCTTCTAAAGCAGCGTGCCAGTCATCAGTGTCGCACACCGTCAGAAGGGCTCCCAAAACCTAGCGACGAGACAGAAAAGTTTGGCAGTTGGGTTAGCCGGAAGCGTGTCGCAAAGATGCCCCACAATTCTTGCAAAGCAGGAGGCCAGCTGTTTCGATCACACAGGACGGACTTGGTTGATGGACAAGACGGGAGCATAGCCCTTTTCACGGATGCAAAGCTCTTCAATGGGCAAGCGGGCCGTGGTGATGGAGCGCGCAGTAGCGCGATCCAACGTGTAGTTTTTGATGATGCTTTCATCCACGAGTCCACCCATCACGTACACCTGCCCAGCCACCAGAGAGAATCAGGTCGAAAGGAATAACATGTGCACGCGCGACACAACGAGCCATGCTATGCAAACCTTTTGCGGGTCCACCTCCAAGAGTGGTTCGGGTGCATCAGGTGTAAGATAAACAATCTAAGCTCATGCGCAAGAGGCAGAGACGGGTCAGCCTGCCATCAATAACAAAAAGGAAAAGCAAGAGACAAGGTCGATCAGGTTGATGACATACAGACCTGCTCTGGTGCAAAGCACTCGTGATACGCTTTGGGCTCCTTGGTCAAGATCATGTTGTCTAGACCGTCCGTTTGACGCCACAAGGCTCGCACAATGGGCGAGTCCTCCTGGAACGAGGTCAGATGAACCCGGGCAGGATGCTGTGCACAGAACGAGTGCAAGTAAGAGCAACGACAGCCCATCATTGGGTGGCACAGCATCCGATGCTGGATATGGAAGCTCAGACCTGTGCCCGAAGATTTCGACCATAAAAGCGTCGAATCTGGTCCACTAGCTTGTTAATTTCTTTCAAACTCATGGCCTCGTGCAGACTCAGATCCACCGCCACGCGCAGCGCTTTGTCCTTGAGTACCAGGATATAGCGCGCTGTAGTGAGTTTGCGTCCTTTTTCAATAGCCAGAGGACGCAGGTGGGCTGGTGGTGCCGCAGGAGCCCAAGGGTCTGCACAAGAATTGGGCTTACATCGTCACCCAGTGCTTGGGCCAACCGGGCGCGCTGCTCGAGCTTTGCATTGCGCTTGGCCCGCTTCGTGGTAGGGGCTGCTCCCTGCCCGGCTGCACAGAGGGGGTGACAGCGGGGGTGAGTTTTGAAAGTGGCAGCTTCGAGCCAATGATGCAACTTGCTGAGGCCTCACCTAGACCAGAGCTGGCGTGCGTCTCAACTGGAACAGGCGGTGCCGGTGATGCGGGCAGCCCTTCTTTCCTGGCTTCCTTCTTGGCAGCGTGTCGCGCCTGCATGACACCCGGACAACAAGCAGCCAAAAATGGACAGCGTTTGGTGACATCACGATGGATGCGGAACCAGGAGAAGCGAAAGCAGGAGAAGCGGGGCGTAGCGTGCGCTTCGTGAGGGGCGCGGGCATACCCGCTTCTTGGCGATGCGATCCATGCGCTTGCGAGTGCCGATTGAGACATCACTCAGCAACGCACAACGTTGTGCATCCAGTGCATCAAAGTCACTGGGCACGACACCTTGAGCTTCGAGATCCGCTCGCCATGCTGCCGCAACAGACGTGCAGTCCACGTCCCCCTCGAAGCGTTTGCGGCTACCCTCGTCCGCTGTCGCGAACCGCCTGTGGCACAGAAAGTTACGGTTAAGAGCTGTAGAGGCATGTTAAAGTTTGCTATAGACTTCAAATACGGCTGGTGCTTAAGGTTGACGGCACACCTGAACGATGGCTGGCACGCCCGCAATGCAGGCAAAATGGCTGTGTTTTCAAAATCTTCAGCAAGTCGAGCGTCCAGAGCATCGAGTACCAACGTCAGCTGGCGGGGCGCATTCGCTATGGAAGAGCCAGCGCGTCATGCAATACGCGAGCATGCGAATGGTGAGCCATGCACCGGCCTGCATCATGTTCACTGCCAGCGGAGGGACGTGCGTTCGACTCACCAAGGGCCAGCTCCTCAGCCAGGCGTGGGTAGCGCACGATGGCCATGTGGAGGAAATATTGGAGGTGCTCACGCGCTGTACCTGGAAGCGCGTCCCCAGTACTTCGAAAACGGTCGATGTACTCTCGCGATAGCTACACGGTTTACGCTGTGTCGTGAGTACTTGGGCGGCCATGTGCCGGTACGGGCGGAGAAACGAGCTGGGTCGCTTCGCACCTGAATAACATCTTCAGGCGCTTCAGCTTTGAGCATGCACGGATTGTAGAGAAGACCCTCGCCTACGACAACGCCATCGACGCCTACACGTGCAGGTTGGCCCGGGTCAGCGGGAGAGACCGTGTGGCCGTATGTGCCTTGGTATGATCAAACGTAGGGGGGTTGCGTGGGTGTCGCACAAACCAACCCGTGTAGGCGAGGCAGGCTTCGATTTGCTCGCGAACCACGAGGTCACCATTGTACAGGATGGGAATGCCCACCGCCGCTCTGTGCAGACGGTTTCGCAGGCAAGTGTGGTCAGATGACTCGCGGCACGGCATGACAGAGCTTGAGTACAGATGCCATCAAAAATGGTTAATCGAACCGTATTTGTGCAATGTCTTCCCAGTTGGCGATGCCACGCCGACTGTCGAGCTGTGCTGACGTACGACCCTCGATGGTGAGCAGGCTGACGCCCCATGCTTCGAGGCGTTGTGCTGTGGCAATGGTTTCAGCTACCGATGCTTGCAAGCGCAGCTTGCACGTGACTGTTGGTGCACGGAAAACCCGCGATGAACAAGGAGTAGCATTAAGCAGAGGGAAATAACAAAAGCTTGCTGTGCATTGAATGAACCGCCGCAGGCCGAGAGTAGGCATCAACTCACTTGGGACTTGCGTCGCGACGCCCGCTCGCACAACGCTCTCGAGTTGTGTGGGGTTCTTGAGGAGATATTCACCGTACCCGCCTGTGATGCAAAGATCAGAAATGAGGAAGTTGCTAGCGCTGGCGTTGCTATCCCTGGTTGATCGATTTGAAGCTGCACATACCGCGCTCTGCACGCTTTGACGTCCAGCTCAGATTCAAGTCCACGCCGCGGCAGCGTAGGCGCACCTGAGAGCAGCAGCTGTATGAATCTTGGCGTCCTTCGATTCTTCTCGGAACAAGGTACAAGCCTGTAGCTTTCAGCGACGTACCTTGTCAATGGCGCGGGCGAAGAAGTCGCCGTTGTTGGCGCAGAACTACATCACGCAAGACAGAACAAGGATCATGCAACAGAACGAGACATTGAGCGCTGCGTCTCGGCCGTCTGACGGTTGGCGGGCGCTGTGAGGTGGTACCTGCACAATCACGTTCTCGGCCGGTTGTGTGTCTAGGTTGAGGTTGAGATAATTGGGGTTTTCCACTGCATGCCGCGCGTACAGCATGGGACTGAAAGCTGCCACAACGCCTCGCTCGTAGCTAAGAAGACAGGGCGTGAGTTTGTTGCACATGGTCCGGGAAGCACGACCGAATTGACGACTCACCACATGGTCCGAAAAGCCAGATCAGAGCCACCCACGAGCGGTGCCAAAAACACACGCTTGGCTCCAAGCGAACGCAGCCACTCTTGCATCTCGTGCACCGGTCCAGCCACTACCCCACCTTCTATGACACCACCTGCGGCTGCCATCCCGACCCAGCACGCGGCTCGCTGTGTGTGTGTGTGTGTGTGTGTGTGTGTCGTTTTCTAAAATGAACTGGTGTTCTTCATTTTATAACAATATATTGCTAACAACACATTGCTATTTGCAACTAGCTTATAAATATTTTTTATAAATTGGCAGTCGGTATTTCGGTTCATGCTCCGCTATCTTTTCTGTTGTGCGTTTCAAAGCAAGGCACAGCAGGGGCGTTGGATTTTGGTGGATCTAACGACTGTGCTCTCGTATCCGTGCCCTGCCTGTGGATCCTGACCCAGCCCCGACATTGAAATTAAATTTTTATTCTTTTGAATTACCGGATTTTGAGTCCAAACTTGACTTTACGATCCCATTCGCGCTAATCGGCTTGTGAAGTGCTTCAACATGTTGGCAACCCAGTTCAACAGGATCAAGTGGGACGACCGTGGAGCCTGACAAGAACTCAAGTGGCGAGTTTGGAGGCAGGCGGGAGTGACAAGCACGAAAGAGTTCGAGAGAGTTTGAGAGAAAGAACACCCACGTTAATTCATCATTATATCGTAAGAAATGCGTTTAGGGACCGGAGTATTTTTACACAGTCAGTCCGAAGAAAATTTTTGAAACACAACTTGTCCCAACTTTTCGTAACGAATTGAACCATGCAGACTTTGTTCTTACGAGCAGACCGCCAAAAGATCAAACCTTCCGAGTCCGCCCAAACCAGTCTACACACTGTACACACGTCGTCACACCACACACACGCGCACACGCACACGCACACCGTACACGCTTTACAAATAAGGGGATTAGCCTTGAAACTCGAGGCGCTCACACATTTTTCTTCCCCCTCTCTGCTTCCCCTAGCAAGATCACCGCTGCGATCATCCTTTTTGTCTTCGCCGCGATCATTCAACCACAATGGCTGGCCTTCGCCTCTTCCTGATCGTGTCCAATGTGCTGGCCTTTTTGTTGGCATCCGGTACGCCCTCTCGCATCCGGCTTGGGGCTCGAAGCAAGCATGATGTGCTCACCCAGGCTTTCTCTCGATGGCGTGGCCATCACGTTTGCAGGCCTTCCCTTTACGCCGTGGCGCCAGGTGGCTGGATCGGTATGATCTCTGTTCTCTCCTCCGCCTCTCTAAGCTTCCTGCCCGCACGCGGCCCAATTGTCATTCTCATGACCTTTTTCGTCGGTAGAGTTGTGCCGTTCACGCTGCGCCAGCTTACATTCTGGGAGACAACGGCCTGTACAGTGTCACCCTCTGGTGTGTCAGAAGCGTACCCTTGCGTTAGGGCAGCTCCATCCGCTTATTCAACTTTTCTTACAAACCCAACTGCTTGGTCTCTTCAGGATCGGAGATTTTTGCGATGGCACCTTGGCTGGCGTGAGCAGCGTTTGCTCAAAATTTCAAGCAACAGTGGCGCTCTGCTCCCTGATTGTCACCTTTGAATTGGTTCGTCGTATTCTCTCCTATCGTGCTTCTCTTCACTCTGCCTCTGCCAGTTACTGGGCTCCTTTGGCAGCCGCCGCCAACCTCATGCTACGTCATTGATACGCCCAGGTCAGCATCATTTTGAGTGCCACGTGCTGCTGTACTGGCGGTCGTGTCTACGTTGCCGTTGCTGTGCTTCAGGGGCTTGTGGTCATTCTGACCGGTGCTGCACTTGGCACTTTAAAAAAGGCCTCTGAGCTCGCTGACGACCTTTCTCTAATCCAGCTGCTCTTCGACGATTGCAGCAGTCGAGGTTTCACCAATCACCCCGGGATGACCTTGCCCATCCTCGTGATCCTAGTCTCGGTTGTGTCCATCTGCTTTGCCACCATTCTGGCGCAGCGTGCGTGCAAAAAACATCGGGATCAGGACTTGAACATGAACGTTCCGGGCGTCACGCGCCCTGTCAGCCAGCCTAGTAAGCCTCGTAAGTCTCAGCGTCTCTGACTCCTCCCCCTGCCCTTTGCACACCACCCGCCCCGCCCCATATCCCCTCCCATTTGGCTCGCGCAGCCTCACACGGCCCTTTGATATGCAGCGTCCTCGGTAATGTACCATCCCGACCAGAGCGCGTGGTCGCCGCCGCAAACGAACCTTGCCTTTCAGCCGACGCCGGCCTCGCAGCCGCAAGTGACCGGGCAGAGCGACGCACAGCCCCAGCTTCACGCAAACACACAGCAGCAGCAGTTCTGGCAGCAGCAACAAACTTCGGTCGCCTCGTCAGTGGGCACAAACCGGTCGAATCCTGGGTCATTTGCCGTAACGTTGTGGCAGCCCATTGCTGCGTCTCAGCCCAGAGCCACTGCGTCGGGCAGCACACTCCCGAGCCAGCACGTGCCCGTGAGTGGCACGGACCCTGCGCAGTATCATGCAAGGCAAGCCACCTCCTTTGCGGCCATGCCCGATCCCAGCGCTGCGCCGAACAGCAGCGAGGCTTGAGTGCCACCAGCCTTTGCTGACACAACCTCGTGAAACTTTTCTTCCTTCCCTTTTGTTTCTTTGCTCTTCTGCCCTTCTTTCCTCACAGATCAAATCTCCCTTTCATCTGCTCACAGCATGAAGAACAAGATGTTGAGGACAGGCGCGATGAAAGGGCAAGGAGGGAGAGAGAGGGGGGGAGAGAGAGAGCCTGAGAGCTTGAGAGAGCTTAAAGAGAGCTTGAGAGCTTGAGAGAGAGAGAGAGAGAGAGAGAGAGAGAGAGAGAGAGAGCGAGAGAGAGAGAGAGAGAAAGAGGAAGAGAGAGAGAGAGAGCTTGAGAGCTTGAGAGCTTGAGAGAGCTTAAAGAGAGCTTAAAGAGAGCTTGAGAGAGAGAGAGAGAGAGAGCGAGAGAGAGAAAGAGGTTGAGAGAGCTTGAGAGAGCTTAAAGAGAGCTTGAGAGAGAGAGCTTGAGAGAGAGAGAGAGAGAGAGAGAGAGAATAAGGCTGGCTAGATTGTGGTTAAGAGGTAGGCATGTAACAAAACGGCCACGGAAAGGGGAAATGACACGACAAAATTGGTCAAGAAACAGCAAGAAAGAAAAAAAAAAAAAGGTCGAGCGCCATCGCGCATTGCTCACGCGTCATTCCTCCTTTGTCGCTGGCCTACCATCGGCCCTGCCAAGATGGCTCACCGATCAAACTAAGACATAAATGAAATCTATTCGGCCAGGTCATAGTATGCGTAGCGAGACACGTTCACGTTGGCATACTGGCTTGTTTTGGTCTTGACCCAGTTGCGCTGCAAGAGGCGGTTGGCCTGCGTGCCAAAGTCGTACTCAGTAGAGGCTTGCTGACGGTCGTAAAAGGTGGTGCGCCCGTGCAGAAGGGACATGTCGTTGGCAAAGAGAATCTCGCCCTTGGCCATGTTGTAGCGCAGCTGCAGTGACTCTTCGAGGGTGGCATTGGTCAAGGCGTTCAGAGCTGAGATTTGACGATCGGTCAGCGGCTCACCAGCACGCGCGTGGGCCGATTCAAGGTACTCTCGAAGCCAGCGGAAGCAGGGGTACCCATCCGTGCCATGAAAAAGGATGGGTGCTCGGTAAAACCGCTCCGAGAAACCACGCAGCTCCCAGAGAAAATCCTCCTTCAGCGTCTCCAGTGCCTCGGGATCGTGCTTGGCCAGGTAAGCCTCGACGGTGCTGCTGGACAGCAAGATGCTCTCGCCGCCCTCAGCAGCTGGCTGGAGACAGGTCAAGAGCATGTATTCCCAGGTCTCGGGCACGTTGACGTTGTCCGTGTGCATGGATCCACCTGCAGCAACGACGGTCAGAACATCAAATCAAGAAGCGCTCTACCCACATGCCAACTCTACATGAAAATATTTAAAGAGGCAACGGGAGATGTTTGCGTGCTTACGCACCCTCATGTGACTGATGATAACGCTGGCCGTCCACCATCTTGCGGCCGGCATCGCGATCAAAGACGAGAATGGACTTGTCACCGGCGGCGTTTTGCACCAGGGGGGTACCCAGGCAGCTGCTCATGGCGAGGGCGGCGAAGCGCATCTAACAGAAGAATCGTCAAACCACACTGGTCAATCCAAGAGCGATCCGCAGCGGCCCGAGCCGAGGCACACAATTAATCGAGTTATACACACTCGCAGCCCACGTCCCCGCCTGGCGGACGACAGCAAAGGCGCACGCACCGCATGAATATTCTTCGCCAGCGAGGGCATCGGCTGGAGGAGGGCGAGTCCGGGGCCGTCCATGAGATAGGCCTGCTCGAGGTGCTCGACCATCTCACAGGTGAAAGGAAGGTCTGCTCGATCGCATGCCACATGGTCCGGGTTGGTGCTCTGCTCCAAAGCCTTCTCACACCACGCGTACAGCTCAGCCTCGACCTTGTCGCTGGCATAGTACTGGAGGCTGGACGGGTCTTGCGTCAACTCGCTCCCCCAAGCGCGAGGGTTTGAGGCACCCAGCGTCTCCGTCGAGTCTGTTGCCAATCGCCCCGACATGGTTGCCACACCACTGCTCAACCCGCGCAACCGCACCAGTGAGCCGACCCGAGCCACTGTGGCACGTGAGCTCGCACGTCCCTGTCGCATGGCTGCCGTCAAAGCCTTGATCAACGCCATGGTGAAGGGTGTCTGTTTGGGTATCAATCAGAGGTGTGACGATGCCTGCACGTCGGTGTGGCGGTTGTCCACGGGGTTGTGGTTTAAAACTGCAGCATATGTATGGGGATGGCCGCTTGCAGGTGTGAGTTGCACCAAGAGCAGAGAATAAAAATTCTGACATCCAGATGATGCAAGACACGGGACAGAAGAACATCTGTTTTATTGACATGTTGCTTAACATCGGCGACTTCCGCTGACAAAAGAGCGATTTTCTCTCTCTCTCTCTTCGGGTTCAGGCGTTGCCGGCTCATACGGCGAGCACTGGTCTCTGCCCTTGTTGGTGAGTGTCTGGCACTTCCTGGCAACAGCTTGCGTATGGCGACAGCACACAACAGCCTGTACTGCTGGATTTATTTTTTCAATAAAACGGAACAAAACCGCTGGGAAAGGCAGATCTTGAGCCTTTGGCAGGTAAGCTGTCGCTCGATCAGACTAGACCGGGCCTCGCCCCGTGCCCGGCGAGCTCAGCTGTCCTTTTTTGCGCCGTGGCCAAATGCTGGTACGAAGAAACGAACTGAGCAAAGCGTGTGCTGCTCTCCTCTTCTCAGATTAGCCTGGCACAGCGAGACGCGTGCTTGCCCTCGCTCGCTACACCATCTGCAGAGCGCATCATGCGGAACAGCTGAGCCAGACACGCGGGGCGGAGGTGGGGAGGGTTCGCGTCGTTGGTGGCGTCTGAGTTCACCCGGGAACGCGGGCGCTAAACGGCACGAGGGCTGGTCCAGACGGTGGTATACCCATCGTGATGGCGGACCAGGCCGAAGAGCGCCTGACCAAAAAAGTCGCTCAGCTCACCAAGGTCATCGTCCATCTCAATGCAAAGAACGAGGAGCATGAACACGAAAAGCGGAACATTGTTGATGCTTATGAATCGGAAATCACCGCTTTGCTCGAGGATGCCCGAGATCGTGTCAGTCGTCTTCAGGAGCGTCTCGGCAACACCATATCTTTGGCTGAGCACGAACGTCGTTTAGGGGAGCTGCGTGCTGAGTGCGACGTGCAACGCAAGAACGACCAAGAGCGCTTTGATGCGCACTGCGAAGAGCTCAACGGGCAAATCAGCGCCAGCAATGCCAAGGTTGTAGATCTTGAGCAACGGATCCATGCTCTCGAGCAAGATGCTCACAATCTGACTTCAGAGGTTGATGCCCTCAACGCTCGCACGCTACAAGACCGTGGGGAGCTCGAAACACAACACGGCGAAGCTCTCGAGGCCCTTCAACGTGACCATGCCGCCGCTTTGGCTCAACAAGAGGCCTTGCTAGCGCAAGAGAAGCAACGCAGCGAAACACGCATTCAACAGCTTTCACAGGAGCTCGAGGGGGCACGGCGAGATACGATAGAGCAGCTAGAGGCAGCTGCCCGAGATCACGAAGTCCAGTTGGCAGCACGCATCAGCGACAGCCAGGCCGCGCTGGAAAAGACTCAGGCCGAGCTGTCCGCGACGCAGCAGCAAATGACCGACTTACGCGCCCAGGCCGCGCAACTGACCGAGGCACAAGCCGCACTCCAAAAGGCTCAAAGCGAGAGTCAGCGCTTTCGCCACGAGCTCAAAACCTGTGCCGAGGTTGATGAGCAACGTCGAGGTGAGATTGCCCAGTTGCAAGCGCGAAACCAAGAGTTGGAGAGCACCGTCAAATCCTCCTCCACAGCCCAGGCCGAGGATCTGGAGGAGCTTCGCAAAGCCGTGCAAGAAAAGGACGCGCGCCTTGCCGAGCTTACGCGCACAGTAGCCGATCTGGATGCGTATGCGAAACGAGCCGAGCGCTCGCTGGAGGAAAATGCCAAAGAATTGTTGGCGCTGCGCAAGCAGTTGGCCGAGTCCAATGCACGCCTGCAGGCCGCCGAGTCTGCTGACAGCGAGCGACAGAATGCTCAGAACACCGTGCAAGCTGAGCTCGATCAAGCCAGGACTGAGCTAGCGGCGGCTACGAACGAGCACAAAGATGCCTTGAGCATGCTAAAGAAGGAGCACCGCGATGCGATGGCGCGATTGGAAAGCAAACACGCACAGGCTGCTGTAGAATGGGAGCAGCGCATGGCCAACACGCAAGAGCAACTCCAGATGAAGATTCAGGTCATTGGTAATCTCGAGGCGCAAGCCCTGGCCGAAGGCAAGACGCACGTGCAGGAACTCGCGTTGCTGCAAGAAAAGATTGATGCGTTGCATGCCGATACGGATGTTGCTCAGCGAGCTGAGCAAGAGCGTAAGACACGTCGCCGGATAAAGTAACATTGGCATGGCGCCGCGATGTATTGAACCTTGCACCCTCACCACAGGACCCGCGTGCGTGCGTGCGTGCGCGCGTGCGTGTGCTACATATACCCTAGGTGATCGTTCGCAAGCCGAGTTGAGTGCGATGGCAGCAGAGCTGGCCAAGACGCAAGGTCAAAAACAGCGTTTGCAGACGCAGTTAGAGCAGATACAACAGGAGCTCAAGGCGCAGGCCGCCAAGTTTGAAGAGACGCTCAACAATGTGCGCGTGCCATACGAACAACAATGGTTTGGCTCATTGGTCTTCCAATTCTTACTCATGTACTTGTGCATGGTGGCACAGGAGCGTGGCCGAGCCAGCAAAGGCAACGAGACGCTGCGTCAGGAATGGGAAGAACGCTTGGCAAAGGTGCGCAGTGAGCATGCGTCCGAACTTGCAGCATTGGAGACGCGTCTTCGTGCAGCGCACGAGCAAGACTTGGCAGCCGTCGAAAGCCAATGGCGGGCTCGATTGCGCGAGGCTGAGGTCAGTTTGTGTACGGTTGCTACAGTCAATGATCCTGGCGCCAAGGTTCAGGTGAGCGTTGACGCACTCAGCTACCCACTGTTCTAGATGACACTGGACGAGTACAAGCACCGAACACGCCTAGCCACTCAGCAGGCACAAAGTGACCGCTCGGCCATGGATGCAGATGTGCGTATTCGCAGCATCGTTTCAACTTTTGTTTAGTTCTGCCACTTCAGGCTTCGCTGTGCTTTGACAACTCTGATTTATTTATTGCATGCAATTGTCCCGCTTCCTTTTGCGTGTTGTCATGTTGCGCCGTTTAGATGTCGGCGCTGCGGGAACAATACCGAGCTGAGTTGACTGAGGTGCGCAGGGTGTGCAAGCGTGACATGGAGGATGCGGTGGCTCAAGCTCGCGAGGAGGGCGAGCGGCGCTACGCCTCACTTGAGCAAGAGCACCGCGACCGGATTCGTGTCATCAAAGCTACCCATCAGTCTGAGCTCGAACAACTGCAGCGAAGCCATGCAGCCTATGCAGATCGCCTAACTGCAGGTGAGAACCTTGATGCGCTCTTGTGGGTGTCAGCCAAAGAATGAGAGACCGGTCGTGCTACGGCTGGCTGTAGACTTGCGACCCTTCGTGGGTGGAATAGGGTCGTTCAGCATCGTCATTGCTTGATGTTTTTTTCCTCCCTTGGCGCTCGGCAGGGGCGGCGGGCGAAGTAGAGAAAGCTGTTCTCTCCGCACGGGAGCAACATGCTGCGGCGCTTCGCGAGCTGGAGCAGCGGTTACAAGAACGGCATAATCGAGAGCTCCAGCATCTCAAAGGTGATTTGGAGATGCAGTACGGGCGCGACTTGGCGCGTGCGACGCTTCAGCACGACGAGAAAGTGACCAAGCTTGAGTCCACCTGCGGTTGGTTTGCAAGTCCATGCCTCCATTGCTGGAATTGTTCTCTGCTGCGAGCAGCCACTTACCTTTGCCAGTTCCATTTACAAGAATCTCATTGTGACGTCGTATTGCGGGCGGATCATATGCAGAATTGCTGCGCATGCAGGTGGCTGATTTGGATGCTCAACTGCGGATTGCTGAAACCGAAACTCATGCGCGGGAAGAAACAATCCATGGCATGGAGCAGCGCATCGTCATGCTGGAGCAAGGTAGCCTGGGCGATCCGATGGAAGGCTCCTTCCTATGCTGTGCAGTGCTGATGATGCGGGTTTGTTGGTGTCTGTCTCTGACACGGGTAGATCACCGCGAGCGAATGGCGCTGCTTGAGCAAGACATGGACAAGCAAGCGCAGGAACACGATCAGCAATTGCGAAACGCCGAGCTGGCTGGGCGGTAGGCCAATAGCATGGTGGCTGGCATGGCCTTCTTTTGATCATCTCACCTGTTGTTTCGCGTGGCTGGCTTTGGGGTCATTTTTTCTTTTTCCTGGCTGCTTGGTTGGGCGGGAATAGGAGCAAGCTGCAAGAGTTTTTAGAGCAGTATCGACAGGAATTCACACAGGCTGGTCTCGAGGCCCAGCGGGTTCAGGGGCAGCTCCAGGCTCGTGTCAAGCAGCAAGAGGAAGTCCTCAACCGGCTCAAGGGCGAGGTAGGCTTTGTCATGGCAATTACCTCAGCAAGCACGTTGTTGATAGCTAATGTGCTTGCGATGTCGTTGACTCGTAGTACGAAGCGCGGCCCCCGCGACCCCAAGACGTGGAACGAATAACTGAACTTGAACATCAGCTTGCTGATGCGTCGCGACGTCTCGAGTACGTGTTTCTCGAACGAGGGAAAGCCCTGGATGATTGCGTATTATCCCACGATGCTCACTACAATCTCGGGATATGACGCGTCACGCCCATAGGAAAGCCTTGGGGGAGAGTGAGCGCCTGGGCTTGGAGGTAGTCAACCAGGACCAGACGTTGCGAGTGCTCTTCAAAAAGGGAGCCAGCTCTGCGTCCAATGCGCCGCCATCAAGCAGCAAGGCCAATTCCACCTCGGGGGCGACGCGGCTCCCTCCAGTGGCAGCCAGGTCTCGCTCCGATGGTCGTCGAGGCTCGGCTGGCCGCTCGCCGGCCCTCGTCTCCTCTGCCAAAAGCTAGTTGTTGCCACTTTGCTGCTTCTGGTTGAGCCACGCCCAAGAGTCAAGCGTGTGGACGAGCAGCTCGCTTCCCTTCTTTTTAAAAACCTTGTGCATGTGTTATTTGGGTTGCAGTTGGTGTTGGGTTTGCAACCAATCGATAGCTGATCATGGTTTGCGGTCGAATGAACAAGGGTGTGTGAGTGTGTGTCCAATCTTGGCTTCCGGGAGGATTTTCGGCTAAAAATAGAAGACAGTGGCTGCACGAATAAGGTATAAGGCGACATTATATGTGTCATTAGCTGGCATTGCATATTTTAAAAACTGCAAAAACTCAAATATTTACTTCAATAACCTCCTTGGTGACAATCACAGTATTCGTCAACTTCATCCTGAGGTGTCCTCTTCTTCTCCCTCTGCTCCGCCCCCTCTCTCGCTCATATGCGCGCGGCACATCTCATTGGTCCTTCGGTCACACGGCTGCCCTTGCCCCGTCCATTTTCAGTTCCTGTCTCTGTCATCGAGTGGATCTGCGGTTGTCTTGCATTGGTCCTAGCTCTCGATCTGCCCGCTGGGTGTTGGCGTTGCCACAGGCTGGATCTGTGCACAGCTCTGGCGGTTGCCTCCGCGTTTGCGGCGAGTTGTCAAGCGCGGATAGAGTCATCAGTCGCAGCACCATGGCAGCGCCGTCGCATCATGATCAGGTGGTCGATGCCGCGCCTGAGGCCCTGCCACAAAGCATCGACTTTGGTATACCCGCTGAGTTTGAAACCATCGGCCTACCCCAGCCCACCTACACGACACCCGTGGCCCCACCGTCCCCCAACGATCCTTTTCAGCCACAGGACCTTCCATTGGCGAGCTTACGACAGCCCGCCACAACACCACCAAACCCGGTTGCGCCGCCCACCGCCATCGTCGTCCAACCTGCGGCTATGGCTATGCCTGGTTTGGATCCCACCGAAGATTCCACTTCACCCGAATTTCAGGTGGTGGATCTTTCTGCCGAGACCCCCATCAGCGCCAACTCCTCCGAGCTGGCGCTTGCTGATGGGCCACACATCTCCGAACTTGACAAGTCACAGTCCTACCGTGATGCCATGGCTAGCTCGCACGGGTCAAGGGACAGCCGACGTCCTGCGCATCATCACGCCAAGTGCCATTCAGCTTGCGATCGGCACCTTCTGGGCAAGGATTTTGAGCACGGCATCTGTGGCGGATTGACGTGCACGGCCTGTTGCATGTGCCTATGCTGCTTTCCTTGCTTTTACGCCAGCACGGCCGAGCTGGTGTACGGGGCTGAGACTCGCTCTTCACGTCGCTCGCTCCTCGACATTTGCTGCTTTGGCTGGCTCAATACCCCGTGTCTCCGCGCCGACCTTCGAAAAAAACTTGGTTATCCCATGCGGCCCCTCAGCGATCTGTTGACGGTTGCTTTCTGCCTGCCCTGCGCTACCTTTCAAATGTTTCAAGAAGCCGGCGGCAACTTTGATTGCTGGCAAGATGGCAATGACTGCAGTACGTTTTCGAGTGGTCCCTGGCGTCCCATTGAACACATTCGCAACCCAGGGCAAGCACACACCATCTGCCCTTGAATCGCGTCGAGCTCTCACGATTCTGCCGCACGATTCTGCCTGTTGCTCTTGGCCACTCCAACCTAGACTGCTTGTATGACCCATTCTTTCTACACACGCAGGGACAGCCGGGAAGCGAGAGCTGTTGTCATCCAGCTGCGCTGAATCCCGACTTGGGCTGTTGCCTGTGCCCTCATCGAACCATATGCACCGTCCCTTGTTGCAACGAGCAGGGTACCTGCGCGGCTGGCATGAGTGACTGCCAATGCCGTTGCGATGCTTGCAGCGGCGGCAACTGCTGCAGCTCTTGCGCGCCGCGCTGCAGCGCCGATTGTGGCCATCATGGGTGTGGCCTGGGCTGCGGCGAGCAAGCTTGTCTTGAATGCCCCTGTCACAGCTGTCGCACGGAGAGTTGTGGCAACATGGGCCAAGAATGCGATAACTGTCTCACGGGGCTTGCTCCAATGAACGCCGCGTGTGAAAACTTCTTTGGGGCCTGTTGTGGTGCCTGCGAGAAGTGCCACTGCTGTCATTGTGACGCTTGTGAAAGCTGTCAGGGATTTTGCAGCTCCTGGGCCCATGAATGCTACGATTGTTGTTGTAATTGTGGCGCATGCGAATGCTGTGCAGACGCTTGCGGGGACTGTGGCGATTGTGGGGACTGTGGTGGCTGTGACTGCGGTGGCTGTTGAGTGAAGCACGAGGTCATAAATGGCAGGGAAATCGATCGATGACTCGGAAATGCATTAATTTTTTTGTGCCTTACTCATCTGAACGCTCATGGCATCTCCCATGTGAATTGACAGTTGGAAATTCCGTTTGTCATCGCGTGCGGCAAAGTGGACTAGAATAATGATGTGAACAGATTTGCACCAGATCAACTTAACTCTTAAAGGCTTCGGCACCATGTCCATCCAGGAGTTCAACAAGCTCAGCAAAGCCCCACGTGAAGGACTGTTCAAAAATACGGCGCAAACAGGATCAAAGTTGCTTGCCAACAACACCAACACCAACACCAACACAACAATTTGATGAATGGGAACACAGCCAACAAAACATGCCAAATAAAGCTTGGGCAGCAGATTATGACCAAACGTCTTGCTGAAAGCGATGCTTCTCTTCCATGGTCTTGAGAAACTGCAAGGCTTGTTGCTGTGTCTTGTCGCCCATCTCGACCAGAATCTCAATAATGGCCTTGCGGACATCTTGCGCCATGTATTTGGCATCACTGCAGATTGGATCAAAGCAGAGATGAGGAAGCGGCACTTGTTGTGTTGGACTAAATGGGCTCAAGTCGGGCGGCAAACAGGTTAAGCCCAGTGAAACTGACCCGCAAATGTACAGGTGGCCTCCTGCTTGAAGAACACGCCATACATCTTCCTTGCGCTCACGCAGGCGGTGCTGCACATACACCTTGGTGGCCTATGTACCCGATAAGAATCACAGGTATGAATGCCCAATGAGTCCAATTTAGCTGAATATGATGAGGAAAGAAAGGGAGGAAAGAGGCGACGGAAAAAAAAGGCCACGGGCCGGAGAAAGCACAGCCGCAGCAAAGCGCACCTGATCGCGGGAGAAAGCCGTATGCAAGCCGCTCAGCGCCTTTTTCATCACGGCATCCTCAAACTCGTCGCGGTACATGAAATGCTTGCTCTCGTTTTGACAACCAAAGAAGAGGTGTGTTTCGCCAAACTGCTCTTCTGAATCTGCTTGTATCGGGTTGGGAATGCGTGAGTATGAGAGGTATCATGGACTTGGCCTGTTCGAGTGGTGGCTTGACTCTACGCTCCAAACTTGGCCTTGACTAACCTTGCATGAGGAACAAACGTTCCTGGATAAAGCCACGAAAGGGGGCAACGCCGGTGCCCGGGCCGATCATGATCATGGGTACCTTGGGCTTGCGTGGCAGGCTAGAGGAAGCGCCAAGATAATCCCCACGCAGGACGATCAGTGCACACAAAAGTGGGTCAGTGCAGGGTTGCTGAGTGGGCTCGGAAAAGGAAGCGCAGGCTGAGATGGGGTGGCGTACCGGAAAGTGGAGCGGCGAACAAACATGGGGACACGATCGGTGTCCAGCGCCAAGCGACAGAACCAGGTGGTGGCCACACCCTCAACCGTCGTATCCGCACCGTTCTTGTAGGTGACGATGGCCACCGTCATGTGTATCCGGTCGGGGTTGGTTTTGCTGCTGCTGCTGATCGAGTAGTAGCGGGGCTGCATGCGCGGCAACAACTCCAGCAGATGGTCGATGGGCATCTCCACGGACGAGAACTCGGCCAGGACCTGTGGGCGCAGCATCGGTTGCAACAAGAGTGCTTGATTAGCAAGCATGCGTTGCGAGAAACTTTTGAATGTTCCTTCGCTCTCCGCACACGTTCAGAGGGCGAGGTCACGAAAACATGGACACGGGGGCAGGGATAGCCGCGCTCTTGGCAAGGCAACGTACGTCGAGGATGGTGAGGTGACGGTTATGAATGTGCTTGTTGTATTCGCTGCGGCCTTGCTTGCTGCAAAGAAAGGCGAGGCGCTCCTTCTGCTGTTCATCCTTGGCGTACTGCACCATCTCAGCAATGATATTGAGAGAGGGGGTGTGTGTCAGCTCGACGTAGTGGCTCAGGGCTGTGCGATACGTGCACGGGCAGGGGAAGGGGGTGCTCTTGCGGGTGAAGGTATCGACGGCTTGCAGCTGGAAAATGTCATCAAGGGGAACTTGCAAGCGCTCGGCGACAGCCTGGACCAGGGAAGCGTTGTTGGTGGGGTAGACGGCTGCGTGGTCACCGGCAGTGTAGCGAATGCCCGAGCCAGAGATGTCGAGCTCAATGTGCAAGCAGCTGCGCCCTTCATCCTTGTACAGCTCGCGGCGCACACGGATTGGGGCCAGAAAGGGGTTCTTCTGGCTGTATGGCGGGCGCTGATGTTTGAACGAGTTGGCAATGGCAGGTTCACCGGTGAACACCTTCTTGCGCTCGTCCACGGGCACCAGCTGATACGTGCGGAAGGAGGCGCTGATGGCGTTGGCATCCTTGCCCATGAGCTCGCAGACGGCGGACCAGAGCAAGTCCTTCCATTCCAGAAAATCCTCTTCCAGGTTCACGTCGTCATCACCCATGCCCACCTGGGGACGCAAGGGAAAGGGCATGATTGGGGTGAGAGCATCGGAGTGAGCATAAGCAAGGGCAAGGGCAAGGGCATGGGCAAGGCGGATAAGGCGGGCAACACAGGCCAAAGAAGTCCACTCGCGGAGTTTGCCGAAGGCCAGCAGAGCGTGGCCGAAGACAAAAGACTGACATCAATGAGACGGCGGCCACCACCGGCCTTGAGCTTGTCGTCCACAAAGGTGGCCATGGCGTTGAAGTGCTCGTAGGTCTTGTTGCCAAGGCCAAAGACGGCGTAGTTGACATTCTCGAGCCAGTCGTTCTCCTCCTCCGTCTTCTCTTCCAGGAGGTCGTGGAAGGCTTGGGCGTTGTCGGTGGGCTCGCCTTCACCGTACGTGGCCAGGCAGAAGAGGGCAACAGCGTTTTCGATGGTACTGAGCTCGGAGAGCTGCGTCATGTCCGCATCCTGGGGGTCAATGACTAGAGCCTTGATACCATAGCGCTTCGCTTCGCCAGCAAGACGCATGGCAAAGTCTTCTGCGGTACCAGTCTGGGAGCCATAGAAGATGACGATTTGAGCTTCGGCTTCCTTCATCTTGGCGACAAAGTCGTCATCATTGCTGTTGAAGAAGCTGCTGCCAGGTTCGCGCGGGGTCATGAGGTTGGAGCCAGGCGCCGACGTGATGCCGCTAGATGACCACTTTGAAAAGTAGTTGACAAGAAAGTACACGATGCCGCCCGCCAGCAGCGTCAGGGCGGCCATATCCAGGAGGTCCAGCTCCATGGCGTCTGTTGCTACAAAAGACACAAGATAAAACACGCCAAACAGCGACAGCATGAGCCACAATGGCCACGCGACTGAAAGCAGATCATGGCGCATAGCGCCCTTTCGCGCATGGACGGAGGGATCCACAAACGTGGGTGGGGTGGGGTAACGGCAGCCGCAAGCCCCCTTCCACAGACACTGACCAGAGAATCAAAAGGTTCACACGCGAGTACTCCTAGCAAGCGATCTTGGTTCCTAAAAGCCCCCCCCCTCTGCCTCTGCGGAGAGAGATAAAGAACCGGAGATCTGTCTATCGAGCCTCCAAGCGACAAGTCTCGACGTGCCTGTCGCTGCCGTCGAAGAACCACAGAGAGAGAAGAGAGAGATAATAGAGAGAGAGAGAGATAATAGAGAGAGAGACTTTAGACTTTGAGAAAGAGAGAAGACTTTGTTCAGATGTCATGTTGTCACGTTGTCACTCGTCACAACATCTTATTCGTTCTGCAAGCATTATGAAACGCACAAAACGTGTTTCTGGCCCTGATATGGCAGCTTATCGGCTTATCGGCTTATCGGCTTATCGGCGGGGCGGAGAGCGTCGATGCACCCCTTGACACAGCCCTTGACGCAACCCTTCCCTTCATAAGTTGGGGTGGGGGCACGATCAAGCTTTTTTATTTTCGAGTGCTTGACGGAGTTGGAGGGGGGTCCGTCCCTTCGAGCAGGCGGTCGCTCCTTCTATCTGATTCTTCATCGAAACTTAGGGAGCAGTGCTTTTGCACACTTTTTCGTGCTTGTACAAACAAGGGGATCAAGGTCAAGGTTAAGAAGGTCTGGACCACCTCCGACGCGGACCCTTTTCTCGCTGGCCAAGCAGCAGTGTGTGACCATTGTGGCTGCAGAGTAGAAGGAGCTGCGGGGCAAAGCACGGCTGAGCGCGTCGCGGCTGTTGGTACGCTGCCATGATGGCCGTGTGCACAGCTCGGGGATTGGAGGAGCGCAATACCGCCAAAACGCGTTAATAATCACACTATATAAACTCAAAGTGTAACATACATCACACACACAATCACCGACCGAGGGCAGGGCACGTGGTGGCATTGGGTCAGGCCATGATGTAAGTCAGGTCATTTCATCTGACATTTGATGCTTAAAAGTGTTTTACTTTTCCATCTGTGATGACAAATCGGCGATGAGGCGAGTTGTGGAACTTGTTGAAGAATAAGATGAGGTTTGTGTAGAAATTCATGCGGAACATTGGGGTGGAAGGTGCATTGACAAATCGAGTTTTCAACGTCATTTTAAGACTTGGTGCTGTTGTTGTGGTTGCGGTTGCGGTGCTGGCTCCGGCGGGCATGGCGTCGCGATCCTGGCTCCTGCTGCTGGTCGTGGCCTGGGGCGCCACGGGGCCAGCGCTGGCTGGCCATGTTGCGGACGATGAGCACGTCCTGACCATGACCTTTGCCAAGTTTGTGGCCCTTGCGGTGAGATCGCCTCTGTTTCTTTCGGCCAACTCGTTGGACCATGTCTCACCCTCATGTCCCTGCACCGACATTTCAACGCGCTCCCCACCCCCTTGTTCTGTTGCTCATCAGGCCCGCCCGGAGCAACCCATTCACGTCACCCACCTGCCACCCGAAGCCACGCCCGCCTGGTTGGACCTGTCTCTTCTCAGCCAGCGCACGCACCCCGTCAAATATCTGCAGCAGGTTGATCTAAACCCCCACTGATCGCTCCCCCGCCCCACCACACGCTGGAGGGGCCTGGTCATGATTGTTGCGCCCACGCCTGTCCGTCCCTTTGCGTGTCGCCTCACTTGCTGTACGTTTCCTCATTCGGGTACTGGCGCGATGGCGGACGGACTGGCCGGCCAATCTTACACTTGAATTGTGGCTTGTCGTCGTGATACCAATATTCGGGCACAGTACTTGGTCGATGAGCTGCAGCGCGATGACGCCAGCACTTTTATTTATGCCAGCGGCCCCGCACACGAGCTGCTAGCGGCCAATGACGCACAGCGTTTGAACGCTACGCTCCGTGCCACCTGGCCCGAGGCATTCCTCGACGTAGAAGACCGAGTCCAAGCCAATGTTTGGATTGGTAGCGCTGGTGTTGTTGCTGATACCCACTACGACACCTCGGACAACTTTTATCAGGTAGGAAAAACGCGATTTGACCCGCCTCTGCGCTCGGCAAGGGGGGCTGCCGCGTCCTTCCCTTGGCTCGCGCCTTTTTTGCAGCACCATCCGCGATCCTTTCTTTCATGCTGCATCCATGCATTCGTTTGTTAGGTGCTGCACGGACGCAAGACTTTCTATTTGAATCCTCCCCGCCAGCTGGCCGAGGCCTATCTGTTTCCAACCCTCCATCCTAATTACCGACAGTCTTCGGTACGACCAGCCTGAGGTCCCCACACTCAATTCGAGCCACCACTCGTGCAGGCTGTATCTCTTGCCCAGGCTGGCTCCAGAGCTCGCCTGAAGCAGACAAACCAGTGAGCAAACAAACAAAATCAACATTCAGGCGCCTGTGGACTCACCACGACTTGGCGAGGGCTCTCAGTTAGGTTACGGCACTGCAGATGATGTGCACCTTCGTACCGAGGCGCACGTCATTCATCTTCAAGCAGGCGATGCCTTGTATCTCCCGGCGTACTGGCTGCACAGCGTCAGGTCGGAGGTAAGGGCCTTGCTCATGCACGCGCCAAGTTTGGGTATCGCCTCACTTTGGGTTGATTTACCATGTGCCATCGAGCCTGTGGCCGGCCTCACGATGTCTGGTGCACTTGTGGCCATAGACCATTTCATTGAGCGTCAATGGCTGGGTGGCCTCGCCAGCCTTTCGTCTGGCCGAGATGATTTTCACATCAGCCATCCCTTTTGAAGCCCACTGGTTGCCCTGCTATCAGGTCGGCGCCTGCCTTCGCTGGGCACTCTGCTCCGACCGTGCGCCTCCGCGGATCCCTCGTTTGCGCTTTCAACCCTGTGTGTGCTCACCAAAGCTACTTGCAAATGTATCAGTTTCAAGCACTGCTCGTGTATCTGCAAACTTTGGGCAATGAGCTTCATCTGATGTTGAGTCGCGAATGGAAGCATGTCGAACTCAAGCGATTTTATTTTCTGCGCCAAGACATGCTTGAGCATGGCACAAAACGGTTGGTGTTTGTATGCACACGTGCACCCCTTTGGCCATGCATCGGGTTGAGTTTAACTGCTTCTGCTGCCTGCGGCTGATTCTAGGCTGGCAACCCATGCGGCGCTGTGCGCCGGGGATGGCCGCTGTCAGCTCACGTCTTCTGATGCCCAAAATATCAAAAAGCAGGCACGCGAAATTGCCCACATCTTTCACGGCATGCACATCGAAGTGGCCCGACTGCACTTTCACAATTACTTGGAGCAACTTTTGCGAATGCTCTATGGTGACACGGCGGTGGGCTGGGTCTTGTATGCGTGCGAAGCGCGCATGATGCAGTTTTGGCGCACTGCTCTTCACGACGAACTGTAATCGCTCGTTGCTTCCTGCTGCCCTTGGCTGACGACGGCAGCAAGATCGTTCGTTCACATGGCAATTATTATTTCAGATGCAAACCGATGCTGCACCGTCTCTTGGGTCGTCTGTCTCGGGTTAAAACATGCTTCCGCAAGCCCTGTGCTCGTGCCCCGTAGCAATTGTCTCACGGTCCAAGTCTGGTGCTCAGATGCGGGTGCGCTCGTACTCATTGGGGTCGGCTTGGCGCATAAGGGTTCTACATGAACACATGCAAGAGACGTAGGGCAATCTGTGAGCCGCGCAGGTTTTGAGACCAGGACGGTGAGCCCGCACGTCAGCCATACCGGGCGGAGGGAGGAGCAGGACCGCGCAAGTCCGGTTCCACGTAAGGAAGTTGCTCGAGGCCGGCTAGCGCTAGCATTTCGGCCTGAAATTGTTCATTGGCATCGACATAGCCTTGTTGGGCCAGGAGCGAGACCACATATTCTGCGTCTATTGATGTTAAAAGCAAAAGGGATGCCCGACGACAGGCAGCAAGGATGAAGTGAAC